AAGTGCGAGGTCGGTGCATCTGGTGGACTAGTTTCGTCTTCGGAAAATGTAAGTCCTGTCCAATCGGTCGCATACTTTTTCCGTTTACTGTACCGGTTGTACAGCTTCAACAGCACCTTTTTTAGTCCCTTTCTCCGACCTTTTCGTTTCTCTCCTCCGTTACGGCCTTCCATTTACTCCGAGGAATTCGATGATCACGGTTGCAGCCGCGCTGTTAAAGCGTTATGAAAGGATCATTTTAAATATATATCTCAAAACGTCATGACATTAGGTTGACCCATCAAATAATGGGGTTTTTCTTTACACCTCACGTTACGTGTAAAAAATAAACACGCCATTACTTACGCATCAGCTCAATATTTACAAAACCTTTTCTCCAAACCGAGTGCGCCGAATCATTTGCAACTTGAGCACATGATTATTTAGGCCCTAAGGAAGAACGTGGTGGTCGTGAAATTTCATAAAAAAAAAATGCCTTCTTGATTCTAGTCTGAGATAAATAAAAACAATTTTTGTATGAAAAAATGAAATTTCCCGAGCACTACGTTCTTCCTCATGGTCCTCCATAATCACACGTTGAAGTCTCAAATGATTAGTTGCATCCAATTTGGAGAAAAGTTTCATAAATATTACATTTCAATATATATATGTATAATAACCCTTTCATATCCCGTTAATCTCGTTATTTCATTCGTAACGATCGTCGATACGTCGTTTATGTATGCACTGGAGGATCTAGCGGATAAAACATAAGACGAAGAAAAAAAAAAGAAAGTACACTTTTGTCCCCCCCAATGGCCTTCAATTAATTCCAACATATTGCAGGATAGTTGGAATGGTTCCGCATTAATTTTCTTCTTTCTTTCGGGAGGAAGGGTTAATTAATTTACGGTCACGTAATGACAAATGCTTTCGGCAGTGATAATGGCCATTATCGCTCGGTTACGTAATGAGAGATCGCGCGTGAAGGGCGTTTTCAAAGGCGAGAGAGATCGCACGCGTTTATCCGGCCAATTTCAGAAACGATATAACGTCGTGGCCGAGAACCGTACGACGTCGGATTGGGAAGTACATGTTCGTTTTATTAGCTACATAACGGCATTGCGAGTAACGGGCCAAGTCACGGGGAATTATCACCCCCTTATCGCCGATTGGAGTCGGCGATGCACGTCTACGAGGAAACGAGGGATTCCCACGTATCTCTGGATAATATCGGGAAGAGAAAATTTCCTGCCTCCTCCAACAAGCGAATCGATTTCATGCAAAATTATATTTACCACGAAAATAAAATGTATCACCTCTAGAAATGAACATTTCGAGTACGCTGCATTAAAATGTCCCCTAACGGAAGAAATATATTTTATGCCAAGTGACCTATCACGACATCGCGATGCATTTCCACAATTAGAAACGAGGTTTTCCTGCATACCCTAATGTTTAATTAATACTATGGAAAGTAATTTGTCACAACGTTTCCAGTTTATCTCCACGAGTGGAAATTAAAGCTTCGTGTAATATCATTGTCACGAAACTCCGAAGTATCTCCTCAACCGGAGGATACGATTACCTTAGCATCCTAGCTGTACCTTGAATTTTGTACAAAATAATATCCATGAAATTATATAAGATATCTCAAAGGAAGGATAAAAGTTTCCATGCACCTCGACTTAGTGGAAATTGTATAGAACAATAGACATCGAATTACCGCACTCGCCTTTGCTCGACATGTCGCCGGACAAATCGGCCTTTACGTAAGGAACAAAATGAGACGACTCGAAATACCGTGTCACGAGATCGAAGGCTGAACTCAAACGGTGTTAAATAATAACCGCGATGTTTGCATCTCCTCCCGAAAAAAGATTCAGAGCTGCCAAACAACGGAGTTATTATTCCTCCTTAGAAACCTCGAGCGAAAAGCAAAAAGAAGAAGTATTTCCTCCTTTACCACAAGGCAGCTGTCTCGCACGATTCGCAGTTCCTCCCAACCGAGAATGTAAATCCGATTGATATTAAGCCACGCCTGGATCTTATTTTTATATCTTTTTTTTCCGCCAATTTCGCCGAAGCGACATTTTCCTCATTCCTTTGCGTTCCTCCTTATTTCTCGCCCATCCTGCGCGCCGACATCTCGAAGACCTATTTTCCTCATCTAATATAAAAATGACACCTAAAAATCAGAGTTGTGCCCACGTGACAACCACACTAAGTATAACAAAAAGAAATTATAACGTCACATTATAATATGAAATTGTGGAAGAAAATGAATAGAGTGACTTCATAGCGTACGTTAAAAATCTATCCCACAATTTCATAAGATGTTAAAAAATGAATACACCGTGTCTAAATAAAGCTAGTAATAAAAATATTAAAATGATGATTTCCATTTAAAGTCCCTCTGCCCGATTCTGTATTTTTAGATTATCGCACATTTCTGGCGAAGGGTACAATTCTAACGACTTCCGGTTAGCACGAGAAAGCACGCAACAATATAACATACAACCAACTATGGAAACGCGGAAGTAACGCCGGAAGGGAGTAGTAAACAAGACCGAAGTCAAGAATGAACAAACATATAAATGACAATACGCCAAGTGGCATCCGTCGACAATAATAAACACAGTGAAGAGGGTAGAAAGTCTGTTTTTAGACGTGTCAGTCCTTGCTCCGAGACATTGCTAGATCTCGCTCGACCTTGATCAATGTGGATCACGAAAACAGAGCATTTTTAGCCCCAGGCTACCAATTGCAATCGAAATGCCTTGCCAAGTGACATAATCGTCAAGCAACGTTTTTTTTTTTCCCCCAGGGTATCAATAGACGCGATTCCGTCGATAAAGCTTATTCCTCCGAATTTCTCAATTTCGGCGTGATTTCGCGACGTGAACGTTCGAAAACATCCGCGGGATACACCTTGCTGGTTAAGTCAACATTTTCCTTTCCTATCGGCACGCGTTCGCTCGTAGTTTCCAAGATGGCGGCGATTACGTAACGGGCGAGTCGGCCACGTGTGGGCGGCCTGTCAAGTGCCAAACTTTCGGCCGGCCAAAAGGGTCGTGACCTTGAGGTGACATTAGGCCGCCCGGTTATGGCAACAGCTCGGTCCGAATTCCCCCTGCGACTCCGACCTGATGAAAGAGCGACGATTATGGGCCCAACGTCCGAAGACTAAAGTGACGGCAGAGAGGAAAGAAAAGATTCCATCGTTCGGGGGCTCTTATCGTGGAAAATCGTCTCGGGAGTTCACCAACCGCGTAACCGAGGTCAGAAATCGATCAGATAGATAAGATCGAGATCGACGAAATTTATGAAATCAATGCGATCGTCGAATTCGATGAAATCGAAGAAATCGATGATATTATCGAAATGGATGAAATAGATGAGATTATCGAAATCGATGAAATCGACGAGATTATCGAAATCAATGAAGTCAACAAGATTATCGAAATGGCTGAAATCAACGAGATTATCGAAATCGATGAAATCTATAAAGTCGACAACATTAATGAAATTAACGAAATTAATTAAATCGACGGAATTAATGAAACCGACGAAATTAACAAAAACGACGAAATTAATGAAATTAACGAAATTAATTAAATCGACGGAATTAATGAAACCGACGAAATTAACAAAAACGACGAAATTAATGAAATTAATGGAATCGAAGAGATTAATGAAATTAATGTAACCTGCGAGCCAGAAGTTCTTATACCAGTTATGTACAAAATGGAGAATGAAAACATTAATGAAATTAATGGAATCGAAGAGATTAATGAAATCGATTATTGCCGAAATTGACGAAATTAATTAAATCGATGAAATTGTTAAAATCAATGAAATCAATGTTAACGAGATAGATAAATTCGAGAAAATGAACTAGTACGTGCCCCAGGGAGGAAGATTACGTTCTTATCTCGGGAATGTATTATCGTCCTATCTTGTAAATGTACTTTCCCCAAATCATTATCTACTGTTCGAAATTCCACCTCGATAACCTTCACGGGACAAAGTGAGGAACCTGCCGACCCCCCAAAATTATCCACTAAAACTATTCAAGATACTTTCAAATTTCAAATTACAACAAACGTCACAAGCACATCGAAAAATAGAAGAAACCAAAATTTTCAAAAATAGACCCCATGATCTACAGGTTAAGGTCATTCATGTATCAATAAATCATATCAATTTGTAATCCGGGTAGTTAAATATAATTCTACAATATCTACATGCCACACAGCAATTAAACCAGTGCAGATCGGCTTGCACAGATTTAACAATATCGCGACGATTTATCGTTACGCGTACAGCCATCTTTAACGAGGATCTTCTTAATTTTTTGAGTTTTTCTATTATCATGTACGGCGACTTCTTTGCCTATTGTTGTTCAGAAGTCCACATGTACACCCCTGCCTGAAACCGGATGCGTAAATCTACATCCTTTTTCTTTTTTTGGAGAGGTAGGAAAACCCGATTATATTTTCCGTGGGACGAGTATTACATAACTATTGACAGTTCGCCCCGGTCAGCGGCGAGGATATCGATCGAGTCGGGCGGCTATTCGAGAGAGCACCCTCTCGAGAGCGGAGCGCGTCCCTTTTCTTTCAAGCGAGTCGTCGTTTGGACTAGCTCGGACTTGAAGAAAAAGTCGGCATGTCACCTTCGCCGGAAAGTGCGGCGTCAGTAAAGCGGCGCACACGCGGCGTCTCCGAGGGAGAAAGCGCGTACCTAGGGATCCTCTCTTTCTTATAATAGAGAGAAGGAGTCCGAAGTTTCCGCGAATTTCCCGATTAACCGAGACGCGGACGCGTGGGGTGCACAATGGAGATTTTATCGACGGGGGGCGGGCCCGACAAGGATGACGCGGGCGCGCGTCGCTGGGAATCCGCGGAAGCACCTTTCGCGGCTGGTGACGCGTTCGAATCGCGCACCGGAAGAGTCCGTTACGTTCGACATTCAAAATCGAATGGGGTTTATGGAGCGAAAACGAGAGGTCACCGTACCTGCGCCTCCAGGCAGCGTCTCGCGGTCATGCGGAAAAGTGCCATGGTCCTGCCCCTTCTGGGTGTTATTCCTGTTCCTCGTCCTGAGAGCGACCGGCCGACTGCGTGGAGCTCTGGCGCCCAACTCTACTGACTTCGATGCCTCCGGTGTCGCGCGACGGACCTACGCGCGCGCATGCCCGAGCCGCCCGTCGGGAAGGTCGCGCGCTGATGCGCCCTCCCATTGGTCGTCCTAGGAGAAACTGCGCGTCGCTGATTGGTCGAGAGCCCGCGCACTTGCGCGCTCAAATTTGAACGTGCAGGTGCTCCGACTCGATTTCGAAAGGCAGGGGATGGCCTGGAAAACCGCCAAATGACGCCGTGACATTGAATTTCAGGTGACGCGAAGAGCCGGGGAAGTTCTCCCGCCACTTGGCGCCGGTTTTATCTGTTTCTTGCCGGCACGATGATTTATGTATTTTGGATAGTTCCACTAAATAACCTGTCTCAAGCCACCTATAATTAGAACGCGTATCTGTATAACTTGTGGAGAGGAAAGTGGTATTCCCGCATTCAAATAATCCGTATTTATCGCCTTATTACGGTAATCACGAGTTTCTAGGAAATGTTAGACGTGATTGGCTGGGTGGGTAAAATAGTAAATCTGTTTCACCGATCGATTTATACCCGATTTTTTCACCTACGGATAAATTCCCGATCAAGTTATCCAGAAGATATCTTTCAGTTCGGTTCTCTTCACTTCCAGTTAAGAGTTATCCTCCGGATTCGGATATCCTCGTACTCGCGGGTCAACAGCCGGGACGGGTTAATCGTCGGTGACAGTGGAAGCTGCTGGATTGTCGCGTTATAAGTATACCACTACGGCAAATTATATACGAAATTCGATGGTTACCCACGGACCTACTGCCCTCTATGGCCACGCCGCGTACTAAGGACGGGAGCAGCGCGAAATTTGAATCTCCCAAGGAGCAGAGCCAGAGGGGCCGAGCCGCGGTGTGCCGTAACGTGGCGTGCCGAGGTGTTGCCTCAGAAGGCCCCATTGGCCAATGGGGGGGCCCGAGGCGACGCCATTGGGGCTACCACCCATTTTTATTTTTTTTTCCTCTAGATAACGAAGCTTAGAATGGCTTAAAATTCAGTGAAAAAAAACCAAACCTTTACTTATCTGGCAGATATCTTTATCCGGAGGATAGCTATCCGGGAATATGCAAAAATCGGACCTTAGATTGTATTTGATGAATTTATTGGATGTCACGCGTAGAATGTCGCATCAAATTTCGATGAAATAAGCGCGACGCGAGTGCGGAAACTCTGGACTTGATTTGACACGATGCTTCGCTCTCTTATTCGGATGCTTGTATTCTATGCTTAGTTATGGCTTATCGCGCGGTTGTGCGAGATACCTTCCTTTTTTAAGAGAAAATGTTTTATATTATTATTTAATTTAATTAGACTTGTTAATTAGGCTTAATACGACAGTCTAATTAGAGTAACAGTGTACTCTTTACTGGTTGAGAGGTTAATGCCTTCACATCGATTCTAACCTGTATCGCTAGTGATGCGTTCAGAAGCGTGTTGAAATGTAAGCATTTAAAAGATGTGATGATAACTCATGTCTTTGATATTAACATAAGAAGGAATAGAATTTATAAAAGTGAGGCACAGTCAATTATTAAATGATGTCCCAACGAGTAACAATGACAACCTCAGAAATGCCAAACAACTCGTTATCATGGGAACCTCTAAGACTGACGCATCTTAAGCCTTCGTTTAACAACAATGAAGTAGCTCTTGCTGGATGCCAAGATCTCTGGCATAAATTCATCATTTTTAATGCTGCAAACCACAAAATGCCTACGATTCTGACTGCTGTTATTGTAACCTGCGAGCCAGAAGTTCTTATACCAGTTATGTACAAAATGGAGAATGAAAACAAATGTGTGTTTCTTGCGAAGTGTACTTTGGTAGCAATAGAAAACCTCGTAAAGCAGAACTTGACGATAATGTTGCCCTCGGGACAAGTTCTGTACATGGACATCGTTTTGGGATTCCTCGACACGCAGAACTTGATGATAAACCCTAGTAAAGCTGTGACCCATGCCTTGTATTATCGATATGAACCAGCTAAGAAGATATTAAATCTCGATAACTTTGAGAACGATAAAAACTTGGGCCCAATGTATTGTCCATTATCGGCTCCCAGAGTCTTTCTGTTTGTTTTGCGTTGTGCAAAAATGGGAATTTTGGGCAACGCTCGTGATATGAAACTCCCTGTACGAGAGTTAAGTCTTCGCAACAATGGCATAACTGCTATAATGCCGTATGAGAAATTTTTCAACTACCATTTAACGAAATTAGACCTGAGGCACAATAAAATAGATGATGTGGATTATTTACGGTATTTCTCAGAATTTAGAATAACGGAATTATGGTTAGATGGAAATCCTTTATGTACAAGGTACAATACATCGGAAGAATATATACAGGCTATAAAACTTGTATTTCCACACTTGCAAAAGTTGGATGGAATTTCGATTGGCGTGGAAAAGAAATTCGTACCCATGTTGCAGCCTCACTATCTGGGAGATGGCTCTAGATCAGGTTTGATCAAGCAATTTGTAAAGCATTACTTCATGTTGTTTGACCAAGAGGACAGAATCGTTATGCATGGTCTATATGACACAGATGCATTTTTCTCTATGACTTTGGTAACAACCTCTAACTATGTACATAGATATCTGTCGAGGCTCGTTGCCAACAACAGAAACTTACTTAAGTTTGTTGATTATGCCAAGTGTCATGAATTTCTATTACAAGGACCTGAACGAATCATTAATGCACTTAGACGTCATCCGATTACTGTGCACAATTTAAAGACATTTAATATTGACTTACTTCATGTAGGAAGTAGACATGCAGTGATCTCGGTGCAAGGCTTATTTTCCTATAAACAATTGCCAGGATCACGTATGTCATTTAACAGAACGTTCATTATTGTCGCAAAAGAAGACAATGAATATTGCATCGTTAATGATCAGTATCATATCGACAATGCTCCAAGTATAGTGGACAATAAAGATTTAAGGCAAGAAGTGAAAGAAGTGCCGATATTCAAACCTACACTGTTTAGTCCCTCCGAGAAGGAACAGTTACTTGGATTTTTACATGAGCTAACTTCAATGAACTTGAAATTTTGTCAAAGATATTTAGAGGATGCCAATTGGAACATTCGTGGAGCGATAATCAACTTCATGAAAAGTTATACAGTCAATGACGTACCACCTGAAGCATTTAGGTAAAATCATGTAGTCAAACAATTAGTTCATCTACAGTATATTGTATAATATTACGATCCTTTAATGAATAAGAATGATGGCTACTTTTAAGTAGTATTATTTGTATATAAAATCACATTTTTTGTAATAATGTACAATAATTACATAAATTGATATCCACTTGATTTTTGTATTTATATACTAACGTGACTTTGTTTCGCTCATTTTTCCGAAAATACGGAGCTCATGTATATAAGGCTCCAGAAATACTCAAGTCATTGACACAAAATTTATACAGCATATAAATGAATGACGTTCTCTTAAAGTTATACAAAACATAATACATTAATCATCATCAAGGAATATATCCTAGTTTTCGATCTAAAACCACAAATAATACTCAAATTTTAATTTCTTACCTACAGTGGATGATATTCCGTTATCTTTGCTTTGTACAAAACTTGACGATAGAATTACCTTGTCATTTAACAGCCTTGCTGTGTATTCAACATAGCTATGCTTTTGTTAATACAAGGGATGGTGTTCACGTTTGAATTTACACCAAGTTCGAAAACCTTCTGCATGAGTGGCAGAGCATGCTCTGAAATAGAAACACAAAGATGCAAAATAGCAATATACAAATGCGTACTTTTAATAATGTTAAGTAATACATACCTTGCATACAAAGAACAATGTCCGGTAATCTATCCAGAGCCGACATTAGGACATCGGCTCTGGAACTATCCAAACATCTCTGAAACGCAGAGAGTATATTCAGATTAGGAGCAGGTCGATGCTTCAAAGCTCTCGAAAGCAAAGTATGCGCCAGAGTTCTAATATTGCCTTGCGGAGACACAAGGAGTTCTGCTATGTTGTCAATTACAGGTTCTAACACCGATGGCTTTCGAGATGACAAGTGCTCTATTTCTTGCAGAGCTGCGAACACATCTGAAACACAATTTGAAACAATTTATATCACTTTGTTCATTGCTTTTGTGAAGCATATGGTATTAATAATTTACCTTCTCCGTGAAGTTTAGTTAATGTTGTTAATAATGACGTCCAGTGCTGCGGAATGAGTGGTTTCGTAGGTGGAGGTGTTGGTGCAATCGTAACAAGTACTTCTTCGTTGTCTTCACCCTCTCTGGGTATCGGTATCCCAGATATAAGATTTCTCAAGCTCACTAATCCTAGATGTTGCATTTGCAACTCGCTGTAATAAAAAAAATAATTAATGTTTATAAGTGTACAATGAATTACGATGCGATGAATTCTAAAAAATGTTTATGTATAATTTACTTACTGGAGAGTGTGAGCATGTTTGTGCAAATACTTTAATGCCTTTTGTGCATCGTGAGAAATATATGCCTGCAGTAATGCAACGAACCTGTTTAATAGCGGTATAAGTTCTTTTATATGGCCATAGTTCTGAAAGAAAAAATCGATTAACCAATAGAAATGCATGATATTAATTATGAGAAATAGTAATAAGTAGGTATTGATGAAATTCCTACCTGAAAACAGTAAAAATAATTTTCGAGCGTATCCTCGAACGCAGTTCTATGCTCTTCGTCAAATAAATGAGGTTGCAGTAATTCCAATAATCCCATAACTTGCACAAAAAGATTCAAATGGTGGCCCGATCTGAACTGAGGAAAGCCCAAGTAACATCTTCCTGTAAGTGATGAAGACAGCATGGGAAGCTGTCGTAAGACTAGGATGGGGTGAACTGTCGCCATTTTTCTGGCGCACAATTCAAATTCCTGAGACTTCGAAATCCACGATTTTTGTCGCGGAGTTGCTGCCAAAGCTGTCAACAGGGAATGACTCATGCAATCCAGCACTGAACCGGTCCAATTTGTGATTCGTGCCCCAGCAACAAATTTTTTCCTTTCAAATGTATCAAGATAACAGATCACTTTTGGGATCTTCATGTATAAATGTAAAAGAAATTGATGTGCCATGTCAGAATGTTGGCTGAAAAGAATGGATGACAATTAGTAAATGTCAGGCTTCGATGGAATTTAAAGTCGCTTAGTAACTCTTACTTTTCGCTTTCCATCATTTGCCCTGCCAAAAATCTAACAACGGCAGCTATCAAGTAGTCATCCTCAGACACACAATGTAACAATAAATCAAGTCGTGTCTCCATTTGTGTCAAAGCTGCATTCCTATTCTGTCGATTGCATATGATGACAGCTTCGGCTACTAGATATGCCACTAGGTTTAATAACTGTGCATTGGTTAAAAGTAAAACATTTTCTGGAACGTAATGTTTTGGAGTGAACTTATCCCGACCCTGCCAAAGTTTAGGATTGCATGTCAGTGCCCATAAGAAATCCAATACAGCAGTAGGGTCGTATCTGTAAAATGGTTATTTAGTATTTATATAAATTTTAATGCAAGATTTTTGTTCATTCTTTCACACACTTACACTTCGTCGCACTTATCCAGCAAGTGTCCCACACATTTGTACAACGTCGCCCAGCTAGCTCTGTGTGTCAACAGTGTTAATAAATAAGGTCTACACGAATGCGAGGTGGTAACACTCTCGTCGATTTTCATATGAAAATTCGTCTTCCCGAATAACAGCTTGATCTGTAACGACGGACAGATACCAATCAACTCTGGCTCCACCGAAGCTAACCAATCGATTAACAGACCAGTTCTAGGTTTCACGACACATTCGTTGCTATCGGATAGCAATAACTTTGCCATGGCTTCAACAAGAACATCGTTCTTTTGTTGCTTGAGACACACATCTAATAATTTACGACCCACTCCCTCTAGATTCACCAGATCTGTATTTTCAAGTATTGTCAGAGGATCTCCATTCTGTACCAGAATTTGTCCCGTTAATTCTTTTCTCTGCTGAGACTTTTTTGAGTGCAAATTCGCAAAGTCTTTAAGAATGGATAATATAGGTGCTTTGACATCACCGATTAGAGATGTCAAATTTACGCACATGTTACGTGCAAGTTCCACAACCTGCATCGACGTTGATGCTCTCTTTAGTGGTAACAAAATCACTCTCATCAATGTGCAAGAATACTGAGGCATGTGAACTAGAGATGACAGGAATTGTTTGACTTGCATGGAGCTCAACACGCTGCATATATGTTGGATTGCCAAGACGACTGCGCTGCTTTCCTTGGCAGACTTCTGCAGGTCCTTCGCAAGAGTCTTGTGCAGTCTCCTGTAAGCTTCTATTTTTTGATTAATTGGCAAACTCTCAATAAACAATCGATTTATCAGATGCGGAACGTCAGTTTTCACAGAACACTGTATCACAGACTGTTTTTGCACCATCGAACTGGGTGGTAAAGTTTCTTGAAGCTTCCCCACTGTTAGCATACTCTCATCGGGTAGCTGTGGCTCCAACAACTGCAGCACTTGCACAAACACTAATCCACCTGTCGCTCCTCTTTGATGCTGGACTTTCACCAGCTGCGCCATGTATGTCTTATCCAACACAGCTTCCCCAACTGATCCTGGATCGATCTGCACTGCTGCATCCAGAGTGTGCAAAAGTTTGCTCATCGAACACACCGGTATGCCAAAGCTTTGAATAAATAGCACCAGCTGTTGCGGCTCGAGGTCTTTCAAAGCTGCATCGACCAAACGAGGTACGTTGCTTCTTATCATGCGCAGTTTAAGCCAGTCTGGGATGAGTAAAGCCTCTTCGCTGGTGTCTACCAGGAAAGCCTTCGGAGGCTCTCCGGTTTCTGGAAACCAGGTGTCGAGGAGCTCATTGAACAGTCCCTTGTCATCGGCTGGGTCATACGTCAGCAGGATGATCATCGCATGGACCACCAAGATGTGCATCGTACACTCTTCTCCACTACTCCACTGTACCAGGATCTGATCCTGACTCTCGGACCAAGTGTAGCCCTCTCCTCGGGGTGCTCGCGCTTTTTCCAGGTAATTGCAAAATATCGCCATGAAGGCGTGCAGCGTTTGCTTCGACTGCTGAGTCTCATTATCTGACTGTGGCAATATGGCAGCGATTATGGTACTACGTTCTACGACCAGTTGAGAAATTTCATTCGCCAGGTCGATTAAGTCCGGGAGCTCATCTTCCAGAGTGTGAACCGCGAGATAGGATATATAAGCTCGTACCAGATCCGGACAATTCTCAACTTGACAAGCGCCGCGCAGTGCCGTGGACACGAGAGATCGTACGGCCAGAAAATGTGGAATCGATGGCAATTTTTTGAGCAACCACACCTCCCTGTAACAGTGCAACATCATTAATGAACGCTAGATTTCACATATTAGCTAGTCAAAGCTAGCAATGCGATATACTACTCGTATTCTTTCTCGTTCCTCATTACTATTAAATGACACTTAGAAACGTACTTATCGTTTTCCCCATCTACCTCCATACTTTCTTCCTCTGCAGTGATAGACCCCAGTACCATTTTGAGTCCAGTGATGGCTTGGAGACGACTTCCGCTCTGTTGGCTGCTCAATCTTCGTAAAAAATATTCCAGCACTTCGTAGGCATGTTGCTGGTCCTGTTTAGGATCGGTAAGCAGGGTCTGCAGGTGTCCAAGTAATTGCTGTTGTCTGGGCTGTTTATCCACTGCCTGAGCATTAGTCGACAGCAGAAATTCACAGAGACACTGGACGGGCAATTGGCTGAGGGAGCCTTCACTATTCTGAACGAGATCGGCTAGCCAAGGCATGCTCTGCGAAGAGCTTTGCTGTTGTCTTTGGATAATGTCTAACAGGAAGTCTGGTTTTCTTGAGCGACACAGCAAATGCCCCAAACGATGTGACACATTTAAGGATTGTATCTGAAGTAACACTGGTTGTGGTGGTTTACGAGCTATCCCAGTTGGATCCATCGTGATCAGCTGTGGCAGTAGGAGACTGTTCTGTTCAGAGATTTGCATCCTCGTGGAAGCAGCGGCTAGATGAGACTCATATTCAAGGATTTCCTGTTTTTCTAAGACTTCCACTTGCAGTTCTTTGGTGCGCTCTTGTTCTATAATTTCTGGCAGGGCCATCGTAGGTGGAGGATATGAAAAGTGACTACGTAAGCAAAACATAGGTTTTAAATACATGGATGACTGAACATGCAGTGATACATAATTCTTCTGACACATGAGAATACGCATTAAATTTTATCTCACGTGTATAAAGGTAACAACTTACTTCGTGATACACATTTCCATTAGTGTTCTTAATATGGGGTATCTTTTCCACGCAAGGGCTCCAATTGTTGATGGATTGTGTGCCGCTAGTATTAATAACATGATCCAACCTTTCCAATATAAATTGGATATAGCTAATGTAGGTGGAACGTACCTGTAAATACAAATTAATGTAAAATTTCATGCTCACATGATAGTGAGTCTATTATGATAAACAATGTTTTACCCTGCAGGTATGTTGATCGATCCAGGTGGCTGATATACGCAGAGATTAAAAATGAGTTCGATTAAATCGAGCTTGTCAGCTTGTAGCGTGGGAAAAGATTCCGTTGAGTTCACTGCTGCCCTGCGTATCAATTGATCTGCTATGTCCAATGTCTCGGAATGAGTAATTCCATTATCCTGTTGAATTTAAATGCCAAGTGTTTTAAGATGTATTCATAAAGCAGATCTTTAAGAAATATTTTTGCACGGTTCTTACCTTGGAGAATCCAATTAAAAACAGGCGTAATAGAGTACTTTGTAAGAGTGGCACATCGGATATTACACGCATATAGAATACTCTGTCCGACTCTGGTGGCCAATTGTCTAATTTGTAGTATTGTTCTGGTGATTCCAACATCAACGTCTTATGCAATGCATGGAACAATTCGTTTCTTCCAACCCCATACATCTGGGGTGCAACATTGTGTAGCCATGAGACTGCTTCATATTGTATCGTAGCAACTAAATTTTGAAACTGATGTAAGAGCGCGATATCTTTTTTATCTCCACGCTGTGCCAAGACTGCTGCCTCCTTCACCTGTGGACTTATTGCTAAAAACATACACAAACACAATAAGTCTGCTATCGAGATGAAAACTCTGTCTTTGAATTCAAAGTTTAACAATTGTTGAGCAATATCCTGCCGCTCCCACATCAGAGTTCTGGCTAGAGTTTTTAAATTTATATCGTGTCGACATACGCGCACAATTTCTCTCAACAGTGCCCGGAGAGGTCTCAAGTAGTCTTCGCGATTCATTAATAGATCTTGGAAAATTTCCGCCAGCAATTTAGCCGATTGTTCAGGAGACGTTTGAAACATAACTGCCAGCATCGGCATATTGTTCGGATTCCTTGCATTTGACAACTCATTGTAAATCGTATGTTTCAGAATTGTCGACAAGTTCTCCGGGTGTAGTCCTATTAACTCCTTGACTCCATTTAAGTACAGATTAATTACAGCTTTAGTTTTCAGTCTCATCTTCACCAGTTGACTAATTACTTCCACGTCTCTTTGAGTGTGAGACGTGCAGTTGTAACAGACGTAACTTAACAACTCCTGTGCAGGTCTCATTAACTTAGGATTGTGCAGCCATACTTCTAATCTCGGAATGGCTATGTTCCTAATTTCTACAAATCCACACGTGGATGAAAGCAGCCGTAAAAAATTTCTCGTGATCGATTCAGGTTGTCTTCGGTTCAATTGTTCCTTTATAGCTTCTAACACAATGAGTTCAATGTTGTCAATGCAATGAGCATATCGTGGACACACTGGAAATTCGATCTTCTCCTTTTCGTTAGAGGTTTGTATCGTAGAAGTTCCTGAATCCTCATCTTCTAATGTTGACGGACTGTGGCAGTCTCTCGGTGTTAAAACAGGTAATTCTGGCTGTAAAACATTTTTTGGCGGGTGCCTTGTATTAAACCCTGTTAAAATGTTATCAACAAAACCCTTGCACTCTTCATTATCCACCCATACACGTTCTCCCAAGGCATCCTCGATATAAAGCTGCATAAGAAGAGGTATTTTATATTATATTATTTACCTAGTACAATTACTGCGTGACATAAATATATATTAGTTATACCTTAACAAAAATTTCTGGCCAGCTTTTCTTTTCATGAAACCCTCTCATTAATAAATTAGCTGCAAGCACAGGAACCAGAGGATTTCCTTTGCTTTTAAAGTTATGCGACTGGTCTCGTTTCAACAGAGAGGATAAGGCATGTAATATACAGTCATTTGAAAATATCGATGGCCGAATCTTGGCCAAGTACATTAGTCCCATGTACATTAATACATCTGGTTTCCATCTCTGGTTCTTTAATGCCTTGATAACCCCACATATAATTCCAACAACTTTATCTCCTTCATCATTGTCACTAGCTTCGAGAACCATTGGCACGAGATCAGCAGGTTCGCAATCTATGGCTACAACTTCCCATGCTTCTGCACTGGAAAGAGCAGGTCTTGGATGCGTTGCATGTGCTGCTAGCTTTGGTTTCTTCTGTGGAATTAAAGACTGAATCGACCCAGCAGGTGCTTCCTTTTTACGGTCTGTACCTAAAACAAATAACAATCCTTTAAATACCATAAACTTAACTTATATACTCAGTATTCACTAGTAAACTGAATTTAGACAGAGTGCAAAATGGGAAAATATTCCTATAAGTTTATACATGAAAGTAAAGAGAGAATGGTATATTAAGGTTGAAATAACAGTTTGTCAATGACGATTCTTATAATAAGGGATTACCTGAAGAGGAGGAACTACCACTAGTCTTTCCATGAATTACACCGGGTCTTTTGGTATCTGAACTTTCTCCCCGAGAACTTTTCGCACCAAGAGCAAATAAATCCGCAGGATGCTGCGCAACTTTGTTCTTCGCTCCACGACCAACTCCTGCTTTACTCCGATCCATTGTTCCATATATCTAAGTACACCTGAAACAGTTGTCAGCTGAGACACCTTTTAACAATCTGATTTATTATTTACTAGATATTCATAACAAAACATTGATCAGCACTTTAAATTTAAGGCAAAAGTATTACCAAAAAATAAAATAACAAGTTTCTTGACAATATCTCATCTTATAACGAGAGCAGTAGCTAGGTAGAACCTGGAGAATTAATTAACTCTACCGTTCTAAACATAACTTCAAATAAACATTTCCATTTCCAAGTTATAACAGAGATGAGTTGGGAGATTGCTTACGGGCAGGATCGTGCGATCGCATCCTGTGCTGCCCTCTGGTTTCGTACGTTAGCTTTCACCGTTTTTTGCCCCCAAGGGCGGCGCAACGAATTTCTGATAGGAGCTCGCGCACTCGCGATGGCGGTACCATCTACCAGTCGCCATTGGCGGATCACGTACTCGTGATGGTATACCATGCGGCAGTTGACGGTGGTGGCTTACCTACGCTTACCGATACTGCTCGCTTTTGATGGCAAGGGAAGAACACTCGTGACGCTCCATTTGACTTTATCTACTTATCTACTACTATTAAGTACATTGTTGCCTTGAAGTCGACGCGATGCGGAGCTTTGGGGCGCGCGTCGGTGTCGCGTACGGAACTCTCGTGCAGCGAATCTGTGAGTGCGATAGCTCCTAGAAATCTTCGCGCGTCCCAACCAGCCAAGCGCCAAGCTACGGGTCGAGACGTTGAGTATGTGTGCATTCGGCGCTACACTCGACAAGTATGCGTGAGACTCGAAAACTGCGAAAAATCCTCCCGAGGCTTACCTAACTGCGGATATAAGCCGAGTCATTTCACGTATGATTGTTACATTTCCCTACTAGCGTTATCGAGCGTTTCTAGAGCGTTTTTGAAAGTTTTCGAGCGTTATCTAGCGTTTTCGAGTGTTTTTGAACGTTTCGAACGTTTCCCGGTCCTTTTCTGCCGGAGAGTTGCCGCAGAGTGCCGGAAAGTGCCGGAGAGGGCCGGAGAGTTGCCGCTGAGTGCCGCAGAGTGCCGGAGAGCACCATCGGTATTACCAAAACGACTGATACTTAAATGAACTATGGTTGAATAAGATTTATAATACATATTTAAATAATAAAAAGAAAACGAAATCGAAAGCAACACCTGTTATATCGTATTCATAGCAGTTTCCTTAAATTAACAAAATACTTGATAAGCTTTTCTGACCTGGTCTTAAGGAAAGCGATGTGTCAATCTCACATAAAAAAAAGAATATTAAGACTCGTGCTATGTGCAATTAACCTCAATTGACTCGAAAGCATTTATTTGTATTTTGCTCGTCGTCTCGAGTCGTGCCCGTTAGTCACTCACTTTCTCACATTTACTGATTCATACTAAATTAAGACACAATTTTGCCATGTTAAATATTTATTTTAATCAAATGTTAGTTCATTTAATGCAGTTATGCACGAGACTTTCAAACCCCCGACTCCCTCTTAGAACGATAAAACGATATCTTCTTAATCATCAGTGAACAGAACGAATGACATCGATGACATGTGATTTCGAAATATTCCTTCATTCAACTTCCCTGCATAACACGAGCCAGCACGAGCCTATAACAATCCCCGACAATACTACCGAATACTACGCCGTGTACACAACGTGTACTACAAATCCCCAACCGAACATGGCGCGTACTACAATGTAATGCTGCATTCACCAACTCTTTTTTTCTCCCCCTCTCTAACCAAACTATACTTCGTGCATTCCATTATCGCGAATTACCGCTGCCATTGGTCACCTTTTACACGCTGATAAGCTGCAGCCAGGACATGCACTCTCCCACACTATTACGATCTATCGCTGCATTGACTGCATTCCGCTCTACTACTTGCAGCGTAGGACTATAGTACCACTTGTTCCGCGGCCACAGAATCCGGCGCTCCCATTGGCTGCGCTCTCATTCGTGATTCGTTGCGCCACCTCGCTGCCGCTCCGCATTCCATCTCCGGAGATATCGGGCAATACCGGGAGATACGTGCCCGCGTCAGTGTGCGGTGGTGTGTCGAGGCGTGCGATCGTGTGCGGCGGATCGTCGACGGTGTGTCGCATCGGGTGCAGTTTCACCAACACAGAGGGGCGGCTTCGAGTACGCAGCACCTCATTATTCAAGATGGCAAGGGAGAACGGAGGCGTCCCATAAGGTGATTGTAAACAAGAAGGCGTTTTCGAAACGAGGGACGGATTTCTAACCAAGAAAGAGGTTCGTCGCGCTCTCTGACGTAAGGAAGATGGCAAAGTCCGTATTGAGCTCGGATACCCTTCCAAAGGCAGGGCGAGTAAACGAGGGTGAGTGTCAGATGTGTCTCTCAGTCTCGATTTGTGGAGTTTGTTTGATAACGTCGTTTTCCCGGAATGTTCCAGTGTGTCGCGAGTGGCTGGTACACGAAGACGGCGCACTGGCTTACCGACTGCAGGATGAAGAAAGTAGGTGTAGTTCTTCGAGTCCGTGGGAAATGTTCCCTCGAGACTTGTTTGTACCTGTATCTTGAATTCCTTAATGAGTCACTGAGAACCTTTTTCTTTGTTCTCAGTTAAGGAGCATTATACGGGAAATAAGGTACGCAATGCTCAAGTACGGGAAGATGCCCCGAGGGCCAGGGTCGAACAGGAACTGGAAGCCTTGAGATACCAGAATTATGTTCAGCAACAGTTAGTAGAACTATGTTGAGTATAACGATGGGAATTGAATATTTTAAGCTCGTCTTAGGATATTGTTGCATGTTTTCGATGGTTGCACCTACGATTTCAAAAATTTTGAAACTATGACTTTTAGAAAGTAAAAGAAATTTTTAAAGTGGGACATTAATTTTTTATGTCTCTAAAACTTATACGTGGACTTAATATAAAGCGATCAATGGGTATCCCATTTGGTTTCCATTACCATTGTGAATCGATAAACGCGTGGATTTACAAAGTACTTTTGAACCGACAGAGAGGAACGGGATGCCCTTGTCGCGAAGCAAATAGCTCTAAATCTGGAACGAGAAGAACGACACAAGGAACGAGAGTTGCAGGAAAGAATGAGGTTGCAGTTGAGATTGGACGACGAAGCAGCGGAGTTGGAGGCACGATTGGTAATCCAAAAGCGCGTTCAAGAAGAAAAGGATCGGGTGAGAAGACTGCTGCTAATGCTTAAGATTTTTTAAATTCTTTATAAAGACATAAATAACCTTAAATAGGAGCTAGCAAGGAAGTTGCAACAAGAAGAGGAAGAAGCCTCCGAGGATACAGGAGATGGTCCAATTAACGAGCAGTTATTACTCGACCAGAAAATCGCGATGGAGGCACAGGATGCAGAACTGGCGCGGCTGCTGCAAGAAAAAGAACGAGCGAAGGCACGGCGAGCCAGGGAGCGAGCTAAACAGAGAAAACTGGAAAGGCAAATGCAGCAACTGGAGGGGCAGAATCTCGAGGAGAAACCTCCAAGACCCGACAAGCTGGAATTAAAGGCATCTCATGACAGGACCAAGTCTCGTCATAGCTCCTCCTATCCAGTTTATCCCGATCCAGAGGAAATTCAAGTATTGGACGAATCTATAGAAGAGGTACGAGAAGTACCTAACGTCGCTGCCATGATCGATCCGACCTACAATGGAAACACTCATCGAAGTACGTCCAGTGGTTCTAGTAGCACCGTGAGTCCTGGGTTCGCCCTGCCTATGTCGCCACAAGAATCGTTGATAGACGATGTGCCTTGCTACATGCCTATACCTGGTCAAAGACGTAATCAGAACCAGTCTCCCTCGAGGATGCACAAGGAGAAGCAGAAACGACGAGTTAAAGACGGATGCAAACAGCAGTAGAGAACACAGGTGAGACGGTTTCAGATGTTAAGGATTATTCCAGGGTCCTGAACCTTACGACTTTGCGACGTTCCCGTATAGACTTAGCGTTAGGTGAGTGTACGGTGACAGTTTGTCAATGATCATGAAACTCGAGATAACCCCAAAAATGCCTTAACGCAACGCGACGGATCGCTGCGATACTTCCGTGCAGAAGTAATGCTAAGATTGTAGTACGTACCGATCCCTTTCAAAATAAGAAGACTTCGTCCTGGCGCGAAGTTGGTCGTATTAATGTGCCTTGCTAATGGGCAAAATTCTCTTCACGCCTTATACGGGCGTTTAATTGATATAATACCGAAACGGCCATCCGCCGTACGAAACTAATATAGTATTTGTAGAATCGGCCCCGCTGTTGGCGATAGCGCTCCAAAAGTGTACCGTCCTTGAATCGAGTGTTAATTTTGATTCACAGGTTATGTCATAAGAAGTAACTTAGTACTTGCTAACATTTCTTTGGATACTTTCTTTGGGATGTAAGGCTAACATAACGAAACCGTAGTTGAATCAGAATGCGTCGAGCGAATCGCAACACCCAGCGATTCGTAGACACTTTTTCACTTTTTATTCCTTTTTAACACGTCAAGAATGATTAGCACCGATAACACGTGTTCGGCTATTGCCTGGCGACGCCTATTTTGTACAAAAGAACGTTTCATTCGGTATTCCGAGTTTATTATTCGGTTAGGATCGTGATTACTTTGAGATCTCCGTGTCCGAAGGCTGTCCACTTTCCACTCTAAGGGGGAGAAACCGCATTTTCCATTCTTTCTTTCATTTCCTTTGTTCTTCCTTTTCTTAGATCATGCCGCTATCGGAAATGAATCATAGTTTAATAGACCATTGAACATTCATGTCGATCGTTCGGTTCGACGAACTCGATCCGCCGGCTTTACCTTGTATTACTTCACCGCGTAATTACAACGACAATGACAACACTGCCAAAGATCTGATACTTTAATATTTGGTTCGCGAGTTGAGATCGGTCTGTACGAGACGTGTAATATCGAGGATTAAAATATAACGGTGATGTATTCATCGCCGGACGCGAAAAGTAGCACAAGAAACGCGGCTTCGTGAACTCACTGACATTTCGCCGGGAATTGGGCACAGGCGATGGGAATTCTCTCCCCGCGTAACACTTTTGCGACAGTGAAACGCATTTGAGGGTCCAGGTCGGCCATCTTGAATTTTAACGAAATTACGTATTCACAAATAACCTTTCGTCAAAAATATTATTCTCGTCGTGGTATACCGATTGGGAATCTTTCGTAATTTCGTTTGACGTTAAAATTCAACTTGGCCTGTGTGTGTTTATTCGGACTCTTCGGAAACGCTCGTACCTGGATACACGTTGCAATTTCCGAAGAAATTCAATGAGATTCACGACCTGTCGGGTCTTTGATGCATTAAGGCCTTGATGAGTAGCATTAATTACATACTAATAATTTAATAATCAGTCCATACTAATGATGGAGCGTACGATTGTTGATTCCGGTAACTTTCGGTTAAGAAAAGGATTACGTATTTTTTAGTGACGGTATTTGTTTTTAATTCGACCGCGTAACGTCTGTAGATATACTCGGGTTAAGTTTTCGAAACTCTTGGGTCCTCTTATATCAATAAGTTGTACTTCCCTAGTATTATAATTTTCTAGTTGACTTTTGGAGGGGATCTCGAATTTACGAGACATGCAATAAAGAGTATGGATGCGTACCCGTTAATTGCGTTTCTGATTTAACGACCGATCGGTTGCCTTGGTAATAATTTATGATTTCAAGGAGGGCATTTTTACGCTAGGATCTAAGCTCACTTAATTATCGCAATTCTCCACGGTGACTGGACTGTTCTTTTGACAACCTTATACGTTAGTTTTCCTATACGTTTATTGTATCAATATAAGCTATACATAAGCATATCAATAAATTATTTACAACCGTATGGTACAAGTATCCGTCGAACCAGCAGCTCGTCACCCCGGAAACCCATTGCGACATGTTCGATGATCCTGGGACAATAGAATTTATCGGATAGGATGAAAATTAAAGGGATCGATTTACAATAAAAGGACTGTCGAGAGAATACGATCTTTTCGGTTTGTTCGAATGGAATTCGGTACGTAAATTAACGATCGCTGAGAGTCCCTCCTTTGTGAATTGGAACTGGACTTTCGATGACGGGGGTGTACAATTGTCACACACGAGACTAATTCTGTCTTCATATTATTTAATGTGTTATCAATTAACCGAAACAAGGAGATCTTATGCTCTATCGATACAGTATACTTGGCTGAATATTATGCGACCCGAGGGCGTGTAACGCGATAATTGTAACGACCTTAAGAAAATTATAAACAAATTCCGACCCTGCACATCGAATAAAAGTGTTCATCGAACCAGAGAAGTATAACGATGGGAATTGAATATTTTAAGCTCGTCTTAGGATATTGTTGCATGTTTTCGATGGTTGCACCTACGATTTCAAAAATTTTGAAACTATGACTTTTAGAAAGTAAAAGAAATTTTTAGTGGGACATTAATTTTTTATGTTTCTAAAATTTATACGTGGACTTAATATAAAGCAATCAANCTTTACAAGTCTTTACAAGAGACGCGTTCTATTTTCCAGCGAAGGTGCGATCTCTCGATCGGAGGATAATTTCACTGGGACTTTCTAAATGATTTATGCGCTCGAGGGTGGGAGATTTAACGAGCAATTACTCTTCGCATCTAATTACACCGGCAATTGCCTTCCCGAGGTCTGGCGAAATTATACTCCGATATTGAATTTAATCGTGAAGCTGATTTCAAGTTGCGAATGTGCGAATCGAGGATCGTCGTTTTCATGCCAAACTCGTAAATGTTGGTCGGAGAGACCTTAAAAGGATATATTTTCCGCATCGGGGATATCTTTAATATCAGAAATCGCCGGTCAATCGTGTTATGGCTTAATATATCAACGCTCGGTGTTTTAACCCTAGAATCTGAAATGAAACTTTTTATTATCAAACCTTATAGACATCGTTTTTCTAAATCACAGTATTCAGCGTGAAAACGATCTTGTCTGGATTCGCATTATCGACGCGCGCGATTTATCCCGAGTATTATACAAAATTACATAACCGTCGCTTTTCGACCCGTCTGAGAAGAAATTATTTCATTACCGCTTTATTATTGTAAATTTTGTGCGAGACTGAAAGATCCTAGTTTCCCTTCGGTTCGAGGATTTCTTCTTTCTCGGCAACTCTGGCTCCATCTCCATCTCTTCTTTCGACAACGGAGAGATAAAGTTCATATTTTTCCTGCAAACAGAGATCATTAGTAATTGTTTAAACGATCTGCGGGGGGATTTACGGAAATGCCAAGCTTGCGGGATTTTATAGCAATATTTTAATCTCCTCGATAAGCAGTGCCATTACATTTTTGCCTAATCGACGTTATCGCATTTCTCGTATTCAATAGTCTTGCACGGAGGGCTTTATATTTTAGGGACAGGGTACAACAGAAAAATCATTGTTTAGAATATTATTTTCTTAGATTAGCCAGTTTAGGCTCGAGATAAATTCGCTTACACAAGAGCAAGCGCAGGACAGTCAAAGTTATGGGTTTAGGGTAGAATAAATACCTACGAGGCTGCTTTGGTGTAAGTGACTTCGATCTTGTGTGTGGTGGTGAGAAAACATATTCTGGTATTCGATCCGTCCCTGCGAAAATAAGTTTGTACAGTCATTCGTTCTTGCTTCACTAAATTTGACTTATCAAGTCATGTATCTCGGATACGTCAAGATCTATATAAAGTCTCGCTTAAAAAAATGTCTACAAATTTGACCGCGAGGTTATGGGGAACGGCTTAATAATTTTATGTTACCTCTCTGATCTCTAGGATACCCTGACGGTTCACTAGGAGGCGAGAAGGAGAACACTTTCTCCTCCTCGACACTTTTCTGAGAGGTTTTCCTCCCTCTTTTAGGTCTCGATAAGGTCTCTTCGTCTGGTGAATCTCTAGTCTGGTCAGAGGTTAGGGGAACTCGCACTTCGGAATCGTCACTCTTTTGAGATGCCTTCCGTCCACTCGTTGGCTTGCCCACTGCCAACTCCTCTTCGTCGACACTTACTCCAGACGTCGTTCTCTTCCTCCTCTCGAGCTGTCTCTTGACAGGCTTCTTGACACTTTCATCTTCCTTCTCCTCCTTCTTTGATTCATCTTCCATTTCCTTAGATGGCTCCTCTACGATAACCTCCTCCGTTAGTCTTCTAGGAAGCTTTCCTATCCGAGTGGTCTTTCGCTTCGATGGCAGTTTGACAGGTTCTTCGCTGGCAGCTCTTCGCTCTCTGGCTATGGAGCTCTTTTCCTTCTCCGTGGTAGCCTTCGAAGGCCTCCCCTTGGCAGGACTTAGAATTTCCTCAAGTTCCTCGGGTATCGACTGTATGGAGGAACGTCGACTCCTGGTGTTCGCTGCGGGGCTACTGGTCAGACTTTCCAAGAGCTGAGGTTTACTTCTCCTGGTGGGCACTGGAGATCGTGGCTCTTCTGCGATGATCTCTTTCGCTAAGCTGCTGGACCTGGTGATTCTGGGAATCTCTTCGGGGATGGTTTCCTTTGTTATGCTGTTAGACCTTGTGGCTCGACGAGTCTCTTCAGGAATAACTTCCTTCGATGAACTACTTCTTGTGATTTTAGTCTCTGTTACGGTATCTTTGGGCACCGAGCTGCCCCTCTTTCTTGATGTTTTCTGTACAGATTTTTCACTGACATCCGAGGTGACCGAAGAAGACCCAGTAGCTCTTGAAGGTAAGCTTGCGTCAGGATTATCATTGATATCCGATGATACGGAAGAAGACCTGGTTGCTCTCGATGGCAGGTTGACATCTGCATCTTTAGACGAGGAACCTCTTCGAGGCTTTCCTACTTTTTTCGCTGGTGTTGTTGGTTTCTCTTCATTTGGTTTCTCTGTTCTGGGAGACACTTTGGATTTAGTTAAAACGATTCTTGGCTCCAAAGTCACTTGTTCTGGTATCAGGGTAGAATGTTTAGTTTTTCTGCTGGACTCTTTGGATTCGTTTTCGTACACTTGCTCCTTTGTCACTTTTAGCGAAGAGGTTAGGGTTTCTTTTGCTTGCGAGGATGATCTTGATCTTCCTTTTTTCACAATGTTCAAGGAGCTGTCCAACTCCGAGGACTCGGTAGGGTGGACTGCTTTTTCTAGAACCTTCGTCGAAGAAACCAGAACTTCTTTCACCAGAGAACTACCCCTTCGGAATCTCCCTATCTTCTCTGTCTCTGAACTCACCTTTGACGAAGACGCTGCTTCCTTGATCAAAGAGGAAGCTCTTTGAGACCTGGTCACTCTTCCCGGAGTCTCTTTTTCTAGCTGAGGTGCATCGATATCTTTCGTAGGAATACGTTTTACCGGAGTCGAGTCTTTACTGCTAGATTCCTCCGTCGAAGGCTTGGCCTTTGTTGATAATCTTGACACCGTTGATTCCCTGTCACTTTGAGGATCCACTTTAGAAATTGGAGACTCCTCTTTATTCCTTTTTTGACGTCTCGCTGAATTTTCTAACTCATCCGTAACATGCAACAATGGCGAAGACTCCACACTAGTGTATTCTAAGTCATCTGTCACATCGCTATGTTGATTCTCTTCTTTCTGGATATTGAGTACTTTTGTTGTCAAAGAAGTATTCTTGTTCCGTTGAGAAGTATTAAGGGACTTTCTATTTGTGATTTCGCGTACTTCAAGGTTAAGCTCTCTTGCATTCTGAATTTCTGCAGCTTCATCGATACTCTCTTTAGCTTCTTCGCTAACATCTGATTCGTCTTCTGTGAAATCTAGGTTATCGTACACACCTTCAGTTGGCATGGACGTAGAGACAGATTCTTCCTCGTGTTCTACTAACTCTTCTAACTCTTTTTCACTCTGTTGATCCGCGATCGGCTGGTAGTCGTCGTCCTTGGAGGACTCGTCATCGGTGATGTTCAAGTCACGAGCCAAGAAACCGGAAGTTTTGGATGCTCCGTTGTGATGCACAGAACAGGAAGATGTTATGTCATCCGAAGTAGACTTTTCATGCGAAGACTTACCGTGTTGAGTGCTCGTTTCAATGGAATTAGATAAGCTATGAAAACCTTCGTTGTCGCTTTCTTCGTTGTCTATCAAAGCTGGCATGTCGTCTTCCTCGGAGCTACTGGCCCGAGATAACCTATCGCTCCAGTCATCTTTCCCACATTTGATTTTATACTTCGCGAGTTCTTCATTCTCTTCTCTCAATTTCTCATGATCTCGTTGTACGGCTTCTTCATCCTCTTTGGTACTTTCTTTATTTTCCTGCTGTCTTGTGTCATTATCGATTACTCTTGAATCGAGTTCTACATAACCTGCACGGTATCTAGTAAGTTCATCTCTACCGTTTGAAGTTTCTCCTCTTTCCAAAGCCTGCGATGTTTCATTTACACTTTCACTCCTCGTAGACTGTCTTGTTAAATGATTCTTTGTATGCTCAAAGAACGGTGTAGAGTCAGTATCTTTTTCCACACCGAGTTTGCCCATGTCGGTGACACTTTCACTTCCATTAGCTTCAAGACAGTTTTCAGAAACTGTGACCATTGTCAAGGTACTCGTGCGCGTTGAAATCGATGTTCTGGTTTCAATGACCATCATTTTCCTTGAAGAGTCTGTACTTTTAGACAGCTTATCCTCCAGCGATTCATCGTTCCTCCTCAAAGGAGACCCGTCAATCCTTCCTTGGATAGACTTATTTTTATTACCACCGTTATCAGGAATCCCAGAATGGTCGAAGCTACTTCCCGAAGATAATATCGTTGATGCGTACATCGTGGAGTTTAGTAACGAATTTCGAGGCTTAGGAGTTTTCAATGCAGGTGTGCCAGCTTTATCACAATTAAAGAAGCCCGCAGAAGAGTTGCTGGATGTATCCATCGGCAATACAGAGGTTGAAGAAATTTTCCTAGAAGCAGTACTACCTGATGTAATGGGTGAAGCAATATTCGGTTCCAGGGATGTGTCCCTCGAGGACCTTTGACTGCTTCTTTTCAATCCTGGCCTCGGTCTAGGTCCAGAAATATTTCTACTGCCGATGCTGCTATCGTTTAATAGCACACTTTCGTTGAAAGACTTCTCACTGATGTTCGAACTGAAATACGTTTCGGTGCTTTCCTGGGACACGTTAACCTTATCTACAACACTCTCCGCAGGAACACCGTTAACTTCACTAATAGACAAATCGGAATCATCATTGGGCTGTCCAACGCTGAAACGAATCTGTCTTGGGGGTTTCTTCTCCTTCTCTCTTGGCTCATCTGTCAGCCGTTCCCATAAGTTCTTTTCGTTACTAAAAGTACACGGTGAGGTAGAATTTCTAAGTAGCTGTCGAATCTTCAATATGGATTGAGGAACCTCCGTATCTTTCAAGGTCTGGCTTCTCTTCAACACCAACGGTGTCTCCGAAGCAATATTCATGCCTGAATCTCTTTGGCTACCCGATGAGTTTCCTTCGTTGGAGATTCTTCTCCTCTTCCTGCTCTCAGGCGACGTTTCTTCATCTCTTCGATCCAAAGTATGCTTCCCTCGCCCTTTTTGCACCAACTCTGGGAATACCACGCAACTGCTGGCAATGTTATTTAAATTGGTTTTCAATGATAAACACGGAGCACTCACGAAAGGTATTCTTGCCCTTTCTCCACGCACATAAGTTTCCCTAACTTTCTTCATCGCACTCTCATAGATGTCCTTTGTTCTGGGACAACTCTTTCGGTGAGACATCGGTCTTGGATATCTTGACTCTGTGCTGACATCCAAACTCTTGCCTACATTGGCTGAGAATTGTTTTGCGACTGTAGGCATAGTGGCACTGTACGCTCCTAATATAGTTGCAGTCACAGATTGAGGCTCTTTCTTTCTAAGAATCGGAATTTGCATACTGCTTGCTTTAGCGAACTCGCATCTTTGCAGATAATAGAGAAGACGTAACTCGTCGCACTTGTTTTCCTCCAAAAACCTCACAAAGGCTTCCTCTTCTTCGGGGTCTAACGTCAAATGAAGTATGTCGTGAAGTTTTCCGTGAGTCTTGCATGCCAGGAAGAACCGAGAAAGCAACTCGGCGTAATGTGACGGTGGCCTCCGATGAAAGGCTGATTGGACCAATCCATACTCCACCGATAGACTGATTACGGTGCCTTGATCATCGAGAGATAGAAGAGGTGGATTTCTGACTCGCAGATACGTGAGAGCCAATTTATGTTTGTTGTTCTTTATCAAGGTCCTTATCACCAGCTGATGATGCCAGTCCTTGAAATCTGAATCGGAAATCAGTTGATCCGTCAAAATCTCTAGATTCCCTTCGTAATCTTCATGATCGAGCCTGAGTAAGTCTTATCAAACTCGGACTCAACTTGAATGCCGAGGGATACTTTATAAGCCTGTCGACTCCAGGATAAGAACCTTGGAGAAGTGTCGCTAGATCCATCAACAGGTAAATCGTAATCTGATGCTTACTCTCCGTCTCATCGATGTCAGACCGATGGCAATCGGCAAGGAAACTTCTTAACAATGATTGCAACGAAGGTGGAGGATAGTTGCCACCGGTATTCAAATCACCACTCTCTCGCTCCCACTGAGCTTTTAATGGCGAACACTCTCTAGTGATCAACTCATCGATGAACAAATCCGACACTTCACTACTGTTATTCCTGAGTTCCTGGTTCATCGGTCTTCGCTTTTCCTTGTACATAGCTGCTATTTTCTCACGCGGATAGGGAATCTTCAGGCTGAGAGACATCGGTAATGTCTCATCCTCCATATCATGGGTCTCTGGCAGTAATCCTACATGATAGAACCACAAAACTATCTGGAGATGAGTGGCGATTCGTTTGAGTGTTCTGAATTGCTTCGTAAGATCACTGGATTCTGCTGGTACCATAGCCACGACGTTCATTAGACACTCCAGTTGTTGACAGTAAAAGCGCAGAATTTTTGCCTCGGCCTCGCCAATGCTATTGCCGGACTGATCGAACAATGGTACGCATAATCTATCCGCTGCCAACTTTATCGTAGAAGCCCTTTGGACTCCCCACTTGAGAAATGCTGGAAACAAATAAGAGGCACTACCGTCGGACCACTCCCTTGCACACTTTATCAAGAACGTAGCCCATCGTTGTTCCAGACACAGAGATAGTAACATGTCACGTTGCATATTTTGATCACAGTCGAAAGAGCAATCAGTGTTGAAAGGAATAAGTCCTACAGCCAGACATCGATGATACGTCTCTGATGGCTGGATTAAGATTACGGGACCAGCGCGATATATGTCTCTGAGGAGGTCAAGTTGGAGTCCTTGAGTCATCCAAAAATTCAGTCGACTGGAGCACAGCTCCACCCACTCCAAAGTTAAGGAATTTGGGTAGAACAATTCTTCCGGTGTAGTTAATCCATTGCTTTTGAAATCCTTCAAAGTCGACGAAATGTAGGCACAACTTAGAATCGTATCTTCTCCTATCGCTTCTGATTCTCCTCTGGTGTTGTAGCTGGCTAGGATGCTGTTGGGGTTTTGGCACTCGCCGATGGTGTGTGGCATTTGCTCCTTATACCATTGATTCAAGTCAAATAGAAGAGTCCTATTGTCGGTCCCAATTAACAACAAGTTGTCTTCTCCCTGCTTGTTGGTCGAGTCTGTTTGCTCTTGGTTTAAGTTTCTCTCGACAGGACTTAAACCTATTATTCTCTCTCCTTTCTCTAATTTAAACTCAAATTTCAAACTCGGGGCAGCTTCTAGATTGAAGTATAAATTTGTTCCCTTGTTATGGTATTTTTTTTCGAATAGCATAGCATACATTTTTAACATCGGGGACGCATCCCCTGATTCGTCTTGATATGCTACCCACAAGTAGTAAAATGGTTTTGGATCGTCCGTAGGCTCCAAAAGGGCCAAGTGGCTGATATTCATACTTCTGTCAACCGATGGACTTATCCAACCAAGCGAGCCATCATTTTGCCAAATCATTACCCTACCCATACATCCAGCTATTAGGCAGCCGATTTTTTTTGAACTTACAAGTGCAGTAGTTAAGTTCTCATCGTAGAGAGGCATCGACTCGTACTCAGCTCGGTTGAATTTTAGGGATCGTTCGATATCTAAAAATGATGGAACGTGAGATATATTTATACTAAGAATTTGTAACATTCAAGATTACTTACAATCAGTTAGTAGGTCACAGGCAGCATGTTTGTCTTTATTGAAATGATGTCTGGGAGTAGATGATTGTTTCAAAAACTCAATCTCTGTTGGAGACGATTCATCTATTGGTACTTGGCAACTTTCTCCTTCCCATAATGTACGCCGTAGGTCGATTATTATATGACGAAGGCTCTTTAGAGTGACACAAGCTGTACCGTTATCAGAAATTAAGATATTACTTGATCTATTATCGCTCAACTCTTCCCATTCGGCACCACCATGTATAACACAGACTTGCTCCACACCAGCTGGCATCTATAGAGAAACGTGGTACTGTAAGCTATAATACTTGTATAATTGGCAACAAAAGAATGCAGAATATGCATTTAATACTTACTCGAATAGCTCTGAGTACACGCGAAGTAGTGCAGTCATATATGCATACTAATCCGAGGGAATCTTTAATTCTACTTGCTCTATTATCCAGTTCTACTAAAAGTAGCGGAACTTGACCAGGCTGTGCCGGAAACGCAGAGACACAAGTGACTTTATGCCGAAAAGTCCTCGAAGCGATCGTCTTTCCACTTCTCGCATTTATCACAACAAAGTGAGCACCGCGACTAAGCCACGCATAAGCTGCATTATGGAAAAGTCCACCAAGAGTGCTAAAGGGACCCTTGCCTAGCACGGATCTTACGGGTGACTCTGTTTCTTCCTCATCTATGTTGTTTAAGCCATTCCAATTTGCAATCTGGAGTTCTATCGATCTGCGAACCTAAACAAACATTTAAGAAGATATCGGAGAATTTAGTAATCGAATGAAAATGTATTTTAAAAGAATGCAACGATAGCATCTGTACAATCTAACGGATACATTTTTATTCTTCAATGCTATGATAGAAAAAGATAGACATTCTAAGTTACAATCGACAAAACTCCGCGAATCACGTATTCGTAAATGCGCGCACGGGCTTTACATCGGTCACTAATCTGGTCATTTATATTAATCAAATTTAAAGAACAATATCGCAAACAGTTACCTCGCAACTCGTTTCTTCTAATTTCTTCATGTTTCAAACGCGTTGTCCAAATTATACCTACTCTAAAAAGCATTTAAAAAAAACAGTTTTCTGCGACACAGCGAGAGGTTATGTACGAGCTTGCTTCACAATTTTTTTTTACGCAACAGTAACCGCAATCTGGTCTTGTCTTGGATATGGCGCGTCCACGAAACCTAACGACTAAATCACCGATACAATTTTGATATCCAAATCATGAAATGAAAATGGAATATTATCTATCGCGTTACGCGTGTGACCATTTTAAAACGCGACATAACCGTGGAATGCCAATCCGGGTTACCAACGGTAATCTTCGAAAACTGAGGCAACTGAGGTCACCGCGAGGATCGGAGAAGATCAACTATGAGCAGAATAATTCCATTTCCTGAAATAATGATCACTCTAAAAAAGCGATAGTAACAGTATTTTAAGTATTTCTAAAGGTGAATGTGTCACGTCAAAATTATTATTCTTTCTTTAAAAAAATTTTTGTATTATCCTCTTTGTCCAATATGGCGGACGGAGATGAACGACAGATTGTCCAACTTTGTATTCAAAATTCGGTATTCTTAATTGAAGGGATGTTTTCACGAAAGCGACGAACGGTACTTCTAGGTTGCTCAAATGTTTTAATTTTAGTCGTTTTTTAACGAATTTCGAATGAGAGATAAAGAAAAAAAATCATTTTAAATTTGATATGTATTCCCGTGTATGTATGTATGTACATCATAATGTGAATTGTTCTCTAGTTAGTTGTTATACCAGCAAGAATACCGCCTTAAATGGCGCGAGATTCAAATGACTGCATCGTTTAACGATAGCATCTATCAGTTTGCCACCGGTTGTTATTCTAACAACTGAGTTTTAATTTTAATGCTGTGTCCATTAGTGAATAATGTATTCTAAGATCTGAAGGCTCCATTATCGTTAATTACTCTTCTTCTAGATACGTCATTGCATAAATATTTAATGTATTTTAATAGTAAATGGCTTTGGAACTCGGAGGATGCCGGCTAGTTGCCGGTGCTATGGAAACATGGACACGAAGGGGTGGACCATGTCTCTTGAAATTTTGCGATGATAATCACGTTGAAAACATTCAGTGATTTAATGAGTACATGGAAAATAGTACAACGGCGGTGCTACGACCTCCTTTCACATAAATACTCGCTACTTGTAATTCTTATAGCATTTACTTGCATATTCATCGGCATAATACATTTTGGAGAGGTTAGGAATGTTACGTCAAAGTAAATTTGAGATTCTTGCAATGAAATTACCGGCTAGATGATTGCACTTTTATTAACAGTTGATTTTGTCTATCTGGGTTATTAATCTTATGCATTTATTCACTGAAGCATAATAAATGCTTTATTAGTATCGGCATTGTCATTGTTATTATTTTATTTATACAGACTATTTTGTCATTCGAGTAAATCATTTTAATTATTATTTGAATTGATAACATAATTGTCCGTTTTACAAAATAGGTTTGGATAGCATGGAGCAAAGAGAAATACAAAGCAGTATTTCATTCATTCAATGACAATATACTTGGTATATCATTTCAAAATAAATTGTGCCAACATGTACCCATTGATGTGGTGTATACATGGGTAAATGGTTCCGATCCAGCATTTCTGAAAAACCTTCAGAGATATGTTTCTCTAAACGATATAAATGCAGCTACACCGAGGTTCAGTGATAAAGATGAATTGCGTTATTCGCTTAGATCCATAGAAATGTACGCCCCTTGGGTGCGACATGTATATATTGTAACCAATGGCCAAATACCAAATTGGCTGGATATGGATAATCCACGTATGACCCTTATTACTCATGATGATATTTTTCTTGATCCAGCCGATTTACCGACATTCTCTAGTCCTGCAATTGAAAGTCATATACATAGGTATGGTAACTACTTTGATCAAAATGGAATGCTTAACAAATGAACATTTAAATTTGCATTTTAATGCTTACCAAATATTATTCCTTTACCAGGATTCCTGGTCTGTCCGATAAATTTTTATACTTTAATGACGATGTGATGCTGGGTGCAGAAATATGGCCTGAGGATTTCATAACACAAGCAGGTGGTCAAAAAATATACCAAGCATGGTGGGTCCCAGATTGTTCTGAAATCTGCCCATGGGCATGGGTTGGAGATGGAGCATGCGATCCGGCTTGCAATACAACATTGTGTGAATTTGATGGCTAGTATAAGTTATATCTCTGGTAAAAGAAAGTTTAATACGTAAATATTTTGTCCCCTATAATTGTATCATAATTTAAAAATTACATTGGCATCAACATCAGCAACTATATACTGAAAAAATATATTTATTAACAGGTGGTGACTGTGACGTTACACCAATGACAACAGATAGTGAACCGTTAGAAGAAGAAAGTGATTATCCTTACAAATTTTTACAGGATACACAATTAAAAAATCAAGATGCTATGAGAATTTTGAATATTTTAAAAAATAGGAGCAACGTACTGACTGCGATGACCAGTATTGGATCACTAGTTCAGAGATCATTGAAGTCACCACCGTCAACTGCCGCATGGTATTACCATCACGTGTACGTGAGCCGCCAATGGCGACTGGTAGATGGTACCGCCATCGCGAGTGCGCGAGCTCCTATCAGAAATTCGTTGCGCCGCCCTTGGGGGCAAAAAACGGTGAAAGCTAATGTACGAAACCAGAGGGCAGCACAGGATGCGATCTCACGATTCTGCCCGTAAGCAATCTCCCAACTCATCTCTGATTGCACACGGAAAGGCGAACGTGACAAAGCTCTCCGATGCACTTGGATGCACTTGCTTAGGTTTTATAGAATGAGGTGCACGTCTCGTCGTGCTACCTAACCTCTAAGGCAGGAATTCAATTTTTGTTTAGAATCATCTACAAGATAACCTAGAATAACTAGATAACTCTAAAATACCTTTGATATTTTTCAATCATTTAAAAATTGTATTTGTTATTCCCCAGCTGTAAACAATGCAGATAAAGGATGTAGTAAACTTACTTTTAATCACTTTATGCGTACCTTTATACAATTACAAGCACCATTCGGATAACTATAATTACTATCTCGCATGTGTCACAGTTAACATTTTATTTGCGAACACCTGTTTCGATATTACAAAAATACAGAAGTGTGATACGTGAAGTAAACTTTAATAGTTATTTTTTTTATAAAACTTTATGCAAACACTTGTGTAAACTGTTAACTGTTAGCACAGTTTCTCACACTTATTGACAAATATTAATTGGATTCGGAACACGTCTTTATTTGTACTGCTCCCTTTTAATGTATAAAATATTATATTTGTCTTGCATATGTACAATTTTTGTTAAAAAAGTCATTCAGAAATGTAACGTATAATTTACAGGTTTACTTATCCAACTTATATAAATGTAAGATATTTACGTAAGTATCTTCAATCCAATTGAAAATTGATAGATTTATATCGGCTGTACTGATTAGGAATAATGAAAAATTAAATTGTTCATTACTTTTAAAACTCTGCAAGTTACAAAATGAAATTCACGCAAACACGATTTGTATTATTTTATCGAATTCGTACTTTCCTTCAAATTTTACATTACTATTTGGAAACTTGCATAAAAGGGTAAATTACATTCTGTTTAATTACCCTAATAGTCGATGTCAATGATAGTTTAGAAATTTCGGCAATATTTCATTGACATAAAATATGTTGAATATGAAGACATCGCGAAAGTAATTTATCGAATTAATAAAAACTACTTAATTGATGCCAAAGTTATAAAAAATATATACGTATCACTGTTTGGAGCTATTTCGTTTTAGAGCACTAATTCTGTAATCATCGATCGCGTTTCTGAACTTTCAAAATCACCGATACGGTGAATTTTTCTGGTGATCGTAGAAATATACACTCTTTGCAGCGAATGTCACTGAATAGTAGGTTCGATAATAGAAAATACTGTACATCATGTACAGAAGCAGGTAGAGAACTTAATCAGAAGTACCGTCGTCCATCTTCCACTAGACGACTCAGCTCTGCTGCCGAATAGCCCAACAGCTGCTTTAGGTCACAAACGAATTTATAAACAAATCTTTTTCCATGAACCTTCGAGATCATGTCACCGTCGTAATAGTAGCGTAAAGCTCTACTAAGCTTCTCATAATTCATGGATGGTTTATTCTTGCGAGCTCCCCACAACTGAGCTACAGCTTCGGGCTGGTTCAGCTTGAACTCTCCTTCGGTCCCCACCCACTGAATAGCACCTCTTTGTTCTCGATCAGTCAATAATTCCAGGAGAAATTGCCATAATTGAATCTGACCGCTATTTACTCCTCTACTGGAAGTAGCTACCATAATAGGCGTTGAATCGACATTTGTTAACGGCACACTGATCAATCGAGATTGCTGGGAAGTTGCGCTGCGTACTTTTGCACTCTTCTGACTTCGCACCTTCATGGTTCTGTCTGAATTTTCGTTGGCAACCGCTGGAGGATCCTTTTGTACCACAGCTGCAAATAGTCAATTGTACAGTAAGCAATTGTTTTACATGACAGTATATAAATGAATTATCAATCTACTTACCAACAAATTTGCACTTCCTTAGTAATTCTAAATGTGTCCAGAATACATCACCAGGATCGAGAGGTACTTTTGCTTGGAACTCATCCAAAGTTAAATTGTACAACTGCGAGCCAGTGATATTCCAATCAGCTAATCTCAAAGAAACCAAATTAAATTGTCTAACAGCCCACTGAAGCCAATGCTTCACGTGTGTTTGGGTCCATTCTTTTGGATCTGCTGGAATTTTCAGTCGCTCCTAAAATCAAGACACCATTAATTATAATGTTAAAATTTTTATATTTTTAAAAAGTCACCTGTTCCTTTTTATATTGTGCATCGACCATCCATCTAATCACATTTTGCTTTCCTTCTTCATTCGGCGTGGCAGCAGCCGAATTATGTTCCGCTAAACAAGAAATTGATACATTTGTTATATACTGCTGATCGCATATACTGAAAATGCAAACATGGTAGTTTTAATAGAGCGTGTTACTCACAGCTATTTTCAGCAAGTTCCACATAATCTTCTGCTGGTTTTAAAACATCCACAATATTTATACGACGTTGTGTTGCTTTTATTTGGACGTTTACTTGCACCAAGCCTTCGCCTTGCACACACTGATCGACCAAGTTTTTGTGACTCTCTAACTGAAGCAAAATAATATTATTAACAATTTATTGCAAAATCAATTCAAAACTCAATTGGATTCGTGGCAAAGGAAATGATAGGTTTTGAAGCTAGTATGATTTTTTTAAATCATATCGAACACTTATTTACCATTTGGGCATCTTGTAGCCAAAATGAATAATCCATCAGCTCAACGCCGAGCCTCTGTTCTAAGAGATTTCTTAGAGTTGATAAAGGCTCCCTGATATCCATGTGTTGCATTAAAACACCGTCGTTGTAATCGTCTCCATTTGTAGCACCCTCTAATGCAAAACTGGGCTCTACTTCCAAGTCAGAACTCTCCTGCTGCAGTTGGGCCATAATATCGTCTTCTTGCGACAACATCGCCTCCGGTTCCATTTTTATTCGTTTTAACATTGCATAATCTGATTCCTCGTCCGTGTCGAGACTGTTTTTAAATGAATTAGCTCTTAGAAACTTATATTTCTCTTTGCGTATCTGATATAAAAGGTAAAAAGGCAGACAAAGTCTGTGATAGATTCGACTTCAACGATCGCAGGTTTTTTACTCTTTTATTAACTTTAAAAGGTTAGTTAATGTGAAAATAGTTTTAAGTTAAAATGTTTATTTATGAAGTATTATTATAACATATTTAACAATCTTCCAGTGTACTCGCGGGTACACATGTAAATAAAAATTCTTAACATAATCTTGACCATAAATAAATTATATAACGTACATTATTTGTATTATAAATAATTGTACCTTTTTACTGATGTTATTCGACAACTTCCTTCTCCCATAAGTATTCAGATTTATAACAATCGTGGCAATCGAATAGTTAACACGAAATCATTAACAACCTCCTCAACGTGGTAACCAAACAGCAATAGAGATGATGGAGTGCATCGTTGCCAAGTTTCTCTGAAGAAATTGCCATTTTCTTCACAGATGGCGTTCGCAATCGTTATATGTCAGCCCTGTCACTCTCTACTTTACCTTCATAAGAACTATTTTCAGCTATACCTAATAAGCGCCATCTTCAAGTTCACGCCACAAAACGATCCATAAATAGTTAAAATACAAACCGAATTTGACAGAACGAGAAGAAGACGGATTCCGACTGTACCTTTACATTTCAGACATTTTCATTCTCGATAACAGAATGGATAAAAAAATGCAATTTCAGTGATTTTAAAACTGTCACGAAGACTAAAAAATGTTTTTTTTTTGCGGTACAAATTATGAAATCATGACCTAAAAATTATATAAGGAAAGAAAAAATGCGTAAATACAGCAAATTATTAGCAAATGTTCGCGTTCGCTGTTTACGCAACAATGAGTATCGAGTTCGTTCGAAATTCGAATATTCTCACGAGCGCAAAACGAGAGATTGGTACTTTATTTTATTTTTAGAAAAGGCGTTCTGCTACGCACTATAATCCAGCAAGTAAAATTATATAACAATGCGATAATATTACAGTGGGACAACGTGTAACAAGTATGGTAACATGCTGCCTACATGTAAGTTACAACAGAGTTACAGCTTTCTGTTCACCTCTACAGAAATGAAACATAATAAATCTGTAAAACAGCGTATGTGAATGTTAATAGCATTAAGTAAATACAAATGTATCATATCTTGGAAAACTACATGGTACATAATATCATGGGACTCGGTAAATTCCCTCTCGTCATTTCTTTGCTCCTTTATAAATAGTTATACAATGGAAGAAAAAAAAATATTTATACCTTTACACATTGCTGTCCAATAATTCTATACTTATAATACTTTTATACAGACAATATGACTTTAATAAATCTTAATCGCTATGTAACAATTATATAGCTTTTATGTCTCTAGTAAGGTACGCTTCTATTGTGTTCCATATTCCTCTACATGCAACAATATTACACAGTAATGAATATTTACTGGTTGCTAATGTGACATCATGTCTCTGCCTATAGCAAATTTCCTGGGAGGATCACCTTGAGTATAAATCCTTCCTACTTTTGTCAGAGACTCTTGCACTCGTTAACTTAAAGCCCTACGGAGTTATCAGAGGCTTTCATAAAATATACAAAACAAAAGCAATTAATGTCGTGAAGAGGGGCTTGTTACACAGCATCCAATGTCCGTTCTTCGACAAGCCTTGTTGATTTGGTTCGTCAATGTGATTCCCACCAAAGCTCCCAGCTTCAGGATACCAAGATTCGTCGGTCACCGGGATCTAAACAAATTAATGATCTTAATTAATAATAACGTGTATCATGACGGACATGAATGCCTTCCCTTCTTCGCCAGCAGCGTTATATCTATAGGGAAAGCATTTATGCCCGTCAATGTACTTCATTACATACCATCGGATGCGAAGACGGTTTTATTTAACATTACGTGTAGTTTTATAAAAATTTATCTCCGGTTCATTATCATTTACCTGATTCGACGTCAACCACGTGCCAGTTGCCCATGCAGGGATTTCGGCCGGCGGTTCTGTGGACGAGGAGGCCCAGGACATTCCTCTGCCATAGGTTGATTGTCGTTGCGTTACGATAACAGCTGGTAAAATAGAATGATATTAATAAATTGAAAAATCATTAACTGTATTTTCTACAGGTCAAAACACTTCAATCTAACAAGACTCTAGAGAATACCTGACTGCTCTTCGTTTCGTATCGACGAATCGGAAGTGGTCTCCACTTGTGCAATCACTTCATCTTCCATATCACCGCCTACTTTACTTGGAACTGCACTATCATAGGAGTTTCCGATTGCTTTCTTATCAGCATCGATGGGCATGTCCATTGTCGATAACAGAGGTTCGTCTTTCGCGGGTTCCTGAGCTGTAAAAAATGAATATATATTTATTTCCTTATCGTCTGACACCGCAATAAAACGTGAGGTACATTTTTCGAGAATGCTCCACTCAAGTAATTTTTCATCTTACTCATTATAAATTATGCATGTTAATCAGTTATCGTATTTTATTGGCGCGTTGTCTAAATTTTGAAAAATATACGAGGCAAGACTTACTTGGTGACAAATTCAATGCTCGGCCGGTACTTCTAAACCTCGTTGGATAAATTGTATTAGTAACTGAGTCGTAGACATCACTGGACTGTCCCGAATAGTCATTCGGAGATGCTGTGTGATGATGATGATGGTGAGGACGTCTTTTAGTCCCCAAAAAGTTTTCAGAACCTTCTCCTAAAGGACTAACTGACAATGGCATTGGTCCTTCGGTAGGATTGGGGCAATCGCCGCTGTTTGGGCTGAAAAAATCATGAAGTTTTCGGTTAAAATTTTGGAACAACCACGTACTTAATCTATTCTTTGTATTAAAAAAATAGTGCGAAATAGTGCGAAAAAAAGACTATGTAAAATATAGGACGCAGCGATCATCGTGCATTCGTGTTTAGATGACTCAATTTTTGCAATTAATATATTCTTCACTCGAAAATTATTCGAAAAGAGGACGTACATATAATTTTGGCACTGATCTCGTAGAAAGCTGAGGGCTTTATCCAACACTTGTCTAGAGAATCTCGCCGCTGGACCAGCATTTTGATTATTGTCGCACTTTTTTCTGGTTTCGGCCACAACGCACGTGCGGAAGTGATGATGGGAGCTAAAACAATGAAATAAGTCGAAATTGAAGGCGCTATTGTTTCCGATGAAGGATATACGTGATTATGTGAGTACCAGCAGAGACTTGTCCTTGCTACTTGTCTTTTGGACACTTCCTCAACGAGAGCTGCATAGTGAGTACCACAGTGGGCCTCTTCAATGACTGTGGCTTTTATACAGCTGGCATGAATCAAATATTCTGTTGAATAAACGCATCTTCTTAATATAAATGAAAGTCAATGCACGTATATATTAACATTTTAATGCACATCTAACGAGAATTACGGTGATACATTTCTAGGAGTGGAAACTTATTTAATGTTTTTTTTGTTTTTTTTTTTCACTCACCAGACTGATACGTGGGCACTGAACACATCTGATGCACAGAAGAAATCGGAAGTTCCACTGCCATGTTGAATTGTTCTTTCCTTTCCTTCGAGAAACAGGTATCGATGTATTTTCTGATACAATCAACGAAGCTCGACCAAGTCCTGTGAAAGTGGAGCACGATAAACCAAAAGAAATGACCTGAATTCGGAGTAAATTATTAAATCAATTCAGGGGAACGAATTGCTAACTCCAAATGTCGTTTCAGGTTCTGATGTTAAAACAAGAACATTGCCCGTCAGTCTTCAACTCTCGTAAAACGACATTCATTAAAGGGAATACATTCAGAAAATAATTTGATAAATGATGGCCTTTTCATCGCCCTGATACATTTCTTGTTCTATTCGTAAAAGTGAAAAATGGTTGCTCTGAAAAAAAAATATTTAAAATGACAATAGCCATTTTTTCGTAGACTTTAAAAAAATATGCTGGTTAACGATCTGTTCGAGGCCACGAGACGTACTATCGGAGATTTTCTTGTAAGTTTTGCTTTAATTGCGACTTTCGTCGCGATTCATTGCGTGCAAGTTATCCCTAATCATCACGCAATACTCGCCTTTCTCGAGGTCTTCAAGGAACATAATTTGTCCCTACGCAGAGCAACGTCACAAGCTAAGAACTACAACGCCAGGATCAATACTGCTCTACTTTAAACATCCCCAGAAGTGGTACACGTCACTTCCGTGTTTTACCAAGGAATTAATCCTGGCGCCATGGTGGACATTCTTCCTACCCTCCGCGTCTTTTTCTCCATTTTAGACCACAATAAACAACTCATAGGAAGTTCTCATTTTATGAATTCTCATAATGGGAATTTTTACTTTCAATAAAAAAGAATAATGTCTGAATCTGAAATAAAAATTGCCCGGTGAACTTTACGAATTCTGGATTTCTGAAAGGTCGCCAGGAGTTAATTAATTTGGGACTTGTACTTTCAATTGTCCCCGACGAACATGACGAATTTTTATCTTTACGAATTCCTTTGACTGAAACTTTTGTTTTAAATTATGCTCAGTTAACTTTACAAAATTTTCAATTCACAGTCGCCAGGAACAAATTGATTTGTAAAATCAGGAACTACCTGTACTTGACACGCTTCGATTTATTATCAGTAATCCTTGCACGCGTGCCTCGAAATCGCGATGTCCTGCGGCTTTGTCACAAGCGACGAGTAAATGAGTAAATAACCTCCAACCGATGGAGACAAAAGGCTCGAAAATTCCGGTAAACAATGGAGTTGTTACGCTAGCTGGTCGAGTTCTCCGTACAGGCATATCGCGGGCAACGCTTTCAGGGGGAGCGGTCAGATTTACTATGGTTCGCGGATTTTTTTTTTTTTTCATCATAACATGATGAATAGGATAGTAAAATAGTAGAAGACTAGCTGTCCTGAGAGGATACCTGCACACCATGTCGATGTCCGGCATGTTGTCTGGGAAAATAAGGTGAGGGTCCTTTAGCAAAGGATCCGCCAGAGCGATGCATTTCTGGTGCTGCTCTTTGGAGCAGCTTTGGCTGGCCACGTGATTGATGACCGAACCTTTTTTGAGCAAAAATATTCTTTTCATTCTTGTGCGGGATAAATACAAATATTTTTATTTCGAAAAATGAAATTTTACGAGTTTCAAGACCTTCATTAAGACCTCCATAATCAAAATGTTAAAGTTTCAAATTATCCGATGCACCCAGTTCAGAGAAAAGTTTAACTAATATTTTGACTGAGAATTTACATCACGCTTTCGTAACACCTTAAGGCATAAAATTCCAAATTTTACTACAATCTGATGTACAAAATGTATATGAATCTTATGAATATTTTTAACAGAATTAAATCTACATATCCATAAATTTACACTGATTAGTTTGCCCAGACTTATCGCAACGACTCATTGTCACGTGTGTGGCCACCTTAAGGCTGGTGATTAATGACGGTCTCTGGCAATTTTTCGGAAGACGGAGCAGGAAAACTCACCAATTAGAAAGGCCTGCAGTGCCACGGCTCGTGAACGCATCTTCTGAAAAAACAAAAGAAGTGTCTCTTTAGTGATGATCCCTTTACAAAAAAAAAAAAAAATAGCAATAAAAGGAGGCTTTAATTCGGTATGAAAGGAAGCTCGAGCAACAGTTAGTTCGAGCCAGCTTGTATCGTGCCGACTGTAGGAAACGGGTCGAGTTTTGGATACGAACTAAGCCCACAATTTAATGGACTCGATCAATCAACAGCGATTAGATTTGTGGCCCCCTAGCGAATCAGTATTTGGCTAAGGCTTGGTGTGGCGTCACGAAGGAATTGATTTTTGCACGGATTGACAATTTTCCAGGGACGGTGGGGTTAAGAACTTGGAGTAACTTCCAAGCCAAGGTGTACAAACTATGACCTTAGTCGAGGCGACTTTACTATCTTTCTACAAGAATTATTTATGCGGGTATAGCATCGCTTTATGACCTCACTAAAGGCCTTGTCAATTATACTCGATTTGACATTTGACCCTTTGCTGAGCTTACAATCCCCTTTTCTCTTTCCCTGGTAAACTTTTCATCGACATTCCATGGAATCCATTATCTCAAAATCCTCCTATAACTACAGAAAACCTCAAACGCTTCTTATTTCCACTACTTAGATCTGCAGGAATTGTATAAGTTTACTCAAAGTTCCTTTCGAGTCCGAAGGGCGTTAATTTTCATCCACACTATTTTATAAAAATATTGCATATTGCTTTAGTAATTTATAATAAATGTACAGGTACTAATTCACTTTTAAGACGTCGGATCTGTAATTGTACCCTGTATACTAAAAGGGTATGAATTATACAAATTTTGTCTTAACAGTGCAGATTAAATTCCACTTTTCACGGAGTCCTTTTTATCGGTATTCTAATCTAAGGAGAGAATTTCTTCTTCCTCTATTTTTTTCTAGACCTCTTGTAGAAATGGCCTGAATTGAATTGGGGTTATTTTCGGGTTCCCGCTAGGGGATTGATTTTATCTGGATTTTCCTACAGCAAAGGGTAATAATGACGTTCGTATTGCGTTAAAGATCTTACACCTACGTTTCCTCGAGTTCAGTCGAGTCGGGCTAGTCATTGCAGGCCAGGGTCTATCAATCCGACATCGCCACAAATGCCACAGTCGGATATAGTCCTAGACATAGTTTCTTCGATTTGCGTGAAAAAGCAATACTCGAATCATTAGTGCCGCCATTAATGTTCCCAGTAGTTTGAATACTCGCAGTAGCGATGTCAAGGGCGGGTCCGACTCGCCGGAAAAGTCGCCTCGCTATATCTGCGATTATCAGTCGACTATACATGGACTGTAAAATCCGGCATTTTGTAAAACGCCTAGTCGCTTTACAAAATGATTAGTTGGGTTTCAAAACGAAGATTTGATTATCTGGCCGGGTTTTACAAAATAATTAGGCGTTTTGTAAAACGCTGGAGTTTAGAATCTAGCTACGACATATATCAATCGACGGCCGTAATGCGCTTTCGATTTAGACTAAAACCTCGGCGTAGAAACGCAAAACATCGAGCAGCGTTCCGTCGCCCCAGGCGCCGCTCTGCCGCATCCGGTTTGCTCATCCGGCGGTACCGGAAATCTAGCGCTATCCTTCTCGCAATCGCTCCAACCACGGGCGCGACAAGGACGCCATGCGCCGCGCCCGCCGAACAAGTATTGCAGTTCCCTATGTAGACAGAAACTGAGGCGTACGTTGTTATTCATAAAAATTGTCGTATACATTACCAAAATTCCAATTACAGTTGACACAAAGGCCTGTGTCCATGATATTAATAAACGTAAAAAATATTTGTCGAATCTCTTACGTCCTCGCGCCTTAAGATGAACTATGGCGCTGCTACGATTTCACTGAAATCTATGCTTTCCAAATGCGTTCCAGTAGTTTAACCGAGTATCCGTAGATTGTAATTTATTATTACACTGCAGAAATAAAACTGAGTACTTTGAGATTGAAAAATTGAAGAAATATCTTAATTTTTCCACAGAAGTGATAATTTCGAGCATTCGTCATTTTATATTTTATAAGTTAAGGCATAAGGCTGTGCAGCTTCTACGTCCAAAGCATTAAAAACAGCAGGCATTTGAGTCTAGACCTGATAAAAATACACATTATTTCAATTGTTCATTTTCTCTTCATTTGTAATAATTTTCTTCATAACTATGTCTTACCCCCCGTCCTTGGCAATTGCTCTTCTGCATATAAATGCTCCGAAATATGCAATTATGGCGTATCTTCGATGGAAAAACGTAACTGCATTTTTCTATCGAAGTTTCACGTCGAAGCTGTTCATCCTTTCCTCGTGATTAAATTTCTAGTTACATACCTATTTGATAAAGAACATCGAGAAAGTTCTTTCATCGTGAACAGTGGTCTCGAGGCTCGTAATTATCTCACTTTTATGTGTGAAAAATGTCTTTTAGCCGTCTAAATACTACAGATAAAAGAGGTCTTTTAATTCTAAAAGTAAGATATGAGCATATACGGACCATAATGTCCGAAGAAGGGTGTAAAATCAACGTGGCACAGTTTCTCCCCGAGCGCGTCCGCTCGAGGCGGTGGCCATCTTGAATCAGGGTGCGCGGCCAGGGGAAAGTCAAGAACGCTCGATGGAGGGCCATGCGGTGGACTCGCACCTGCCCGACGTAAGGAGTTTACGGGCGGACGCAACGCCTTGTAAATAATCGCGCCTCGCCATGACTCACGTAGCGACCATAATTACTGCAGCCTACCCTAAGCCTACATAATCTCATAGAAAAGCTCGCCACCCATATCCCCCCTTCGACTACTGTGCCGTCCGAAGATAGCCAATCATTGGCGCTTCGCCCCAATGATTTCTCCGGTTCGACTTTTCGAAACTAGAAGGCGCCGTAGGGGAATCCACGAATTACGAAATAAAGAAATCTGAAAAAGTTGTTCTAGGAACGATTTTTTTACCCTTTCCGAATGTCATATTTTATTACTTGAATTTTTCAGTAACTTTGAAAAAGAAAATATGCAAAATTATGTCCTTCGTTGTTGAATAACCTGGCGATATTACAATTTTTATAAAGAGTCGCGCCAAGATCGAAGAACTAGCACAATTCCCATAAAGTGTCACTAAATGGCTATATTTCACCTTACCATGTACAGGCTCTTTTGAAATTACCTTTATCTCTCCATCGCTTCGAACATTGACATCGAGCATCACCTTTTCATTTTCCACGAAGTACCCAAGTGACCCACAATGGCCAGATAAAATCCACCTTAACAGCTGACTTCTATTTACACATATTTCTTTCACGCTCGTAACTAGAGCACGCGCAACTAATTACCTGCGCTGCAACCTGAATTCTGCACTCAGGTTTTCCTCTAACCGGTCGTTCTCCAGAGGAACCATGAAGTAACGATCAGTGCCATAATTTGTATAATTCTCCTAACACACATCCTCAACCGAGGCACAATAACGACGTTCCTTAAGTCGATATTTTAAGTGATAGTTCATCAATCAATTTAAGGGAACGTGAAAGCGGCATCTGAGAGGTAAATCGTTCATGAAACTTTTTCTCAAACCGTGTGTACTGAATCGTTTGAAACTTTGCAAAATGAACATGGAGGCTATGAGTAAAGTCCTGACGCCCATAATATTTCATTTCTTGCACAAAATTAAATAAATGTCCATAAACAATTTTTTTTCCTTAATTGAAATCTCATGGATGTCAGGACCTTCTTTAGGATTTCTGTATTCCTCTAGCGAAATTTGAAACGATTCGGTAAACCCATTTCAGAGAAAGGTTTCATAAACGAGACCTCTTTGAGGACACTTTCGCCCCACCTTAATTATAATAATATAAAATAAAATCAATGGGTCCTTTTAATCCTTTTATAATATTCACCTCTAAATTCCAGGTGTCCAATTCCAGGTTCAGAGATGGTCGGCTCGTTCTTTTCGTTTGCAAAACACGTCCAAGTCTGGCAACTAATTCTCAACTAGTGCCGCACCATTGACTCGAGCAACCCGGTTTAAGTTAAGGAGCGCGAGTTAAGGACCTTGTCGGGCGCAAGAACCGTCGAGGGGACGTAATAGCCGGGAAAAGCCGCGACAAAAGGCGTCCCATCGGCATTGGGGTTTAATAAGGTGGCCGGTGCGCGTGGTGGCTACGCAGGTCAGGACTTATTGTTAAATTCACGCGAGAGGCAAGTGCGCCGTTCCGAACTCGTCGGTACACCGATGACTGGTCACTCGTGGCTCGGCGTACTACCTGTACTACCTGTGCCAGCGGATCTACACCCTATGGTTTTACCTGCCGAGTGCCCGCGAAATTATTGTCCGTTTCGGAGCTGAACACGCTCGACGTTCGATAGTCCCATGCAGAACGCGCCTATTCGGCTTTTCGCCTAGCGCCCGATTGTGCCACAAAATGACATGTCATATACTATTCGTGTGAATCGAAAGCATAAAAGCATCGGAGTAGATTAATTTCACAGAATTTAGGGAATCTAGGATTAACCATGCGCTTTTATCCTCTCTATAATGGGGTTTTGCTACGTTGCGATAGATTAAGAATATGAAATTTGCGGTACAAATTTTAGGAAATTTTATAAGTAACCGTACGCTTCTCTGATTTTTGTAACGGGATGTTGCTACATTGTGTCGGATGAATAGTACGTAGTTAATATTTAATATTTTAAACAGTCCCTCGGAAATCGACAGCACCGTAACGACAGCGAGAAGTCAACTTCTAACGTATATTTTGTTTATTGTATACTTAAGAAATAACTTTCATTAATACAAAATATATACAGTAAGTGTATCCGAGAATTGTCTCGATGCTTCGCAAGTTGCCGGCATAGAAAGTATGTTTGTTCAGTGATACATGACGCTTTAATGTATCATCTTTATATGTATAATATATGTCACAGGCAGTGTGATAAATTCGGGCAAAGTGCCCTGTTTGTTTTCCCAGATTGCTCGTTCATTATGCACATTGTTCATAACATACATATAAAAATGAAGATCACGAAGCTTTCGATTACTTAGCTTCTGTTTCTTCAGCTGGTTGCAGGAGAGCTGACGCTATCATTGCCTCCCATTCTGCGATTCCCCTATCGGACCGCTTTTACAAGGCACTTGGATGGCGGTAGAAAGTCGGTCTTTCTTTAGGAAACTAACTTCGAACCGATATACCGTGTTCTTTACCTCGACGACATTAATTTCCACCGCAGAAGGAAGTACGCAAAGGTACGCGTGACGACCAAAATCGTGCACAGCGCAATAACGTCGTTCCAAAATTGATCGCCCTGCATGGCGATTTCTGCCAGGAATTTATGGGGATATTTGTAATGACAGTATCCCGCGCGGCAGATTAGAGTCGGTCGATTTAGTCCATAAATAGCGCCGATGTATCTGCACAAATAAACTGCATTTGAGGAAAAAAAAAAGAAGGCGAAAACCCCGGAGGATAAAAATTGCAATATTTGCTACAGAGGTGCTTAAAAAATATGCAAAATATTCGAAATATTTTTAATTACAAAGGACCGATTAATTAAACACGCTTACCCTTCCAGGCCATAACGCAAGTAACTCAAGTAACTACCCCATTTCATGTAACTGGGCAAATCTCTCAGCGTTACTCCAAAACCAGCGAACATCATCATGGGCACGGAAAGAGTCGGTCCCAGAAAAGTGCCGTTCTGTAAATCAGCAAAAAATTCAGAGATCTGATGGTTTCGGACAATCATTATATCCTGGTACGCTGAGAAAAATAAAACATTCGTTGAACCAAAAAAATATATTTTTAATTCTGAGAATAATTATCCGACTCAAATAAGTTGTTACAATTCCGAAGAAACGCTGCATCCGATTTATTCGATTTCATTTGAGTGAAACAATTATTCTTTGAATTAACAAAATATTTCTCCGGTACTATTCAGAGAAATATTTCTCTGATTCCATGAATGTTTCTATTTTTCATGTAAATATATCTCATTCTTTTATTATATTTTGGTACATGTATAGCTGTCTTACCACCACGTTGAATACTGCTCCGATCATCAGACCAAAACCTTGGGCCACGAAAGCCACTAATACGCTGATCGTGAAGAACATTGTAAATCGATCAATTTCCAATGGCTGAGCGGACATCAGGTACACAATTACGACGAACAAGGCGCAAGAAATAATGGAAACTGGTATGTCGATTAACGTCACCGACGTGTAGAACGCTTTGAGGCTGTACCACCTATTAAAGTGCTCCTTCTTAAGGAGATTCATTTCAGTAGGAACTGCTCCAACATGAAACACAGAAAAAGATTACTATCGCGGTTAAATTATCTCATTTTCTTATCCTTGGCCACGAAAACGCAGGTAATTGGGCCTGGAAATCATTTTATGTGGCACACTCACACGTAAGGATGGTCAACATCATGGTAGTCATCATGAGGTGCATCAGCATCGAGAAAAGGAGATTATAGTTATCGAGGACTCTGGATCCTTCGTTTCCGGATTCGATAAAAACGGATCCTAGCATGAGGCCGGTGCATATATTAACCATAATGCGCAAGTGGGTCATGGTCTGAAACAGATTGTTCATTCGGCCCGTTTATGGTGAAAGTCATGAGTAACGTATAATAATAGAGAATGAGCAGGGTTCGACGGATAAATGAACGTAGTATTTTACAACATACTAAATACGTCTTATATGTATACATACATTGTGTCGGTAATGTGCTCATTAGCACGGCTGGCTTATATTTATGAATACACATTTTCAGGGTCAGGGCAATTTTCGTTTAATGGATCTTTGGGACTTAACTCTACGTTGCTAAAAATAATATTAGAATTCATGCACTTTTAATACATGAAGCTGTAGTAAAATTGTACATTTTATGTCTTAAACGTGAATCAACATACATTTCTTATGAACTTCTATATAAATTTGTAATTCTATAACGTCACGTTATAATTCTGTGAAACTCTGTAGGAAAATGTCATACACTTGTAGACCAAATGTATGACATATATGATTGTAAAATGTACAAATCTTCCCTTCAACGACGCTGTTCCTTTATCGGATCGTTCCCCAATTTTATCAATTACAATGTTCATGATTTAACGAAAACAAATGCATCTGCAACAAGTAAGTCATCAAATTGGATAACATTCTAATAAAAAACGACGAAGTAAGGAAACACTGAAAAGCAAATGCAATTAATTGACCTTCACCGGGCTTTCTAGTGTTAATAAGTTAAAGAGACAGTTCTTCCACCCTTCAGCTCCAAAAACCTGTCCGAGTAGCCTATTTTCACAATAATGTCATGCTTACATTAAACATAACGTGCTAAATGACCTCACTGAAGCGATAAGATTGCATTACTACGAGGCATCGATAGGACGACCTATAACAACGGATTGTTGACAAAAATCGACCAGGAGAACAATGTTTTAAGGCGATGTCTAATCCGTTAAATGTGCACTTGAGTATCGATATATTCTATTATGTATACTATTTTTAAATAATGTGATGATAATATTCAACGCGTCAGAATCCGAGTCCAAAGTGCACAGCACGCGCAAACGCATTCAAACGACAGTTCGTATCTGTGATTCATTTTGCTATCTCAGCTGGATGGTGATGAAAAAATAACATATAACATGACCATTGTCACGAGTGACATACTCACCGAGTCCCTCTTGCATTTGATGTATCCTCTTTTCAACAGAACTCTGAGTTGGTGCAGAGGAGACGTGGCTTGTAGACTTCTCCTCTCTCCGATTTTGGAGTCGTTCAAAGGATGTTTCGCTGAAAGTCACAATGTTGCTTAATAATGAAAAAATGTTTGGAAGTGAAGCTTCTAAGTTACAGGGAATCTTTAACAATTTTTCTTAATAACTTTCACGACCCGCGTTTCCGCATTGGGTAGTGGTTGTGTTGGGCACAACGATATTATCATAATAAATAGTAATTAAGTGTAAAAAATAAAAGTAACGAAATTGTGTCAATATTAACACGCAAAGATGAATGTAAGTTGTAATTAACTCAAAAAAAAAAAAATGAGTAAATGGTTCGCTTTTCGATGCGTTCCCTTTTCTTAATCCGCGAAGTTATACTACGGCGACATAAAAAGTTTCGCTTAAAAACTGGTAAATAATAAGGAAGAAAGGTCTTTTATCAAGTGTATTAAGTACCTCGTAAACTTTTAGGGTCCATCAATGCTACTGAATTGCTAAACCATTGGACAGATTTCCCATTTTGCGTCCCGGTTACCAAAGTGCTGATCTTGTCTTCTCCATACTCTCCACACGCCAATTCGATCACTGTAATTTGGAAATAGGATACCGCGAAGTGAGTGAATTTTAATAATTTCTAAAGCGATTACGTAATATCAATGAAACACGGCGCGATATTTAGATACCGACTTTTTGACAATGCTTATCTCCGTTTCGGAGTATTGCGAGTCGATGGCGGAAACAAAGACGATGTTCGTCTAGTTCTGGATAATAGATGATAAGGCATACCATAATCAGCAGGATTGTGGTACATCGGACATGGCAATTTCATGCTTTCTAAGTAAGGAACTAGTTGATCTGTTGCACCTTGGTACAAGCAGTTACCTCCTGCGAGCACGTAAACCTGAAATTTCAATTTTTGAGTTCACCTTCAATCTGATATTTATCGCTCTATCTTTTTTTTTTAACACCATTTTAATGAGGAGACCGTTGTTGCATTCTTATCAGACCTAACGTGTGAAAATAGGAAAGCACGATGATTTTCATTTATAGCTTGATTTTTTTCAGTGATCATAATTTTAATCAAACGTTCATCAACCTACCTGATCAAACAGTTGAAAGAGAGATGCACTGGGCTGATGTATCGTGCACACAATTGTACGTCCTTGATTTGCCAAAACCTTCAGTAAATTGACAACTTGCATGCAAGATGAACTATCTAGCCCTCTGGAAGGAGTGAACAATTTAACGATTAAAAGACCAGTTTTTTATTGCACGGAAAATCAGAATTTGATGAAAGTAATTCTTCTTAACTCGTCGCAATCGTTCATCGGCAATAAATACATTTCATCGAAAAGGAAAAAATAAACAAGAAATTTCAATATTCTAAGAAACCTCGGTGAATCAAGAGCAGGTAATTATCGACGTTATTAAATCTTCAGAAAGTTTGTGTAAAAACAGCGTCTTTAATGAAGAAAATCCATTTCCGCGGGTAATGGCGAGATTAATTTTCATCGAGACTTTACTCTATTGAGAACGGACTTCTTGTATGCCTTCAAGAGTGTTAGTTTTCAATGTCAATTATACTCCTTATCATAATGTAAACTTATACTGACATATGAACTCGCTGACCCGTTCGTCACGTTTCTGAGTTTGATGTACATAACTATTCACCTTTTGTGAAATTTGCGCGGGAAGGGGGGCAGTTAAAAATACTTATTAAAAATTTGTTTCAATTAAAAGAATTACAGAAACATTTTCGAAAAGGGTAACAATAAAGTCTTCCTTTATTCGATATGACGGCGCCAGGAAGTCTATCCTGTAATTATTTATAATAATTAATAACTTACGTCGTAGGCTCGTCCAGAAACATCACAGTAGGATTGTTAACCAACTCTAAAGCTATGGAAAGTCTTTTCCTTTGCCCGCCACTCAATCTCCCCGCTCTGGTCTGCATATGTTCGTACAGTCCCAGAGTCGTCAGAATTTCTTCTATCTGAAGTTCCAACAAATTTATTCATACATGACTGTAAACAGTGACATCTCGAATTCGTATAAATTAATCAAAACAACCAGACTCCACTCTCCGAGCCCTAAATATGCATTCATATCGAAACTCTGGCGAAAACTCGATAGAGTTTCGCACCAAATATCAATGCGAACATACATACGTATCTATTATTAGTACAGCATCACCATATATATAAGCGTATTATTACAATTAATCATGCGTTAATTAGCAGACAATATATTAGAATATTCCTCACCGTAGAATTTTTTTGATACTGAGGTGTGTTTGTCGGCATTTTGAGATCAGTCGATACTTTCATATTTTCGAGAACAGTCAGAAACGGCTCAAGTCGATCGTCTTGAGTGATATATGCACTGGATCTGAGAAATTCGGTTTTTTTGTTTCATGACAATATTTAATATGAAAGGGAAACGAAGCGTCCTTTCGCTTGAAGATTCCACCGAAATGGATCCAGTAATGACTGCTTTTCGCTAGACGTACCTGCGAAACTCGTCCATATCGCGAACTCGTCCATTTACGTAAACCATTCCTTGTACGCCAGTGATTCTGTAACCGGAAAGAATATCTAACAATGTCGACTTTCCGGCACCTGACGGTCCCATAATCGCGACAAGTTGTTTCGCCGGTAGACGTCCATTGACACCGTGCAGAATCTCCTTCATGCCTAAAGAAAAGAGACCAAAAACCTATTAACTACATTATCAACAACCATAATTAAATAACTGCAAAAAATGATATATACAAAATCGACCAGTGGAATTTTAAACAGTATGAAAATCCGTTTCCAATGTCGGAGTAAAAACATTGAAATACGCTTTGATTAAATAAAACCCATTAATAACATTGCCAAGAAACCCACATAATTAAATAATTACCCATTTAAAAAAATCGATAAAATGACAGCCGAATTTGAGCAATTCCGATTAAATGCAATATTCTTAAAAATGTTAAAACTTTCTTAAAAATGACACTTAATCAAGAATATTAACGATCGGCCATGTAATTTCATAAAAGCTTGTAGAAGAAAGTTTTCGTAAAAAAATAAAAAAGAAACGCTTCGTTTAGGAAAACTGTTTATGCGAACCTTGGATAAGAAACTATTAATGTTCATATACTTGCGGAATAAAAAAAATCACTTGCGGGATAAGTCTCTCTCTTTTTTTTGCACAAGATGATTCACCGTGCCAAGTATGCGCAATTGAGCAAGCAGGTAAACTGGGGAGTGAAAGTGCTCCTTGTCCGAAAAGTAAGTTCAACCGGGAAGGAGAGATAATATTGTACATATTATATAGTAAGTTACCTTTTCGGAAGCCAAGAGATACCACGTAGTTGATGTTTTCGAAAATAATGTCCATAGTCTCGTTGGCGGCGATTTTCGAAAAGTGCGACTTGCTCTCATTGCGCTCTATTTCCGGTTTCTCTTTGGCGAATGATTTCCTGTCTTCGAAGCAAGGTTTTAATTCCTCTTCGGGCCCCTTTGATGCCTCGTGCATCAGAACCTCCATGTTGGATGTCTTTTAACCGCTCGTTGATAACCCTCTCGTCAATTAGTATCGGTCGAAAACGAAGCTCTAATTGCGACAACTCCTCCGCACAATGGACTGCTCTTATTTTAATCGGACTTTCGTCGGATCTGGAACAAAAGTAATGCAGGAAGAATTTTAACCAACCGATTGCACTCCTTATTCCTCGGGGGATCAATCAAGATACGTGCGATCATTCTCGATTAGATTAGATAGGTCAATCTCGGACAAAGCAAGAGAAACCTCGATCATTAAGTCGTTGATTACATTGCTTGATTATATACAGCAGAACTTACAACCAGTTTACTGTTTAATCCTTAACGTGGAAAAGAAAAGTGCATGGATATATGTATATTTTAATGCAGAGGTGTGCATACCCAATTTCAGTCTCAATTTTCAGATACAGGCTGTCTTTTTTAATATCCATTTTGTAAACTCTAACTTTTATTTTAAATCAGTTTTGGTAAAATTTGTAATGTAGCATATTAATGTCGTAAGGTATGATGTGAAACCGTGATATCAAAATGATATCATTTCCTTCGAGAAAAAGACCTTATGACGTGAATAGAGTATATTTACAATTTCATGAAAATGAGTTAAAACGTAATAACGTTTCACAATTTAAAAAAAGAATCTTAAAAAGGACATTGTACTCAACTGAAATTTGTATTAAATATAAATTATTAATATAAAGTGCAGTATTAAATTGTACATGTTTAAAATTTTACTTTTTAGGAACTTCGAGCTTTCAATGAGATATACGAACTCTGAGATTCAACTAAATAAGACTGAAATTTCAATCGGCGAATAAAATGATCATAAAAGCGAAAGATTTAGAGATTCTACCGAAGTTGATAAATTCGGCTCGAGAATGCTTCAGTTTTTTCCTATTTTTTAATCGATATGTTAATCGGCGATTCGGAAGGAGAGCCTCCCGAAGAGTCGTGTTTATTTAAATGGAATTGTATAAATATAGCCTAATAGTTGTTTTAACTCTAGTGGATTTCCAGGCAACATTCTTTTGGAAATAGCTTTTGTAAGGTGTACGTTACGTAGACTCTCGAATTTAGCCATGCCCATTAAGGAGCAAAAAGTGGCAATTTCAGGTCTCGATAACTTTAGAGAAAGAAAAACAAGCAGTGACTGGAAAGTTTCAATACATTAAGGGAAAAGAAGAAAAAAAAAGGATAGACAAGGTTGCGACCTCGCTCACCTGTCCATGGCTCCTATCGGAAAGTCCAGGAACGAAATTCCTCGAAATCGGCTTGATAAAAAATATTCTTACATGTTCCTGAGAATCACAGTAATGTGTAATCAAAAATTGTGCAATTGAAAATCTTTTGGAGATTCTCTGAAGATACCTGCAAGGGTCCATTTCGGACGGTTCGAATTTTCGGTAAAATTGCATCTTACCCTCCGCCAATGGAGATGAATGACTGCTGGAGGGAAACAAGCGATAAAACGTTTTGTTGACAACCATGTCGATAGAAATATTACATTATTTGGTTCAAGTGACGTCGAACTACGATTGGGGGAATCTCGTAACATTACTCACGCCCAAGGATCTTTGCTACGCATTGTTCCGCTCTACAGAGGGCATTTCTTGCACCTCACTGAAATCACAGACTTTAGTATTATTGCAACATTTTAGCATTCTTCATCCGCTGGCTGTTGTAATCTCATTGAAGGCTATTTTACCGACTTACCCATAATGAAATTCTCGGAATATAGTCATTACAGGACCTTTCGCGTCATAAAAGATACCTTGATTTCGCAGTTATCATTTTCTCCTCTTGATTCTTTTCTTACCAAGAAGAAAACGTCTCAATATCGAATCTTTTTAGGCACTGTTTCATATGAGAGCTTCAGTCTACTTTTTTTCGATTTCTACTATCTATTCTACCTTCAATATACTTGCCTAATAAATACAAAGTCATTCTTTATTTCCACAGGGTTTACGTGTATAAGTTAAACATGTAAGTGACGTGTATAATAAAATATAATTACGTGGATTAAAAAATAAAATATGCAATCCACTATGTTGTGTTTATCGAGCGGAGTCAGAGGGCCTAAAAAAGGTCGCATTAAATACTTTCGTTCCGCACGTTAATCAACGTTAATGTTATTTACGATGTCAAGGTATCTTCAAGAATGCACATAAATGTTCACTAAGATTTCTATTAAGACACTATGCACGCAAAAACAGAAAGGACATGGGGCATTTCCTCGTTCTTCTGATTTGACGACACTTGATTAGTTTTTATGACGATTCTAAAAAAGAATTATACTGAGTGGTAATGTATGTAATCATGTTTTAATAATTCCAGGAAACAATTAGATTACCGTCATCGGTGCACGTCATCGTATACGCATAATTTCTTATACTTCTAGATGCTATTGAAGAATAGTCAGCATGAATAGTTAACACGGAATTAAAGGTGTTAATAATATCCCCGGAAACCAGAAAGTGGTAGTGGATATCGAAATGTATGTCATTCATGCATCCTAAAAACAATAAGCCCGTGATCCACAAATGGCAATCAAACGCTATTAGTATAAATCAATGACATTATCTCGGCAACGGAATAATTACCCACTAATGCTCCACACTTGCATAACGCGATGTTAGTAAAACTCAAGAGATATGTTACCTATACGGTACTCTTGAGGAAACAATTTTATCTCTTTTGCAACAACAGTCGACTCATGAATTTCTCACGTAACAATCTGTTATTTATAAAACGCGAATTGGATCACCAGCTTTTGGACGAATTTTCTTTTTTCAAAGGATTAAAAAGAAATATAATAATTCGTGTTTCAGTCATTTTCTCATATTTCGCCATGAGTGAAAAGAGGCTTAACAAAATGGAGGATCATCTGCACGCAGACAAATCAGCCTTAATTAATAAATAATCTTACTTGTATCAGCAAATGCAAATATTTGAAAATGTGACAGATTCTAAGACAAATTTTGGGAGCCGCAGAAAAATCAAAAACCTTCGTTCCTCAAATACGTTCCTGCAGGCGAAGTAAAAGAAAAAAGTGGATTGCAATATTCTTTGATAATGATAAACTGTACATCGCTTGTTTAATCTAGTAGTAATAACTGAATTTTTTTGACAGTCACCACTACCATTCAAAGAAATATTTCTTTGGTTCAATGAGGTCCTTTCATAGTGTGAAGCTCTCCTACGGTTACATCTACGCGTGACACAAGTGTAAACGTTTCTGCTTTAAATGCAATAATTCCTGCAGTAATCGCAAAACTAGATCGTCAATCCTTTGCTGAGAATGCAAATGACCATTTCTAGGAGGACTCCGCAAAATCCTTTGAAAGGAACCGAGTTGAAATTGCAGCCCTCCTTTAAGCCTTTCTAACCCAAGTAAGACCTCCCGTGTTTCCGTTTCCCTTTAAGGGCTATGAAAGTGTCATATACACCAAAAAGTCAAAATATTTATAAAACTCTTCATCAAACTAGGTGGACCGAATAATTAGAAATTTTAATCCGTGATTACGAAGGCCCTAATAAAGGTCATGAAATTTCATGAGTTCAAGACCTTTATTAAGGCCTCCATAACAAGGTGTTAATGTTTCAAATGATTCGGTGCGCCCAGTTTGGAGAAAAGTTTGACCAAAATTTTGAAGTTTAGTATATATAGAATGACCCTCTGGTATCACCTTAAAGGCCCTAAGCAAGATGAAAAATTCGACTCGGGGAGAATCGAAACAACGGTCCCTTTGCGCATCTCCGTGGGCCAATCGCGGACTTTGCGCCGTACGTACCATAGGGGACTTTCAACGGGAGATTCCAGACACCAATCGGAAGCGTGCGTCATCCCTGGAAGGGTCACGTGCACTTTGAATGCGGGTGCGCTGCGCGCGCACGTGAAGAGAGGCGGTTCGGAAGAGTCAGGGGCGCGCGCAGTCTCCCGCCAGAAGGGGCCCAGGTAAGTCGCGCGTCCGGTCGCGGGGCCCGCGCCGGGAACTGCGGAGAGCGCAAGGCGACCACCGGTCGATCGGCTCTCGGAGAGTCCAGAGAAAGAGACGTGTGCCTGGACGCGGTGGCGAGCGCGGTCTGACCGATGGAGGCACCGACGCTTCGCTCCTGACTCCCGGACACGTGCTCCCTTCGGCGGCCCCCTTGCATCCCCACTCCGGGCCCCGATACGAGTTCCGCAACTCCGAGAAAACATTCTCTGTGTGTTCGTCGCGAGCTTCTCGGGGCGCGCGCCCGTCGATAGACAATCTCTGTACACACGCTGCCCGTTGTCCCCTGTGGGCGTTTTCTTGGTTTTCGGGTTCGCGTGCTAATGTCCGAAGTGCACATCGACTCGGTATGGCTTGCAGGACCGGTTGTAATAGGAATATCTATTTTCATCCCTGGAGCCTTACCGACCGGTTTCTCATTTTTTCAAGTATAGCAAAAAGAAGAGGGTCTTCTCCTCGTCTCCTCGTCTTCTCAAGAAGGGAAATGCACGTTCTCGAAAAGGAACGAAAGGAAGAACGGAGATTTAAGGCGATGTGAAAGTGAAATCTGAGTCTGGACGAACTGGGGGTATCAAATCGTTTGAAATTTCAACACCTCAGGGTGGAGGCCCTATAGAAGATCCTGACACCCGCGAAATTTCATTTTTTTTATACAAATGACTAAAAAGGTTTATACAAAAGTTTGAAACAAATGCAATTTCATGGGTGGTAGGACTTTTCTTAGGGCGTTCGTGTTCACGTGGCAAAGTTTCGAATAATTCGGTACACCCGGTTCAGAGAAAAGCTTCATAAACCATTGACCTCTCAGACGCTACTTTCACATCACCTTAAGGTGAAGTGAAGTCCTCAAGCCAGTCGATTCGAGTAAGACACTTTTTTTTAAAAGGTTCTCCACCAATCTGACTGATATTTTAGCACACGACTTATGAGCACTTAAGGAATGTCCTGATACTTTCAATATTTTTATTTTAGAAGTATATGTATTTGGCGCCATACTCTGGCGAGTTTCTTGATGACCAGAATGGATACAAAGATTCCTCCCGTCTATATCTGCCGCAAAGAGAAATTAATTTATTGCGTATGAAAATATGTTTTATATTATTAGACTCATATTGTAAACGGTGATTTAAGGATCATTCGTGGCATTTCTTGAACGTGAAGGAGGAAAGTTCCTTGACTCGGATGGAAGCTTTCCTTCGACACGTTCTACCTGTGCCAACCTAGACTGGCTAGTTAGCACATCTATGTGTACTTTTTGCCTCGAGTTCAATGATCCAAGGTTCTACCTGCGATGCACTACCTGCAGCTTCGCATGCATAATGCTATTCTTCCATCGACCACCAAAGTGGAATATAGGAGTAGTTGATTTTAAATAACATGTATATAGTGTGGGCAGTATATACAAGTTTTACACATTGCCAAGCATTATTCGCAGTACTTGGCATATCATGCCCATAATGTGTAGATCTCTAATTATGAAAGACCTGTAATTTTATTTTATCGAAAAACTAACACGATATTGCTGTAACTTAAATGTATGTAACAGAAAATATGGGATAATTTCTTTGTTTTACATATTTTACTTAGCCAATTTTATAATTACGGAACAAATAGAAAACCCTATCTATGTGTTTGTTTGGACTAATCTCGAGAACCATTGGCTAGGAAATGAAATCAGACATTTTGGGAACACAAGCGCGTGGCATGCAATAATTTACAATATAAATAATACTACGGTTCTCACTCTTCGTTGTATTAATTGTCAATGAGCACTGAATGGAACTGGGAGGGCGAATAGCGATTTTCTACAATGAAGATTTTTACTGTATCAAACGCACGCACAGAGAATAAACAGTGCAAAGATGTAAATTTTTCGACCGATTATTATTACACTTTGAATCGGTGATTTCAACGGAATTAATTCCACCGAGAGGCAATATCCTCCTCGGCGTCTGGAGGAGATGTCTGGTCGGTATTTGATAGACATGCCAATGTCCGAAGTACACGATGTGTCTTATTGCGCATGCAGGTACACGCACGCCAAAGGGTTATTGAGATATGCTTGTTAACAGTGCCAGACATAATAAGAACATGAGTTTACGTAAATGTTTCCTAATTCGGGTATGACCGCGTGTGATAAAGTGGAAGTCAATTTGCGACACCGAGTCTCTTGTTCTCTATTGAATTATACCATAAATTCATAGACGCACATTTTTGCTGCGAATTTTATTTTGCAATAATTCCTTGCTTCAGTAATCGACAAAGTGGCAAAATATGATGAACAATACCGACGTTATTAATACATGATTGCGAAAAATAAATTGTCGAGCTTTTACAAATTTCACCGCGATCTCGTGGAACAATTTAATGTTTTTAGTTCGAAAGATTGTGAATACGCTCCCTCGTGCGCTATGTTATAAATAAAACTCATTAACAAATGAATTCTAATTGTCTTAAATTGTTTAATTCGGACTGGCATTATTAGTCTTTTGCGGTCCTTGTTGTGCTTGTCGACACGTCTTCGAAATGTCTTCCGGATCTGTCGGTTTCTGGAGAACTCTACATTCGGGTGATAAGAACTGCAACGTTCACCAAGCGTGGCCGAAAGAGAAAAAGGATGAAAACGAACACGGAAGAATGCCAAAAAGCACGTCCGACGTATATGTACAGGACTGAACATCACGAATGAAAATGCAAACTCGCCTCGAGCCACGTAATTAGCAATTGTTACAAGGGGGAACTGCTACCATTTCCTCTGATTATAGAAAATTAATATTTATTTATTCCCAAGGAATAAAAATCATCACTCTCAATCATTTTTTTTTTTTTTTAGAAACGTGATGATAATCAATCTGAATTAAATTGATACAATTATTCATTCATTTACTACCGCGCTTTTCTCAATAATCGCTTCCATAAAATTCGCCAATCGATTTGCATTTATTTAAGACAGTGTTTATTACTTGATTCGAATTCCGAAATAGTGCACAAAAATGGAAAAACTTCTGTCCCGAAGTTTTATGAGTCGTGCACGACATTTCGGCATCTCAATTAAGTTTGTATTATTGGTTGACGATTTTTTTTAAATATTTTAATCCCGATGCAAATATCAATTGATTTTGCTTCATTTTCGCTTAACTAATGTAAAACCATTTCATTCTGTCATTGCGATTAATCTCGAACCATTTATATGATCATTTCAGGGATGACGTTGGTAGCATTAAAATAATTATCGGTAATCGGTTCCTTTTTACCGGACCCATTGGTTGAAACAAGAGTCATTTATTGATCATAAACTTTCTTAGAAGAATTAGATTATTAATTATATGTGATCTTCCTCACATACGTGTTGTTCCCGATTAATTTTAAGTAGAATCAAATTAAGAGTGCTTTGTAAAAAAGGCTTCAAATTGACGAACCTGTATAATTAATTAACAATTAATTACTTTTTCAACTTCAACACCTGTACAAGTGGGATAAATCACGATACATCAAATGAAAATTATTTCGTGCGAGGAAAAGAGACTTCTTAGCTCATCTCGTTAACTCATGCAGAATATATAAATAATATAAATATGAAATACTGATGCGAAAAGGAACAAAGTAGACTAGTAATTTAGAAAACGCTGGAAATGCAGATGCAAAAAGGCCTGATCAAGTTCAAGTACAATGCATACTTATATATTTTTTGTTCTTATCCTGTATTGTAAAGGTAGTTGTTATAAAAAGCTGCATATGTGTGCGGTACTATTAAATGAGAATGAAACAGGTTTCACTTCAAGGCTAGTCGAAAGAAAATAAGTATGTCCTCTGCTCGAGTGTGAGTAAATGCTCGTAATCATCGTGCAGGATGCTTCAACCATGAATATTCTTTTTGTTAAATAACGCAAGCGAGACAAAGGCAAATAATGCCATGAAACGCGTTTCTCATTTTTCAGCTATTTTAAACAGTAATCGCAAATTTGCTAAAACTCTGGTATCACAGTTTAACACAATGGCCTTTATCCCAGTTGTTGCCTTTAAAATTTATAAGAGAACATTTAAAGTGAAAAGGTCGGAAAAATGGAATTAATTATCGTGCGTATGATTTCACGTGAGAAATTTTATTATTTCCGGAATCGATCACCGAATGATTGGCGGTAATAAAATTCGCTGACGAAGCTTTATGTAATCAAAGAAAGAAACATAATACCTATGCATATATCATGAATCTATGTACAAGGCAAACGCGACCTCTGTCACTAGTTTATCGTCATAAAAGTTACACATTTATTCATCGTCATCAAATCTATGCAGAAAGAAAAAATGAATGCCGATAAGACGTCGATGACCGTGACCAACAATCGGGCAAAAGAAAATCCCTTGCACACATCCGAAGAAGAATGTGTCTCTAGGGTGTGTGGCAAATTGCTAAATTGTTTGTCATACATGAAATGATGAAAGATAAACGTTGATTTCTCCGCTCGTGAAATCCTGCGCCAACGGTCAAAGGACTTTGATCAAACAGTTGGACCGGATCAAGATGCCACCGTGATTCATCTCCATTTTACAATTTATGTTTAGTACTAACAACATTGCTTGTGTCACCATCTGGACTTGGAACGAGTATTTCATCAAAGTTTGTCAACATTGGGTAAATATGATAAACGGTGACCAGGTGTGTGAGCATGAATTTTTTTCATCTTCTACGCAATCATTAAAATTTCCATCATATTGATGAGTCACAATGGATTCTGCCCACGGACTTAGGAACTTGAATGTGATACTTTTATATTGCCCGTCAAGTAAATGGACTTATGATGTAACACTCCTGTGTTATTTAATTAATCTTAAAGATAAAAGTACGAACTAGTTCGGAATTCTTTCTGTGAATCTTCACAACAAATCTTTCCGTGGTACTTTTGAGTGGTTGTGTGACATAAGATTTAAGGAGCTCCAGTTATAAAACTGACACTCTTGAATAAATTTTGCTAGAAAAATAATAATATAATATATTTGCATGACCGTTTATAAAGTCCAACTCAGATAATATGATATAAATAAACTCTAGTGAAAGTGTGATTATGCACATGAGCACATGCTAATTATTTGTAAAAAAGGTGATACGTAATGAACGCATCTGCAATTTCATTGCTCTCACAAATTCATCTGACATCTCTTTATCCATAGAAAATAATATTCTAATTTCTTTATGCACAGTTGAAGTGTTTTCTTAGGTACATCTTCGTGTGGAATGCTGGTTGCATTGCAAAAGCGTTTAGAAAATTCCTGGTTTCCGTCTTTCTTTCCCTGCTTAGTAGAAATGTCTTTCGCTGAAGAAAATAACCTATGAAGATCGGATAGAGCAGCAGCTGTGTATAACCAGGGCTCGGCTCCTTGTGGACCGGAGATTATTAAGTTCCCTGAGGTCCGTGTTGCAGATAACACCTCTGCATCGCCTGGTAACCACTGACACTGGAAAATTATTATATCAGTGGATAAGTAAATTAACTATAATGAGAGAATGTAATGAAACCAATTCATTGTTCGATTAAGAGGAGCATCTCATAACAATTAATACTGACATGTCCAATTCGCTCCATAACTGCCTCCGCAGCTGCTGGAGAACTGTCAAAAATCCTATTTTCTCGTACGTTATCACATAACTGAAGGAAAACGTTGGTAGCTTCTTTAGCAAAATCATGATGATCACCGTTGTAATACATTGCCATATATGCGTAAGCATATATTACATTTTCTATATTGAACTTCACGCAAGGTGAAGCTTTCTGAAATAAACATAGAACTTATATTAATAATGTTCCAGAACGAAGGTAAACGAATTATTTTTAATCACAAAGTTGATTTACCGATACTGCATCAACTCCAGAGATATTCAACAATTCTGGACAGTCCTTCTTAGGATCAGAATCTTGTAATTCATCAATAACTTCCTGTATTAATATCTTTTCTCTTGACCACCATGGTTTCCAATCAGGCAATAATTTGTCTGCTTCTCCATTGAGCACCATAGCTTTAAATTCTTGCCTTTCAGCATCAGTTAGTGCAGACCAAACTTCATCGGCATTATCAAGGTTTATGTTCTCCAAACGATCCCTTAAACTTCCTGCCTGTACATTAATTGAAACCGGTATGTATATTTTAATATCATAGAAATTTCAATGAATCATAAATCCTTTTCAGAGAGCAGAAAATTATACAAGATAAAAATTTATACACGCTAACATACATCTTCTTCATCATCCGAATCTAACTGCTCTGAATCATCATCGCTTTTTGTAAACATATCCTGAAGATCCTCATTCTCCAATTGTTCCTCTTTCATTCTTTTCAAAATATCAAGCATCTTATTTCTGGACTCTGTATCCGTCCTTCTAACTTTCAATTCTTCCTCAACGCAGTCTTTGTAGAAACTTTCCGAGCACTCTGAGTGTGCCATCGACTTGTAACAGTCCACTGTACAATATCCTATGTCGCATCGTGGACAAGTGTACTTACGAGGTTTAGTCAGACATCTGTAAACATTATATACCTCATGCATTGTTTCTTTAAAGAGTAAAATTACGTACATGAAACGTCCACAAAAAAAAGATATCTTTTGTTTTTTTATATCCATGCTTACATTTGGCATAATTGATCCGCATCTTTGCTCGATGAATTTAACATCTCCATCGTGAAAGTTGCCGATCTTTTAAATAACAATTAAGTTCGATGATTCTTCAGTATTTTGGATTCTGTACAGGGATGAGTTGGGAAATTGTTCACGGGCAGGGTGATTCGTAATCTCTGGTTTGTAATTATTGCGTTTTAACCACGCGAAAGAAAATAAGTAAATTTACGTGATAGACTGAATGGGTAATCATATCAAATCATATATTGAGAGTAAATGGTTATGTGGTGGTGTGCAAAATCGCGGGTCCGTGCTGCCCTTTTACGGAATAATTGGGAAGCTTATACACATTCACATCATGTAGTATGACTTATCATAGTAATTCGGTTTATGATTTACCGACCAACATCTAACCTACCAACCGTCGACTATATTGCAAATTTTCACTGACTTATCAAGACCCCAGCTTTTCTAATGAATCATTTGTTAATGCCAAAGAAGACGTTACAATTGTTAATGTTCTGTAAAGTTCCTTGAAAATAATTTACTGAAAACAGTGGAAGGTACACGAATTTTACCCTCAGGTATCGCCATAGTTGTCTAAGGAAGTTACTGTCCTGATTAGCAAATAATTGCAACTAATTTGTTTTGAGACCATAAGTAGGCTGGAAATGCCTACCAGGGCAAGAAGCCCAGGCTTAATGTCTTTTCAAGATCCACAGCATAGCTGGACGGATGACTTGCCAGTGTGTAAGCAATCCGGTGAGTAATTCATATTTAGACACTAAACAGCAATCTACGATTACTCTTTCTATACTTTTTTCAAACGATAATTCAGGCGTGGGATTCTCAACAAATCAAATTTACCGTGAAGATGGATATCGGCAGGAAGAGCACCCATTCGAAGACCGTAGTTTCCATTGTCACTATGATGATTCGACATTCCTCTATGGTGTATTCGACGGTCATGAAGGTACAAAGGCAGCAAATTTTGCTTTGCAAAGAATGGCAGCTGAGATATTGTTGGGTCAGTTAAATGGAAAAACTTTAGATGAAGAAATAAAGGAAGTGTTAAGGTAATGTTTAATCAGTTTTTTGAATAGCAAGATGATGGATAATGTATCTTAAAGAATGTATTAATATATTGTTTTATTTTAGGCAAGCCTTTATCACGGTTGAACGAGGATATCTAGACTCTATAGGCGATCTTTTGGCTGAACGGGCTAGTTTACAGTTCGATATACCAGCAGGCTTAAACTCGTATGAGACTTATCAAAAGTTTCCTCAACTGGTAAAGTATACATATTCAATTAATCCGTGTAAGGTATGCGACCATTGTAGCTTTTATGATTTTTGCTTTAGACCTTTTTGTATGTAGGTGGATAAGCTGAATGCATTAAATTGTGAATTATCTGCTGGAACTAGTGCAGTGGTAGCTCTAGTATATCGCAACCGACTATATGTTGCAAATGTTGGGGACAGTAGAGCTCTCTTATGTAAAACTGACAGCAACCAAGTTCTCCGAGTTGTTCAGTTGAGTGTCGACCATGATTTACGAAACGAAGATGAACTGTTAAGGCTATCTCAGCTGGGTATTGATATCGAAACAATAAGACAAGGTATGAAGAATTCATAGTGTATAACTAATTGTTAATTATAAAGGAAGTTCATTGCTACTATCTTAATATTATAATGAAATACATTCTGATTAAGGTTCTCATTTGGGAAATCAAGAAAATACTAGATGTATAGGGAATTATCTAGTTAAGGGAGGATATAGAGAGTTCGAGGAGTTAGCTTCTGCAACTGCCGAACCCATTATTGCTGAGCCAGAAATTCATGGTGGGATAGAACTTGATGACTCCTGCAGGTTTTTACTGCTAATGTCTGGAGGTCTTTATAAATCACTGCAGGAAGCTACCGGAACTGATCAAGTTAACAGAGAGTTGGCTCTTATAGCAGTGGAACAAGTAAGTGAATTTTAACAGATGAGATAAAACCTTTTCAGTAGGTTTCTTTCTTTTATTATTATAGTGGTTCCTTTAAATGATATAATTTTCAGTTTAAAGTGCAGTCTACTTTGACAGGAGTTGCACAAGCAGTGGTTGACAAAGTTGTACGAATTCATCACGACGTAAACATGAGTAATTCACGAAATAATTTACTTCCTGGAAAACGAGATGACATTACGCTTCTTGTGCGAAACATTAATTTTCCACTTCCACACGCATTGAGGAGTCCGATCAATCAGTCTGTGAGATTCAACCCAATCATCCAAACAGCTCCTTTAACTGTACTCCACAATGACGACTATTCCAGTACAGGGACAGGAGTAGCTGATAATTTTGACACTTCTACAAGTGAAACTTCAACGACATCGGACATATACCCTCCAGGTTCGAAAACTTCGAACAGGAATGCAAAAATCAAACCATACGTTGACTTCTCTGAATATTTTAAAACTGTGGAAAAAAGAAGGCAAGATGGTACGTTACCTGATGGTATTGACTTTTAATATAATTCATACTCTCAAATTATTTCAAACTTCACAAGAAGGCATCTTGATAATATTCCACTTCTTGTATCAAAAGTAAACTAATTCCTAGATGTTTTGGAATTCGATGCTAGTCTAACTATTAAATAACAATAATCTTTGTTTTATTGATCCATGCAAAAAATTGTAAAGGCCCAGAAATGATCTGCTAGTAGAACATTGAAACCGAAGAATGTACGTTAGGATTACAAGAGTATCCTAAGAATCATTTCACTTTTTAACATAAAGAGCTATACTTTATCTATACAAATCTCTTAGGACTTTACCAGTTGTCTATTCTTACGATTTATTTACTCAACAAACCAATAATTGTATTAATAAGTAATATATGTAAATAAATAGGTTTTAATCACAGCAATTAGCTTAAATTCTTTAAACTAAACATTTCATCAGTCACAACGCACTGAAACGTTGCAGATTAGCCACCAAACGCACAACAGATTCGTTAAAATAATTAGGCTTAGTAGACTTTTCTAAAATTTCTATTTTTCTATTTTGAATGTTACAGAAGCACTGCTCAGCGATAAAATGATAGCAGGGGCACCATTAAAAATTTTAATTTAACTTAATTTAACGCAGCGATGCACCGTTTTTAGGAATGCTATGCATAGCAGAGATGTTTGTCATTCCTAAAACAGATCAGTTTCCCAGTGAGAATGGCGCTGGGATCGCATTAGGGATCAAAACTTGCAGACGACTACTCCATCTTCAGTTTTCTTTGATTAATGCTTGAATGAATTAATAGCATCTCATTGGCGAGTTCCGCTAGACTCGGCCACTTACGACCACTTGATCCAATCCAACCGTATCGCGAAAAAATAGCTATTGCAAAATCGACTGAACGTTGAACCGAAACGCCCTCTATTTAAAAATTGGCATAATTCTCCAGTTCGAGCGAAGTCCCTATATCGTGTGTCGGAAGTTTTTGTTTCATCGAGATCGATGTAAATTGGTTTAAGTTGTGACTGTCGTTTTGGCCTGTGCAACGTTGACGGATGAGGACGCCGGAGTTTGACGGGTGACAGGAGAAGGCCAAATCGAGTCAGGGAGAAAGCGATCAACGGGTTGGTGATTTTCATCGGTAGTGGTATGCCTCCGTTTTGATATTATTATATCTCGAGGCCTCTCCCTGTACCAATTGCCGAAGATGACCTGCTTTTATTTTAGGATCGGGACTTGATCTGCGCTCGACAAGGATGGCAGTTTTTCAAAGGTTACGTGGCTTGTCAAGGCTTTTAACGTCCTCCAGAGTGATTTCACTTCCCAGGCCGAACAGCTATTACACGTATCTGAACGAAACCTCCGTCCCTCTACCGAATAAGGAGCCCTGCTGGGTAAAGAATGCCGATGAAGCCGTTGCCAAGGCTGGATTGAAATCAGGTATAATTTTTTAGAAGCTGACTCGGCATTTTTACTTCCCCATTGACTGTACGTTTGTTGAAAAAAGTCATAGCAAAGTTTGTTTGCGTAATTCCAGAGTATTGGCTATTTCAAAAATACGTGGGACTAAAGCAGACCAATTATGTGATAGTCTTGGCAGGATTTTTTTACAGATTTAGAAGAAACGATTGATCTTGATATCAGAATACATAAAACACAGCGATTAGATAATGTATGTCAACTAATCAGATTAGATGTAATCGAGTTATAAAGGGGTATATTATAATGCCTTGTTATACTTAATTCAGTTTGGAGTGTATTAAGAATTGTAGTTGATCTGTGGTATTCTGCAAAGAAATTTAAGTAAAAATACGGTGTCTTTTTTAATTCACTTGTATAAATTAATTGTTGCTGTTTGATTGAAATTAAGAGTAGTGAATTGTTTACATAAATCTGATTACACTAAGAGAAATAAATAATTTCTGCTTAATTGGTTCACATAATGCTCTTTCAGATAATAAGATTTTCGTTCATGGAGCTGCTGCAACACCCGTCGAACTCCTCAGAGCCTTGACCGACTACTGTAAAAAGTGTGATTTAAGTAATGTACGATTATATCACATGCATCTTGAAGGAGATGCACCTTACGCACAACCAGATGCTGCAAGTAAGTTCCTAACATGTCCTATTAATAAAATATGTTTTGTTAGTCACTATTATGTAACTCACTAATTTTAGTACAAGGCAGTCTATTAGCAGTAATTATGAAATCTTTTGAAAATGTTTTGTACTAGACTATGGAGAAATAATATGGAATCTAAACGCCATGCTTTTCCCTTAGAGTCAATATATTTGAAGCTAATCAATTTTTTGATTGTGCACAGAGCACATAAAATCCGTAAGCTTATTCATCGGAGGAAATGTAAGGAAAGCTGTAAATGATGGGATTGCCGACTGTATTCCCATTTTCCTGCACGATATTCCGTCGCTTTTCGAAGAAGGTATCATCATACCGGACATTGCTCTCATTCATGTCACGGAACCAGACAGTAGGGGCTACTGTTCTTTGGGTACTAGCGTAGACTGTGCAAGAGCTGCAGTTATACACTCGAAAACTGTTGTAGGTAAGTTTTAAGCTACCTGATTATGGTGCTAGCAAAGTATGCTGTCTTTTTGCTACAAATTTAACTTTGCTTTTCAGATCTTATTTATTCGTTCTATTAGACATAATATATTTCCATGGTTAACCTCTCTATTTAGCGATGGTGAACAAGAAGATGCCAAGAACCTATGGAGATGCTCTCATTCACATAAGTCACATCGACTACGCATTTAAATTTGACACAAATCTTCTTAGTCATGGATCAAAAGCATCCACCGATGCAGAGAAGATGATCGCCAAACACATTGCCGATAATTTAGTGGAGGACGGTGCCACCTTACAAATGGGCATTGGTAGCATTCCTGATGCAGTGCTTGCATCGCTTAAGGACCACAGAGACCTTGGTGTTCATAGTGAAATGTTCAGTGATGGAATCATTGATCTTGTTAACAGAGGATGCATTACTAACAGCAAGAAATTGATTCATCGTGGGCTGATTATAGGATCTTTTTGCGTTGGCAGTCAGAAGTTGTATGATTTCTTGGACAACAATCCATTCGTAGGTAAATCATTTGTTAATTTCATTGTGAAGGTAAAAAACAAACTATTATAATGTAGAATTATATTCAACATCAAACCAATTGATTTAACCCTGCCTTTAATTGTATCACCATGTTTCATTGAACTTTCTTTTATACCACTTATTTTTAATTTCTCGTGACTGTCTCTGTTTTTTATTACAGTTATGTTAGGAGTTGATCATACAAATGATCCCAAAATAATTGCCAAGCAACCAAAGATGACAGCCATTAATTCTTGCATTGAAGTAGATATTACGGGGCAAGTTTGTTCCGACAGCATAGGAACCAGAATGTATTCAGGTTTTGGTGGGCAAGTTGACTTCATTTCAGGAGCAGCAATGTCCGATGACCGTCTTGGTAAACCTATCATCGCCTTCACGTCGGAAACGGCGAAAGGCGTCAGCAAAATTCAGCCTGTATTGAAATCAGGTAAGAATTCATTGACAATCAATAATGTGTAATTCATACTTGAACTTTTAATCGCTATCAATGTCAATACTCCTACGAGCATGGATGGAAATTTTAATACTTGTTATTCATGACAGGTGCCGGTGTTGTCACTTCTAGGGCTTTGGTACGCTACGTTGTGACAGAGTATGGAATCGCGGCTCTCTTTGGCAAAACTCTAGCTCAACGCGCATACGCTTTAATTAACATAGCCCATCCGAAACATCGAGAGTCACTAGAGAAAGCTGCCTTTGAAAGATTAAAAACCATGCCAGAACCTTAAACAAAGTCTTTCCGTAGACATGGTAACTCCGATTCATCTATATGCCATAATCTACACGTCGCGGGTTATTCTCGCAGATGATTATTCTGTCTCGCTTTCCGCGAGAAATACATGCTCCTTGTCAACACTTAATGCTTCAGATTGAAACAAGTTTATACCGAAGCATTGTTAGAAAGTTTTTGATAGGCGCATATAATCATCAGGGAAGTACTGTGATGTCAAAGTTAAGCAAAAACTAAATGGCATTTATAGATGACGGGTCAAGTGTAATGTAATCCTGACTGCACCTGATAACGCTGAATATCACAACCGTACTAATATCGTAAGCTCAATAATGGTGTATAATATGATACTGGTACAATTTGAAGTTATTTTATTTTGTATTCACTGTATTCTTTTTATATTTCTAAATTAATGCAATAGAATCAAATTTTATGTATAATTTTCGATATTGTACTTCGGAAAAATACATGTAATATATTGTAAAATATCTGACACATTGCTCTCTTGTGCCACGCGTGACCGCCACATAAATGTAATCTGTACGTACAGAGTTGAGTTGGGATGAGTAGCAACTAATTGGTCCGTTGGTTTGTACCAGACGATCCAGATAGTTGAGACCGTTAGATTTGTTTACAAGCGTGCTCGAGCCGACGTTGCAACGCGACGCGAAATATCTTTGAATGACCGACGACATTCTTATTCGTGAAGAGGTTCAGGGGAGGCTCCGTAGATGGCGGGGAGGAGTTCGCGCAGTTTCTATGCCGACGCGCGGAGGACTTGAAATGAAAACGATCAGTGCGCCACAGTGATCACGGATCGCGAATACCAACGATTAACTATCGTCTATCAATCTAGCCTGTGAGCAATCTCCCATCTCATGTCTGTGTCAAGTATGTATGTATGTACTTGCGAAACTCTACCCAACTTCTTAATGCGGTAAACTAAATAATTTTATTGAAAATGCATTTGACTGCCGGTAAGTCAGAGATTTGTAAAATTACGACCTGTCGCCGTGTTTGATGACAGTGCCATCTCTGACTGGAAAAGAAGAAATCTGCAAACGGATTCGGGATTTTTTTCTACAGACTTCATAAACCATATTCTACGGTATCTATGGTGGAACGTCTGCTTCTTTGCTCCAAAGCTTAGACCTCCAAAGTCTCCAAAGTCGTCTGACTCTTGTGGAAGATGGCGAATCTTATCGGGGTAGATAAATTTCTTCAATTATGGAAAATAATACGTGCAAATGGAGGTTTACTGGGATCTTTGAAAACTCTGTACAGGTTAGGAAATTTTGTCGAATACTGCTTAAATTAAAGATTTAAAAATGTTGATTGATTAAAATCATTTCTAACCTTGATAACGATGTTATGTATTTTAAAATAGTAATATTGTCTTCTATATATGCATATTCTCGGTTTCTTAACACTATTCTACATTTTTGCATTCATCATCTTCAACAGGGAAGACGATTTAAAGGTTGGAACTCTGATTGGGATAGACAAATATGGTAACAAATATTATGAAAACAATTACTACTTTTATGGTACGTATGACAAGGTAGATTGTGTGTTAAGGAATATAAGTTGAAAACTGTCTAATAACTCAGTAATAGGCGAATTATCTATTGAATGAAGATTATGTTTTTTCAGTTAATGAACAAAGTTTTATATTAAAATAAGAGCATCAGGCTTAGATATAACTGATGTCAATTATGCCGTATGCAGTTATCTAGCTTACTGAATTGTTATATTATTTGATGTAATCTTTCCTTCAGGTCGAAATCGATGGGTTAGTTATGCAAAGGAAGTAGGTTTAGATTACGATGCTTCACAAGTTCCCCCAGAATGGTTCGGATGGCTCCATTATAAGACCGACTTGCCACCTCATAAAGATCCTAGACGACCAAAATATAAATGGATGGCCGAACATCGCCCAAATATGAGTGGCACTAACGAAGCTTATGTACCATATAGTACTACAAAACCAAAAATCCAGCCATGGAAACCGTAACTATTTGCTCTTAGTGTACTAGTATTTATTTAAGCGAACTAGAAAAATATAAATTTTAATGTAAATAAAGTTTATGAGTATCCGATATATCATGTCATCGAGGGAACGTTCCTTTAATTAACTAACGTAAATAAGTGAAACTTCAAAAAGAAAAATCCATCTCTTCAGCCTGTTAACCAATGTATCGTAAAATAATTTATTCTTGTGTTGGTGCGATAAAATGATCATACATTTCATTTTATTAAATGAAACAATTAGCAAATTTTTATAACCATAGAACTTGGTTAATTTGTATAACTATATTGGTTCAATGTTCAGTTGCCTTTGGATCATGTTAAAGGTGAGCTTATTGATGAGTGTTAGTCAAGCGTGATTAATTATAGTTCTTTTTGAAGTAATGAGATTTCTTTAGAAACTAATTGATGCTGTCACAGAAGAGTAATTGCTGAAATGTGATTCGTCATTTTAAAAATGGCATTCCAAAAACTGGATATTGAGTTTTGAGGGAGAATTTACATTTCATTAAAAATTTACAACTGCGCACCGCGGATTAAAACTGGTCCAGTTTCCTTTCTGATACGTGAGATTAGCCATGGATGCTCTCATCTTTCGTCTAATTCGATCATATGATTTTAAAAATACCGTTAAAGAAAAGTATTTCAAAAACTGGACATCGAGTTTTAACAGAAAAATTACAACTGCATTCGCAGACTGGAACAGATTGAAGCTGCTCCAGTTTCTTCTCTGGTGCACATAGTGAGCCATGGCTGTTCTCATGTTATCTCCACCTCATCTCTGCTCCAACGTAGTCCAATCATACGATCGTGTATAGTTCAAGCTCCCGTCTCCTTTCTCATCTGATTTCGTTCGAGTCAGGTTGTAAGGTTTTGTTTTATGGTGGTTTACTGTCATGGTCGGTGATGGTCGGTGAACATGATGACACGATTGAGAGGCAAAGCCTCTTTGATAATAATATTAACGATCATCTTTCTTTTATTGGTGGCCGTTTATCACATTCTCACTAACGAGATCGACGACGTGCCCTCCTCAAAGGTAATCTCGCATCTGAGGACAGAGAATGCGTACTCTTCGAATAATCTGATCGAATCTCACCAGAGAAACGTAGAGAATCATAACCTCCAGGAGGAGCTCACTGGAGGAAACGCGAGAAATGTGCCCTTCAGAAGTTACAATTATGGCAAGGCCTACAACACCGAAAATCCTCTCTTCAAGGGGCACAAGATCGTGCACTTGGATCTCAAAGGAGCACCACCCAAGATTGGCTACTATGATCACTTGTTCCCTTTGTTGTGCAAACTCGGAGCAACGGGGATCTTGATAGAGTACGAGGACACCTTTCCGTTCGATGGACCTTTAAGTAACATAAGTGCTTCTAATTCCTATTCCAAGCAGGATATTATTACCATTCAGAGATTAGCCAAGGCTAACGATCTTATAGTCATACCGTTAATACAAACTTTCGGGCACCTAGAATTTATTCTAAAATTAGACAAGTACAAAGACCTTAGGGAGGTATTCCGCTATCCTCAGGTAATTTGCCCGACCCATAACGAGTCTTTTCCATTGATTACTGAAATGATCGATCAGGTTGTAATGGCACATCCAGATTCCCAGTACCTGCACATCGGTGCAGATGAAGTTTATCAATTAGGCGAATGTAGTCGGTGCTTAAATGTACTTTCCAAACGACGCTGGAGTAAGAAACATTTATTCCTGGATCATGTATCGACCGTAGCTCGATACATTACCCAGAAATATCCTAAACTGACGGTCTTAATGTGGGATGACGAGTTCAGGGAAATATCATCCGAGGAGATCATGGAAAGTGGGCTGAACGAGCTGATAGAGCCTGTCGTTTGGAAATATACCACCGATCCTGGAGCTTCTCTGGCGGATCAGCTGCAGGATAGTTATTCGCAAATCTGGCCAGCTATCTGGATCGCTACAGCATTTAAAGGAGCAACGGCCCCGGACAGATATTACACAGATATTTCGTATCATTTAGAAAATCACAGACGATGGTTGGAAATTATCGATAGGTATTCAGATAAAATAAAATTCAAAGGAGCTATTCTGACCGGATGGCAGAGGTACGATCACTTCAGTGTACTTTGTGAACTGCTTCCTTCGGCACTTCCATCTCTTGCAGTAAACTTGGCCATGCTTCAGTCTTCCGATTTAAGCGGCTTCTATGCGGAAGTACCAGATCGAGTTACACAGACTATGAAATGCGAAGGTACAATCTCATTAAATATACCCGAGCCTCAGTATGGATGGACTAAGTGTGATTACGAAGGAGTTGCAGTGTATGCTGCTACATTAAGATTATTCCTCTTGAATCAAGAATGGAATAAGTTAGAACAAGATAGTGCGTTTAAAGGTTGGCTGAAAGAGTATAATATTAAGCACATGTTTTCCAGTCCGAGTCATGTTGAACATGCTCTTGGAGACTTAAATAAATTCAGAATGGAAACGTTTTATATTGAGAAAGAAATGAGGGTGGCAATGGAGATGATTTACGATAACTTCACGATAGAGGAATGGATCGAAACGTTCATTACGCCACTGAATGATAAAATTACTAACTTATGGGAAGCTAAAGAGAAATTATTGGAGCAGTCTGTTTGGCCGAGGAGGCCGTTAACTAAAGCTGAACTTTAAGTAGCCAAATTGTTTTAGTTCTGGAAAATTGCTTCTAGAGTCTGTGACTAATGCATATTGCTAAGATCAAATGAAAATAGACTGTTTATTGAGACGAAGACGTAAAGAAGCGTGCAATGAAAACCACTCTTCCAAAATCGTATCTAAGAAAGTATTATGTGTAATGTGATAGTTTATCGAATAGTTCACTTTTAAGCAAGGCAATGATCATGCGAAACGTTAGTGAACGTTTTAGAGTCAACTCATCCATGCCGTCCAAATTTTTGACAAAGGGAAAGAGGAAAAATTTATATATTCCAACGTTAGTTGGCCATACTGTGGGACCGAATCGAATTATAATGGTGCCCTTGAAAAGGATAGTTCACTCAACGAACAAAGGTGTACTCCTTGTCATACGTAGTACAGTAGTTGATATTGCGCTAATCTGAGCAGTTTGCAGTAACTTTTCGACATACCAATTACATACGTAATGTTCTACCATATTTATGTACAGAGAAAAAGAGAAAGCCACTCTTATCCATTACGCAGTAATTTACAATTGTCATCTCGCTCTGCCAGTATATTTCATAAGCAAAATTCACGTTAAAAGAAATTGCAACGTTTCAAGGAACTGATACTTTCCTAGGTATTTATTAATTTTTAAATAATTGTGCTATACATTTAGAAGAATCTTTGGGTATGTAAGTTAAAAACTACCAAATAGTTTGCATGCAATTATGACAGTACATGTAGACACTTCATGCAACTGAATGACTTTACAATAGGACATTTTGAGAATAATTTGGATCCTTGACATTTTACAAACGTAACACATGCCCTAATTTTTCAGGAGTATCATGTTAGGAAAGAAATCCAGCAATTCTGAATCTCATTGTATTCTGAACAATCATTAGCTGCACGTATTGGTGCACTTCAGGGAATCTAAGATACCCAATGTACGTACTGATGAACGTAAAGATATTATACTCATGATACATACAATATTTTATAACTGTACTATTGCTCGTGCAATTGTCACTCATTTGTTAAATGTTAATGGTCATTGGTATTCAAGTCAGTCCGTTCCACAGTTGGATGAGTTATGAAAGAAAGCATACGATATGCCGAGTGACTTAAAGTTATATTATTTTCTGTTACGGGGGTATTTCGTTTTTCGCCAGCAAGTTATTCGGTAAAAGAAAATTCAATAACTTTCAATCATTCTGCGAGTGAAATGTTTTCTATTATAGTAATTGTTGATAACGTATTTGTTAACGTAATTTGTAATTTATTAGTTTCAAGTGTACAGTTCTATAGGATGTTTTCGCAATATGATACATATAAATATAAAGTGTAAGACTAACGGTATGACGTAATATACTCGGAATTGTACAATAAAGGTTCTTATACGTTATGTTAGCACCAATGACCTGCAATTTGTGGACATAGCCACCCCTTTCTTTAATGGATATGCATATGAGCATGCCATAGCTAATTACAGAGATGAGCAGGTGCTCATCTCTGCTAATTATTATAGTACCATAAATGAAAACCGCCTTATTAAAACAAAAAAAACAAGATGCATTTACTCAAATAAAATTCCCAAATTATCAATACCAGAAAGTTTAGTCAACAAATTTCGGTCGGAAGACACATCCATTCTCAAATTGTTTATAAATGGCGTCATCGAGTAGTTCATACCAAAGTACCAACTCATCTCTAGTTGTCTCTAGTTCATATCAGAGATGAGTTGGGAGATTGTTCACGGGCAGAGTCGCGCGATCGACTTCTGTGCTGCCCTCTGGTTTTGTACGTTAGCTTTCACCGTTTTTTGCTCCCAAGGGCGGCACAACGAATTTCTGGTAGGAGCTCGCGCACTCACGATGGCGGTACCATCTACCAGTCGCCGTTGGCGGCTCCCGCACGCACGCACGCACGCACGCATGCGAGATTTCGAACGTTTTCGAGCGTTTCTCAATCATTTTGAGAGCGGTTTCGAGCGTTTCCGAGCGTTATCGAGTGTTTTTACGATAAGGCTCAAAAAAATTGAAAAACGATCGATAACGCTCGGAAACGCTCGAAACCGCTCTCAAAATGATTGAGAAACGCTCGAAAACGTTCGAAATCTCGCGTGCGTGCGTACGTGCGTGTGGGAGCCGCCAACGGCGACTGGTAGATGGTACCGCCATCGTGAGTGCGGGAGCTCCTACCAGAAATTCGTTGCACCGCCCTTGGGGGCAAAAAACAGTGAAAGCTAACGTACGAAACCAGAGGGCAGCACAGGATGCGATCACAGGATCCTGCTTGTGAGCAATCTCCCAACTCATCTCTGGTTCATATACTTGTCGCCCAGAATGTGGCAACAGTGCTGTATTCTGCATGCGAAACGACATATTGTCTAACATTCAACGAGCCCTCTCTCTGCTTTTCTTCAAACTTCATCCAATAACTGTCTCCATTTTGTCTTTGCTTTTGTCTATCTTTCATAAGACAGTGGCCATAAGTCGCCATAAGCAATGATTAACCAACCATAACCTTATGAACCATGCTTTCTTTGCTGGTTTAAATCGTTATTTGCAGCTCGTACGTAATTACGTGTTTATATTATATTTATAATATTGATCCTGCCGATATATGAAAGTTCTGAGTCGAAGAAATTGAGCAAGTTCGTATATTCTTGAGGCATGCACGATGCTCTGTTCTAGTATCAGTTTATAATAAATTTAAGTTGGTGTAACAAATGTATTTTCTTTCAGAACTTCAGTAATCAAAAATGGTCGAAATGAAGGGGGAAGAAAACAATGTAGACAGTGAAAGAAAAGCTAAAAAGATAAAGAAATCTATTAACATTCCTGATCCCGATGATATTACCAAATTGTTAACCAATGTTCAAAAGAAGAGAGAAAAACATAATGTTTCTAAAAGTAAAGAGGAAAAGCGGGGTAAATTTGAAAAATCAGTTATTGGACAAAAGTACAATAATTTGAAGCAAAAAAGTGCAATTAAATTGAAGAAATCTGATACATCTGTGAAAAGTGACGTTACTAACGAAAAACCCGATTGGTTACAATTGAAAAAGGAAAAAAAGGAATTGAAAGAGAAAAGAAGACTTAAGCGTCATACAGATACGTACGATGTATCTGTAAAAGCAAAAAAAATTGGTGAAAAGTTACGAAGATCCGACTGTACTTTAGAGGAACGCCAAAATTTGACATCTAAGTTATATGAACTTTTAACTGGGCAATGTAATAAGATAGTTTTTACTCATGATATGTCAAGAATTATTCAATGGTTAATTAAGTACTCGGATTCTGAAATACGGCAAGCCATTTTAACCGAATTAAAACCATCGTTAGTACTCATGTTTCAATCGAAGTATGCAAAAAATTGCATAAAAAGTCTGTTAAAGTATGGTTCAGAGGAAATTAAAAAAGATATCGTGTCAGCCTGTTATGGGAGTATCGTGAAGCTTGTAAGCCATTCTGTGTCTGTCCCAGTTTTTGAACAGTTGTATTCTACTTGTGCTACAGAAACTGATAAGACATATTTTAAACAAGAATTTTATGGTGATCTCTATAAACATGCAAAAGATGCTAAAATAAAAACACTTTCAGATGTTCTGCAGTCGTCAAAAGATATGAAACTTGCCATCTTAACTGCCATTAAAGGAAATTTAATAAAAATTTTAAATAAAAAACTTATTAATTCATCGCTTCTACACACGGTAATATACGAATATATGTCACAATGCTCTGTAGATGATAGAGCAGAATTGATAGTCATGTTAAGAACATTAATCACTGACTTATCAAAGACTAAAGATGGAGCAAAATCAAGTATCCTTTGCATTTGGCATGGCACGAACAAAGATCGAAAATTTATTATGAAATCAATTAAAGAAGTCATTGCAAAAATCTCCTTATCTGAGCACGGCCATTTAATTTTGTTAGCTTTAATGGATTCAGTCGATGATACCGTTCTTATGAAGAAGATAATATTACCAGAAATTGAAAATAATCTAACGGAGATCTCACTAAATGAATACGGCAAAAGGGTCGTTTTGTATCTTGTAGCTAGAAGAGACCCACATTACTTTCATCCAAGTACTGTTCAATTTTTGAAGCAAGGTGATGGGAATGCAACAAGTAAAAAACTGGCGGAAATTAGAGAAAAGGAACTATTAGAAGCTGTTATTAATACGTTTCTTCAGAAGGTAGCTTCGGAAGCATCAGTGTGGCTATCCAACAGTTCAATAGCAATGGTAACGCTTGCAATTCTAAAAGCTGGGAGGGGCAAAAACTTAGAAGAAGCATATAATGCTATCGTTGATTTCATAACCGATTCAGATTCTGTGATCTCAGAAGATGGCAAAGAATACAAAGCCATTGAGCATTCTGGTCTTCACCTGATGCTGAAGAAGTTAATTCAACATAAAAAGTCCGAGATAGAAACAACCTTTGGTCAACTATTAGTTAACCGACTAAATGACAAACTTATAAAACAATGGATCGAATATAATAGAGGTTGTTTCCTTCTTGTAATGCTATTAGAAAATGAACACCCTGACACAATTGCGTCTCTAGAATCTAAGATAAAACCGTTATCTGCTTCACTGGGATCTAAAACGACCACGGGAGCGAAAATTTTGTTTAAGAAAATAAGAATATAATGTAAGGTATTTATATCATTGAAAATTTAGATATGTTTGTACAGACCGCAGTCAAATATACAACTGTTTCTCCTATTTGGGTTCGTGTTCCTTTATGCGATACCTACAATATAAGACTTATTGGACAGGGAAAAGATTGAAGCATCATTTTATTTCAATTTTTATTTAATATAAATAAGTAGGCTAATTACAACGTTACATTTATTGCATTCTAAGATTCATGGTCAGAACAAGTTACGTTGTTGATTTGTTCAATATCACCGATAAGGCGAAGAAACCTAGCACTCGTAATATTGACGATGAACCTCAAAATGCAAGTTTTATAAGTGGCAATGATAGTTGGAGTCACGTGTGAAAAGAAACTCGTTGATTTTGCATAATTAATACCACTAGTTATAAACAAGTTTTAAATTAATCAAATGTTACCATATAACATAACCGCCAGTCTTTAGAAATTTTGAACGAAGTACTAGTACGGAATTGTTCCAAGAAACTGATTAACTAAAAAATATATTAAGAAAGTGATGATCAATGTTTTACATGATTACAACAATGTCTATATGAATATATCGGTACTAGACACCATGCAGAATTTACTTCCTACCAATTTATTGAAATCATCTGAAAGAACGAACGGGTATTCTTTGATCATGAAATCTAATTTCGGTTCTTTTTTTTTATAGTACTATGAAGCAAAATCATTTTTTACATTTAATTTACTTGCGTATATGTATGTGAACAAATGCTGCTTGCCAAATTTCACCACTCATATGAGATACACCTTTGGTGAAATAAATAAAAGCCATGATAGCTGGTTGAATCTATCTATAATCACACCCAACGATTTCAATTTATATTTTGAGCATATCTTTAATGTCAATGACCCTGGAACGAATTTCTGGTTGGTTATCCCCAGATAAGTCCGGTAGGACTTCGGTGAATAAAGTAGTTAAGTTTTCAAGATGCGTAATATTTTTGGTATCTCTAAATCTTCTTGACAGAGAAAAGACAATGTTCAATGCCTCTTTCCTTATCCTCGTATACTTAGAAATGCCTAAAAGGAATATTAAGTTTGGTCAAACATTAGCAATTTCAAAAATTCGTCGTTAATTGGAATATTTACCCATAGAGTGCCTCAAAATTTTCTCGAGTACGTCACAAATCGATTTTAATGTTTCCTTGTCCTTAGGGGAAGTCTGTGTGGCATCGATTTGTAGTAAGACTAACTTATCCACAAAGAGGTTAAGCATGGTTAGGATCGCAACTTGAAGAGTTCTGGTACTTTTTGGTAATACTTCATAACAATGCGTCACAAATTGCAAACAATATTTGTCTGTGAAACAGGGAATACGTGAAAATCATGTGATAAAACAAGCGATGGGATATTTACCTTGAGTTTCTTTATTCGATGGCCATGCCTTTCCGAGAGCTTCGTACAATGTCTCCTGCAATTTCAGTATATCTTCCTTTTTCTTTGTTCTTTCTGTCAAAGACTTCTCCTCGTCGTCATCTTCTTTAATTGTAACCTATTCGATGAGATTTGACAATATAATACTAACTTTATAGCTTTATATTGCATGTAACGTACCTTGAGGAGAACCTCTTGTGCGATGTCATGTACTTGGGAAAATCTGTCGATTTGCAATTCGTGCAAAACGTCACTAAATGCTTTCAAGGCATACCGACGATATTCAATAGCTTCCTTCTTACTTTCTTTATGCAGTGATTCCACAATCGTCTCTAGGAGTTCTGTATCCTTGCTTACAGCCTCCCTGTTAAAATCAAACGAGAGAATTATAATAGAATTAATCAACAATTTATATATCAGATTATGTGTTAAAAAATTAAATCTGTGACGTACTTGCTATTGCACGCCAAAGTTGCAAGACCATTTAGAAGGCGTTCTTTGCCGTTCCAAGTCCTGCCACGCAGACCGTTTGTTAATATCTTCAAAAGTGTACTTCTCGCTTCTTCATCGATACTAGAGCCTAATTTTGTAGCTACTGTCGATACAGCATTTGCTGCCTGTGCTTTCGTAGTCCACGATGCCGATTCCAAAGACGAATTCAAAATAGTAGTTATCGCTGTCAAATGTTGCCTTATTCCCATTTCTGTGCCTGGTGATATATCTCCCCACAAATCAGTCCATAGTTCTATAGTAGCTTCATTTCCTACAATTAATAAAATATATTTCTCTTTTAGTATACGTGCACGTGTATATAATTATTGTATAATTATTGTAATTTAAAAAATATACAAACACGAACCTGGCACTTTCTCAGCGTGCATTGCGAAAAATGTTAAAGGCATAACTATGTCAGAATAGTTTCTAAGTATCTCCTGGTTATGGGTGTTTATTGATTGCAACGTTTGCCCAATTGCCAGCCTAATGGTGTCATCTGAAAGAAAACCACGATAATAATCAAGATACCTAATTTTCATAGATAAAATAACTGTCGGCTTAAAAATATACCTTCTCTTTCCATATACCAGGTGTTTAACATATTAAAAAGCTTCTCTAGACTAGATTCTTTTGCAGATCCTACTATGTGTCCAATTGTGACGGCATTACTTTTCCTAAGAACACTGTTGCGATCTGTTAGACCGTTTACTAGTGCAGCCAGAATTTTACCTAGAAAAATGAACCAAAGCATTATCGATATCATTAAAATATTATCTAAATTTTTATACGGTTACTTAGGTATCCGAACATATACAAGAACGATTTTATTTTTATACTAACCAGTGTATGGCTGCAAGTCCTGTTTCAAGTGACTACATAACAGTATCAGGAATTGTGAACAGGCAACTTTAGTGCCAAGCACTACGTTTGACTTAACTATTTCTAGTACTTTCGGCATTAAGTCTTTCAGTACCGAAGCATCGATATACTGAACGCACTGTAAAAAATATAATATATAAATAAGTGAGCTTTGTCAGTTAAATCAATTTTAATTACCTCTTAAAATGTATTTGAATCAATAGTTCACCTTTGTCACAGTCTCCGTAGTATAATAATTTTTTGCTGCAAGTGCTCTGTTTCTGTCATGAACTTCCTGCTCTTCTGAATTACCGCCCAAACGAGTACTCCAATAAGAATCCAAAGGATTTTCTAATTCACCAGTTGCGGTTAAAAGTGCTGGTATTAAGTTTACCAACGATGGCTTTAACAAATCACCAGCTGTCTTAACGAATTGAGATACGGTTTGCAGCGATATTGCTCTTACAGTAGCAACAACATGAACGATCCCAACATCTAACAAAACTGGCAGTATTGCTTGAAGAATTTGCTCTCCAGCTTTACCTTGCGATGGGTCACATCGTCGAATACAAAGCTGAAAATAAGCAAACATATAATCTTTTGCTCAACCAGTTGACTACCATTAATACACAATCATTGATAATACTGAAAAAAGTACCAACTACTTACTTCACTAAATACTATGACAGTTTTGTTAGCAGCTAACCGAGTACCCTCATGAAAATCATCCATTACACGAAATAGTTGTTTCCATAGTTCTGGTCCACTTTCGACTAAATTTATAGGAACGTTTGATCTTAATAGATCAGCTAATGCAAGGCAGCAGCTGATCCGTACACGCCACTCATAACTTGTTATGTTACTGGATAAATCTGCCAGTATCTCCTTATGATATTGCTCCAACTGCGTGAAAATATTATTAATTTTCTTCTGAAAAAGTTGCACTTACACAAAAAACTATTAATAAAAAGAACTCTTATTGCTTACGATGTTATGTGTAGATGGAATAATGGCATGCCAAATGCTAGTCATACTGCGTTGAATCCTAGGAGTTGGATCGTACTGGTATCTATACAGTTTTGGCGCAATAATGGGCAAAAGTTTATTCAAATCCTCTTTTGCCAAATTTGCGATTACAGAAAAGCCAAATGCTGCGCCTTTTTTTGATGTCCAAACGGCATTGTGATTTGCCAAGTGTAGAAAGCGATAGACCAGTTCTGGTTGATTCAATTCTGTTGCTAATGAACAAATTTCTCTGTACGTTGACAAACTGCCACTGGAAAACACGTAAGGAAATTTCACGTGCCCAGTTCATTCGATGTATCGGGTCTCTAAATTTAACTACCATGTGTTTCCGAACATAACTTTTAGCACATTTAATTTAATATCAATTTATTTACCCAGAAACACTCTTTCCTAATTCCCCTTCTTCAAATAATTTGGTATCGCTGTTTACTTTTGTAACAGCTCGACGACCTTGCAAAAGTTGATTTGTCAAATTTTCTAACAGATCCTTACGAACCGCTTCTTCGCTAGCATAATATACCAAGCCAAGTCCTTTTGATGCAACGTCTTGAACAAAATCTGCATAAACAAAAAAACATTAAAAGCTGATGCAGAATATAGGATCTCATAGTTAGGATTTGTATTTAATTTTTAGTACGCATTACCATTATTTTCTGAGAGAAAACCAGTAAAGGCATTTTGAATTTCACAAGTTTTATCCACAATTTCTTTTCGTTTGGCATTATGCTTGACCAGTGCTAGTAGCCAGATACACACCGCCTAAGAAATAAAAAAGACATGTTACAGTGAAGATTCTTCTTCACAGATGTCGAGTATCTAATTCAAGAGTTCTCACCTGCCTAGAATGTGGATGTGGTACATTAGACAACTTTAATAGTTTATCTAAAACTAATTTTAAAAGCTCATTGCTCCCTTCACTGTAAGGAACGCTGTATTCAGTTGGTAGCATTGTCCATGCATCTCTCCCTTTAGGTGAGGCTTCACCTTGTACACAACAAACCAGCGATTCTCCTACTGTCAAATGTATCTCAACATCTTTAGTCTGCCAATAATGAACTACAAAATTATGATTGCACAAAAGGGTTTAATTAGTGGTTACAAAGAAAATTGGTCACTTGCCTCTGCTGCTAGACTAATGAATTTTTCAGCAATAAATGTGGCATGGGGAAATTCTTCACCGACGCACAAACATCCTAGAGCCAAGGCAGCTTTCTCTTTCACCTATTATCATTCAACCAAAGAAGTATCCAATTTTTCAAATAATTCACTTTTAAAACTGATCACATCTTGATTAATATTATCGTATCACAAACCTTGCCACTTGTTTTTACATTAGTCAGAATTAAAAATAAGGTATCCACGACAGCTTTCTTGTTTAACTCTTTGTCATCTTCTGATGGTATTGGCAAGGCAAACGCTTTTCCTATATTACCAATTCCTTCGGTGGCTGCACTAACTAGTAACATGCTGCTATCGGTCAAAAACGCATCTGAAACGTTATTTTTAATTATGGTATAATTGTTAATTGCAATTATCTTTTAATCATTAATATTTCACTATATCTCCTCCATTTATGGCTACACATACACAAAGTTTTAACAGCTTCCAAATAAGTATTCCACTTCAGCAATTCATCCTTGTTGGTATGTTTCCACAACCGTAACTTTCTTTCCATCATGTGTGATAATGCGACTAATGCACCGTGTTGTGTTTCCGGAACTTTACTTTTAGCTGAATTGATAATCTCTGACACTTGCTTTTCAAAGTCATTATCAGGAATGTATGCTATGATAATGGCATAGATTTTAGCAGCCAATTCTCTAATACTTTCTTTACTCGATGAAAGCATGGATCGAAGCCATGGTATTTCACTTTCGTAACGGTTAAGTGCATAAAGTGGGATTGTCCCAACCACTTCTAGAAGTGCATTCAGTGGCACCCGATCTATAAAAAGTATATTTTGTACACATTTTTATTTAGACTGAGATATTATTTAGTAATTAACTAATTAAAACGTACCTGCAGTAACATGACTAAGCATCATAATCATTTCCTGATAATAATTTAGAGATTCTGGATGTTCTTTAGATATATTTTCTAGATAGCGACCAATCGTTGGAGTATGTTCGCAAGGATGTTCCAACGGTTCAGTTTGTACAGGCACATTAGCACTTTTTGCAAGACAAAGGCGAAGATAGGTTATAATCTATGATGAAAATGCATAAAACATTCTCGTTGATACTTAGATTAACCATTATGAAAAGGAAAGTATTGTTTTGGTAATACAGAAAAAAAAGTAGTACCTCTGTAAACGTAGTGATATTGTAAGGAATCGTTTTACTTCCAATATTTACTCTTCCTGGGTGTGTACCAGCCATTCTAGCCTGTAATTTAGTGTGTATATAACACACTAACTTGGAGAAATCAGGTAAAAATATGTGTTTTGTGTTGTCCTTATCTTCCTCATGTTTATAGGCAGAACCATATAGAGCTTTCATAGCTTCTAAATTAACTTCATGCTTTGAATCTCCACATGCTAGAAGTAACAAATATCTGGACGGAGCATCGTCTGGTGGAAATACAGTAGCAGCGTAGTGTACAGCAACATATCTGCGTAACATAGATGCCAAATGTACAAAATATCCTTCAATAATTATTTAGCAGCATAAAAATGAGCCACTTAAAATTGCTGCTTCGAATAAAACCCACATTATTTCTTTCAACGAAAAGTATTTTAAGTAAACATTACAGAATTTCGAGAACGTACGATAAATAATTTTTTGTAACGTTTATTGGATACATGTCCAAATATTAAAAATCTGATAAACTTATCTCGTGCAACAATTTTAAACTAGCTATTTTATTTACATTATCTCTCAATTGTAGAAAAACTAACCTAACACTGGATTCTGGTGATTCAATATGGACCGACAGTAAACTATTCATCACAGCTAAATTAGTTTCGTCGTCTCGCAGAAGCACGAATGAAGAAGTCATGCTTATTAAAGCATCTCTTATACTCGTCCGTAAATCACCCACCGTCTACACGTTTCGTAGAGAAAGAATTTAGTAACAAATGTAACTCTTCAAACATTTTCATTTATAAAATTTGCATTAAATATTTTATATAGGTTATATATACGAGTTCATGCCCTCGATAAGTTTCAATAAATAACACTCCTTCTTTCAATTGACCTTTAAAAGATTAACAATATTAATTTTTGATATAATAAATTACTTACAGATGCAAGGGCATCAAAAAAGTTTTGTAATAAACTCAGATCTTTATTTATAAGAGTTGGAACTCTTTGCCCCAATTGTCCAATAATGGTATAAGCCTTAGGTTTGTGTACGTCGTCACCATCCGAAATTAATTTTATCATTCCATTTAGAATAACTCCTCCTACCCGAACTAGTTGCACAAGGCTACACCTGTGAATATTAAAAAATTAAATATTAAATGCATAATACCAAAGAAAGATATTATAATCAGCAATATTAATGATAGCATCATACGTACTGTTGTATAATGTTTAATGTAAATTGTAGAGCCAAGAATTTCAAATATTTATTTGTGTTCCTTCCATAAAGTGAATCAAATACAACCTGTAATTCAATATTATATTATTAATCATAGTAAATAAAAATGGAAGTAATAAAATTAAGCAACGTACTTGAATACATAGAGGAATAATAAATCCAGCTCTAGTTACTCGACAAAGATAATGTAATAATTTAAGTCGAATACGTGTACAAGCAGGCAATCTTTTCATCTCTGGTTTGACTTCTTTTTGTGTGGCTAAAGCATCAGTTCCCAAAAACAAAGTGTAAAGAGGACCAGCCAGTTGTACCGATGACCAGTCTAATGTACTGAAATATGCAAGATCCCAATTGTAAATGGTTTCTAATAAAAATAAGCCGATTACTGAATTTATATACATACTTAACAATTTTTTTTAATTCAATGTCAGCTATGTTTGCAACACTGTATGTGGTATCTGCAGCCGCAACAATTAAATGTATCAGAATATCAGAATCAGGAAAAAATCCTCCGGAGATAAATTTAACTATTCCTATTTTTATTTGCTCAAGTTGCTCTGACGTATGTGGAGTTTCACCGATTACCCTTTTAAAGGCATATTGATTAAGACCTGGTGGTACTGGGAATCGAAACCATTCAATGGGCTGCCCAGTCTCTTGGGAAGTTTGTATTACAGATCTAAATTTACATAAAAAATTAATAATTTGCTATACTTAATTTATAATACCGAAACCCTTCAACTCATTTATACATACATACCTATAAGGTAATATTAACATATCTAGCATAAAATTCAACAACTGTTTTGCAACGTAAGGTTTATCTTGTAGTCCAAGAAGAGGTGCTCTCTTTTCAGGATCCGTAGGTATACGTATATGTCCAAGTGCCGGCATAATAATAAGCAATAAACTGTAAAATCAATGCATTAGCTTAGTTGGTTCTTGATACATTATACAAGTATACCATGAGCATACGTACCTGTCTTGATGGGATAAGGGTTTACCCTCGATTGCATTTAATACACTTGGAACTAATTCTGCCTGTTTACTAATTTCCATTCGAGGGTATCCTAATTTTATGTAAATTATTGAAAAATTCTGAAAAGTGTTATTAATCGTTACAATTTTACAAGCAATAAGACATGTCTACGTATATTCATACAACATACTAACGTCACCGCTAACTTACAATTACAAATGAACTAGCAGCAGGATCTTGATATTGCAACAAAAGAGCTTCAACAGGGAGCTGAACTAGAGGTCGACTTTTAACCCTCCTATTGATATGGATTAAAAGTTCCATAACTTTTTTGCGAACTCCTTCTTGAGAGCTGGATAACTTCAACAATATCGGAGGTAGAAATTTGCATACTGAGGCTTGAAGTTGCTCATCCGTATCTGCAGAGCCTAAGCGGAGAAATACCCGCTCCAAAAGAACTATAAGAAAAAAAAGCATGTTTTAGAAATTATTTCTACTAAGATATAATGTAAGAGAAGACAATTGAACTAATTATTAAACTTGTAAGTAATCAATTACGACATATTGTAGTCGTTACTGCTGTCATTTGCTTCATATGTCATGTTAGAAAATCGGAGTAATTTTAGTTAACTGACAATCTACAATCCTATAAATATGAATTTCTCTTCAAAAGTAAAGGTTTTTATTTTCATTTTTGACAGATTTAACGATCGATCGATCGCTTTTCTCAATCTGTAAGCACATTCTCTGGTATTTGAAGTTTATAAAGAGAGGGGTTGGATCCGCAGCATGAAGGAGGTTGGGAAAGAGAAAATCGGAAAATCGAAATTCGAACGCAGCCCATGTGTGGAAACGAAGGGCGTGAAGTTGCCTTTTTACATGGCGGCGTGACATTTGAGTTTTCTTTTCTGGCTGGAAAGTGGACGGAATGTCGATTTTACATCGGTCGAATATGCGAATGGATCGGCCGATTCCTCATTGACGATCTGGCCACTATCAGGATTCAGTCAGTTCCTTAAATTCGGTAGAAAATAATTTTTTTTTCGAGACTACTTACTCAACTCGTCCGTAGCCGCTGCCATTTTGGAACCGTGTGTGCGAGAAAACGAACGGCATCGGCACTGGGAACGTGAAAATTTCGTTAACTTCCTATTATGTAAAGAAATGTTTACTAATTGCGTTTAATTACCTTAATGCTCAATACACATTCGAGTGGAATTATTTTGTGAATATTACTGTCAAGAAACCGCACTTTTTAACGATTTTTACAGCAGTCGGGAACATTTGCTGTCCGGTGTGACAGAGGTTAGAAATACTTTGCATTAAGAATTTGAATTAATAAGTACTGAATGATTTCAACGATTGTAACTTATTTTTGGCATATATTGACGCGTTCATGGTTTACATAGAATGTTACGCATTGTCACATTTAATTAATAACTGTTGAGATAGATACGTTTCTGTAAATTGAGGTTAGAAGTATTTGCATTACCGTAAATGCAATAAATCATATTCATCGTCATTTTAATAAAATATATGATAAGGATAAGACAAGAAAAACCACTACTATCATGTTCACTTTAATATTAGGTACAAATATCAGGAAAGTGATCTTTTATACATTATGTCAGGCATTGGGTTTGGCACAGATGGATTTTTCCGAAGTTCAGGGCAATGACTCTGCAAAAACATAGAAAAAGTTATATTATTAAAATGTTATAATTATTACACATTCCTTCGTTATATTCTGTGTTAAAATATATATTCAGTTTATATAAAATTTCAATGGTCGAAATGATTAACATAGGTATACTCACGTCGATAACAGCATTAATAACTCGTACAACGAGTTCCTTCATTGTTTTTGCCGCTTTTATCCCGCATAGCATAGCCGTTTTGGTAAAATAGCAATCCGCTATCGCCTTGTATTGACTGCAATATTAATAAAATCAAATTTTGTTTTAATAAAGTTTTTATAGTTTTGAATAGTTTTCTATTCTCCTTTTATGATATCAAGATAATGAATTATCCTGAAGTCATGTACTTTTATGTCGTTAATAAGTATTCATTAAAATAATACAATTTTGTTTCATACTCGCACAGCTCTTGATCTTCCATGTTTTCCGTCCAGTCAGCTGGACCACCACAGTCGAAATACTCATGATGAAGTTCTTGATAACATGAGGCATATTTTTTAAAACCTATACATTATATAAGAAAATGTACAAATTAAATCAAACAAAAGAATGTCAGGTGGAATAATTACCTCTCTGGTACTCCGAAGGTACGCAAAGTTTACCATAAAGCACTCGAATCCCTATCATTAGCTGCAAGTACAGATGGTCTTGTGGCAGTGGAATACACGATTGCATAAAGGCATCAAAGGAATCTAAATTTGTTGCTATTCTCCTATAAAACATGTATTCAAAGAAAAATTTAAGTACAATCTTAAGTAGCTCCATTAAATTACTATCTAATGATTTTAAAATAAAAATTTAAAATAATGTTTACGCAATATACGCAAATACGTACAAACCTACAAAGGAGCTCGAGATCTTTGTACGATGCGATAAGTAAAATAGACTCAGGGTTTATGACTCGCAACTCTGCCAGATATTGCAGTATCTGATCTTCGTCGCATTTACCCTTTTTTCGAGGCGCTGAAACGATTTTCTAATTAGAAGAAATCATCATATACACGTTTTTAAATTATTTGACTCCTATTGTAGCGGTAAATCAAACGAATTTGCAAAGAGTTGAGAAAGAGGTAAGCAATGATGCCTACTTGCGGCCAAAGTTGTGTAAACTTCGGTCTCCGCTCTAAAAGGAAAGCTAATGCCTTTCTCGTCGTCTTCGTCGCCATTTAATTGCTCGACCTCTGGATCGCTATCGTCGTACTTGTCTTCGTAGGACTCCAAGGATGAATCCTGACATGTCATTCGGACAAAGAACGTTGTAGCCACGAGCAACAACAGTAGAACTCTGCTGGAAGTAACACGCCAAATTTCTATTTCCATTTAACACGACCCGTTACGTATGAGAAGATTCGGGTCTGCTGGTTTTTCGGAAAAGTCCGATTCTGTAAATGTTGACAGTTTAAAAAATAGCGCCATCGTAGATCATCGGACGCGATTGAAGTCGCTGCTTATTGGGAGATTTCATCGCTAGATTGTTTCTCAGAAATATAAGAAAATACGCCCTTATAAATACGTTCTTTTTTCCTCGAATCTGCACAAATTCATTTTATTGTCGTTATTTCGAGGGAAGTCATGGGTTTATCGCGAAGTCTGACAAATATTTCTTAAAATTAAGAAAAAAATAAATTACTTTAGGCCGCATTTCTAGGCGAGTCGTTTCAGACTATATATTTTTCCTTTGTTTAAAATGACCGCTTTGGAGATACAATGAAGTTGTCTCCGATTAAAAGACCAATCGCGTGCCATTTTCAGAATACGAGCGTAGCCTGTCGTCTGCTAGGAACATCAAGGGAACTTCATTCACGATGATCCACCACGAGGACCATGAGTTCGTGACCTTCACACCGTTCTTGTTCAAATAGAGGTCACATTTGAAATAAACATCGGTAGATTCATACGACGAGCCATTTCAAAGGTGACTTTTTTCATTCGAATCGTCCCTGTACTCTTATTTACTATTCGTTAACCTCGCATTCTCCTTATTGCCGCAGTGATCTCAGAATATACTCTTGTATTCATCTTGACAACGGCTTTCATGAAATATCTCACTTGTTTGATGACATTTCGCTACTGATCGTTTCGCTCATCCTATTTCTAGCAACAGAATGTAAAAACGTGACTTGCTCTTTCGTTAACAATAAACAGAACTAAAACAAGTGCCAAATGTAATAAAGGTTACTTTGTTCGAGTGAGGTAATATTGAATTCATTGTAACGTTTTATTGCATGTACTCGATTTTAGTCTGATTAAGTTTCCTTAGTTATATTGTTAGTTTTAAGATAGTGTCATGACGGAGTCCATTTCTTCTGTATTTCTAAGTCATAGTTCATAATATTTTATGGATTTTACGGCATCCGATGATAGATCAATTTATTATTTCTATGCAGTCAGGATAATTAAAAAGACTGTATTTAACTCTGAGTAGAATATAAATAGGAGTAAGAAAACGATACATTTATATGTACTTATTTGTGTGTGTAGCGTACTTGCACAAATTTGGAGTAGGAAAAATAGTGTTCAGTGCATTCTCAATATTTCATGGTGATTTCGCTTCATAAAAATTAAAAATTTTAATGATTTTGTCTGTATACTATTTTAAAGCTTTATTTAGAGTACGTTCGAAGAGATGATATTTAAAAAAGTAATACATGCATGGACTTAATTAATTATATTTGTTGTAGGTTTCTTGTGATATACCCAAGTTGAAGTGAAATTAATGACACTATCTTGTGGAGTTGTTTTTTCGAACTCTTGAAAGTACTAGACTTTGTATTGCCTAACGTTGCAATGGATTCAATGATTACAATGAGGAATTTCTTTCGCAATGCAATGAAAATTGTCATGAGGAAGCTTACACTTTTCTTTCGACGAATTTATGAATGCCGCTGCTTGAGATTTCTCTGGTCTTATGTAAGTTTTAGAAGAGTATAGTTCTCGTACCCTTTATTTTAATAAATTTGTATTCTTTTAACCATAGAGATAAAAGATAAGGTACATTTTACATCAGGAAGACCTTTGCTATTTCTACACAGTAGTCTTTTAAAGTGTAACTTTATCATGTACAGTAAGAATAGCTGCTAGCTTTATGCATGTTCATACTGCGGAACGGTAATGTAATATCTTGCACGCTTTGTAACTGCATTGTGCTAATAACTTATATTAACGCCTGTCCCAGAGAGTCACTTGTCTATTTACTGCCATTAACATGTCAGCACTTATATAGTCATCGCTAGATTCATTGCAGAATTACAAGTAATTTTAAGTTCCAAGTGTACTTTTTACTTTTTGAACTTTTTACCAAGTAATATTTTTACAGGCTCTGTTAGGTAAAATGGCAGAACATAGTACAATTATTGAACTGCCAAGTAATGAAAAAAGTGAGGTGAGAGTCTTAACGTTAAATAACGGACAACATCAGGATGGTGTACTGTACAAGTTAAAAAAAGGTATTGTGATATATAAAATAATTAATATAATTGTACTCTTTCAAGACATGCAGTAGATTAATATAAGTATATTCTTTCATTCAATAGGATGGCTGGTACAATTTAGACTAGGCCCTTCGTTACTTGGACGATCTGTTCATATTTTTACAAACCATCCACTGTCATCTGATCAACAGTTTGAAAGGCGTACTTATTATCAATTACCATGGATTAACGACTGTGCAACTTTACGCTTGGCTCTTGCCGGTTCATTTCATTATTACATTACAGATGCTAGGTGAGATGTGAGAAATATGTAGCATAATCAATATGATTAACGTGGTATAATTCATTTGTTATTATTATACATATTTTTTTAGTGCTGAAACTGGCCTAAAAGCTATTGCTTCTGGCTATCTCTTGGTAGATCCTGAGTTAAAAATTGGCCCTGAGGGAGATGTGCTTCCTCTAGATTGTATCCAATGTCAATCGGTATTAGCAAAACATTTAGGTCCATTTTCTACTTGGGAAAAGAAACTATTAGTTACCCGTAACTCAGGATACAATATGATACACTTTACACCACTTCAGGTATAGGTTTCCTCTTAATTAATAATTTTGTGACATCATAATGTATTACTTAAAAAATTATTTCATATAATTTTTTAGCAACTTGGGGATTCAAACTCATCGTACAGTCTCAAAGACCAATTAAAATTGAATCCTATTTTTAATGAAGAAGGTGCATCGACAACTTTCGAAGACGTCGAGAATTTGTTGAAGAAAATACGAAAAGAATGGAACGTGAGTAGACTTATCCTAATCTTACTGTTGTCATAGTGTAATGTAAAATGTTAATTTTTTTATACTCTTCAGATTTTAAGTATTTGTGATATAGTTTTGAATCATACGGCAAATGAAAGTCCTTTTCTGGTATCTCATCCTGAATGCACCTATAACTGTGTTAATTCTCCACATTTGCGACCTGCATATTTATTGGATGCTACTTTATTCGAACTGACTATACAAGTGGCATCCGGAGAATGGGAATTTAAAGGCATTCCTACTGTTGTTGAGACTGAGGATCATTTGAACGTAAGGGATAGTTCTATTTTTATTTTTGTGAAAACCATTTGTCCAGAATCCATGATAAACAATTTTATATGGAATTGTATGGAATTACAGGCTATTCGTCATGCGCTACATACTCATTTCTTGCCACTGATAAAAATACATGAGTTATATATTTTGGATATTAATGAAACGGTAGCAGAATTTTTGAATTTAGTACGGAATCAAGTACCACAAGATGTTGACGCCACGGTGACAAAGGAAAAAATTACGATAATACAAGATCCTCAATATCGCCGACTAAAAGCTACTATTGATATGTCTCTTGCCCTTCGTATATACAATTCATATCGGTGAGCTAAAAGCATATTGAAATTATATACAACTAATCGAATACCTAGAATTGTCAAGACTAACAAAATAAATTATTATTCACACTTCAATAGAGTGGACTGTTTTGATGAAGAGACGCGTTTGAAACGCTGCGCCGAGGATCTTCGAAAAAATCTGCAAGAACTTAATGACGTGATTATTAACGAAATACAAAATCACTTAAATGCTGCGGTTGAAAATACAATTGCAGGAATTCGTTACTTTAGAGTACAGTCTGATGGCCCTCGACAAAAAGAGATCAGCGAAAGAAATCCTCTTGTTTCCAGGTAAGATGTAATTTTATTCTCTTAAAGAAAGTGAATATTCAGTAACTATATATTTTCTTTAATAGATCCTTTTGTATTTAATATAATAATTTGGATTTATGTCTACAATTTCTTTTAGATATTTCACGGATTATGGAGCGCCAAGAAACTTAGCTGAGAGGGAGACAACTTTATATTCAGATACTGGTTGCTACCTCATGGCTCATAACGGCTGGGTTATGAACGGTGACCCATTAAAAAATTTTGCTGATCCAGATTCTAACGTGTACATCCGTAGAGAACTTATTTCATGGGGAGATAGTGTTAAGTTGAGGTACACTTGTTTACACGGCATAATGTTCGTTCCTTTAAATTTCTCCACACCACTTCACATCGTTTGTTATTTTGTTTCAGATATGGAAATAAGCCGGAAGATTGCCCTTTCCTATGGGAACATATGACAACATACGTGGAACAGACTGCTAAACTGTTTGACGGCATTCGCCTGGACAATTGTCACTCTACACCTATCCCGATTGCCGAGGTATAGTTTATAACTGATTTTTACTCGTTAGAGAACTGAAGTTCAAACAATAAATATCGGATGTTCTTTTCAGTACATGTTAGACGTGGCACGTAAAGTACGACCCGATTTATACGTCGTTGCCGAACTCTTTACAAACTCCGATCAAAAGGATAATATTTTTGTCAATCGGCTTGGTATCACATCGTTGATTCGAGGTACTTAGAGACGTTCTAATGAATTAGAAAATTACTTCTAAATGTATTTCATTCATTGTAGAGGCCATGTCGGCGTGGGACAGTCACGAAGAGGGGCGTCTAGTTTATCGCTATGGAGGCGAGCCGGTCGGAGCATTCCTGCAATCTCATCAACGTCCCTTAACGCCAAGCATTGCCCATGCACTTTTCTTAGACCTGACACACGACAATCCAAGTCCTGTTGAAAAGCGCAGCGTATTCGATTTACTTCCAAGCGCCGCTTTGGTATCCATGGCCTGTTGTGCCAGTGGCAGTAATCGCGGCTACGATGAACTGGTTCCACATCATGTAGGTCATTACGTTAGACATTTAAGGTGACATGAAAGGGTCATTCTATATATATGAAGCATCAAAATATTTATAAAATATTTCTTTATACTCGATGCACCGAATCATTGGAAACTTCAGCATGTGATTATGGAAACCTTAGAAAGAACGTGGTGCTCGTAAAATTTCATTTTTCATACAATTTTATGTATTCCAAACTAGAACCAAGAATATATATTTTTTTTAATGTAATTTCACGAGCACCACGTTCTTCCTTAGGGTCTTCATAATCACGTACTAAAGTTTCAAATGATTCGGTACAGCCAGTTTGGAAAAAAGTTTTTTAAATATTTTTACCTTTTATATATATAGAATGACCCTTTCTTATCACCTTAATACGTTTAACATAGGGCTGTGCTTCTTTATTAAAAGTATATATTGCTTACAGATACACGTTGTAGATGAAACGAGGCAATATACTTCGTGGAGCGATAATGAAGAAATTACCAGCAATGACGTAGGCTTTGTTACCTCTAAGACTGGTATAATAGCTGCTAAGCGTGCATTAAACGAGTTACATTATAATCTTGGTCAGCTAAGGTTCTCACAGGTGAGAAAGTCTACTGCTGGTAGTGTAGTATGTCGTCTAAATTTTAAATAAAAAGAAAATCGTATGTTTAATAAAATATAACCATTGAATGTGCAATAGGTCTTCGTCGATCAAATGGACTCTGACATTGTGGCAGTAACAAGGCACTCGCCATCGACTCACGAAAGTGTCATTTTGGTAGCGTTTACAGCATTCAAACATCCTGACTCGAATGCCATTGACTTGAGAAGACATGTACGACCTTTACGAGTAGAGGGAGTTGTCGAAGAAATTATCTTAGAAGCATCTCTCTATCACGAAGACGTAAAGTAAGTGCGTATGAATTATATCCTGATTTCTAATTCAAATGTAAAATACTATCGTTTTTATTTATTTCAGAAGTAGCGGTTCACGGTTTCATTATACAGAAAAGTTCGATAAAGATGATAAATTTATAAATGGTCTGTCCGAATATGAGCTCGAAATAAAGGAGCACATTCAAATCTGTGATTCGACCATTTTGGAAAAGGTTGATTCCGGGGATCCGAAAATTACGCAACTTAACTTTGTTAATTTTCAACCCGGCTCAATCGTGGCTATTCGGTACGCCACGTCTGACAGTTCGCCTCCGAATAGTGATAATTACTTTACTAACGTATGATTTATTTTTCACAGAGTCTCCGTTCATGCTAATATAAAACCTGCTCTAGCAAAATTGCACAGTACAATATCTGCGATTACATCTCCAAAAAGTTCAGATTTACGCGTAATTGTCTCTCGAATGGATCTCACCGATTTAAATAAAGCCTTGTATCGATGCGAGCAAGAAGAAAGAGATGAAACTTCAAATCGTATTGGAGTGTACAACATTCCTGGATATGGGCCTCTCGTGTATGCGGGATTACAAGGTAAATAATACTAGAAATAGTAAAAACGAAAATACCTTAGTACACCGTAAAGGTATGGATTAGATCATAACATGAGTAATTTTAAATTTAAACAAAAACCACTTATTTGTTATCAGGAATTATTTCCCTATTTGCTGATATCCGTCCAAATAATGATCTTGGTCACCCTGTGTGTGTGAATCTCAGACAGGGTAACTGGCTAGTAGGTAAGAAAAATTCATACTTCAATCGATGCTTTCAATACTTACACTGTAATAGACATTAAATTTTTTCGTAACTATTTTTCTTTACTTTCAATTATTTTTCTTGTGATATTCAGACTATGTATGGCAAAGACTGAAGGAAAACGAAGGTACAACTCCTCTAGGCGAATGGATAGAACAAAGTGTGGAGCCTTTTAAAATAATACCTCGATATCTAGTGCCAAGTTACTTTGATGTCATCGTGGTCAATGTTTACATGATTTTACTGGAGCAATGCTACAGTTTAATGTCCAGGTAATGACACGTACTTTCTGTAATTTTAACTATTTTGATCTCGTTGGCCTGTGGTTAAAAATATTTTTCATGTTTCAGCTTCGTGAAGGACGGCTCCGTATTCGTTAAATTATTGTCTCTGGTCTCCGTTCAAGTGGGCGGTGTAGTCAAATCTTCCCAGCTGCCGGACTTGTCGCCTAATTTGGATCCACCAAAGCCAAAAATGAAAGAATTTAACGGAAATGGCGAACAAGAGTGTCTGACACTTTCAGCTGGATTGCCGCACTTCACGACAGGGTATATGAGAAACTGGGGTAGAGACACATTTATTTCATTGAGAGGACTACTCATCTTGACTGGCAGACACGAAGAAGCGAGATTTATCATTCTCGGATATGCTGGAACTTTGAGGCATGGCCTGATACCGAATCTTCTTGACAAAGGAAAGAATGCAAGGTAATTCTCGTTTCTATTGATTCGAAATATAAACTATTCCTAATTACTGAATAAATATATTCTGTATGCAGATACAACTGTCGCGATGCCGTTTGGTGGTGGTTGTATACCATTCAAGGTTATGTTCAAGAAGTTCCGGACGGTTTGAAAATTCTGTCGGACAAAGTTTCTAGGCTCTTCCCTACAGATGATTCCCCAGCTCTTCCGGCAGGGGAAAAGGTACGTAATTAATGTTGGACTGGTATTTTTATAATAACGTAGTATTTTTAATATTAAACAACGCCTACTTTCAGGATCAACCCCTTTATGATGTTATACAAGAAGCTCTGACGGTACATTTTCAAGGCTTGTGCTTCAGAGAAAGAAATGCTGGGAAACAAATCGACGAACACATGACGGATCGTGGTTTTAATAATCAAATTGGTGTACATCCCGAGACGGGTTTTGTTTTTGGTGGTAATGATGCCAATTGTGGGACTTGGATGGACAAAATGGGATCCTCCGATAAGGCAGGAAATAAAGGAAAACCGGCAACACCAAGAGATGGTTCGGCAATTGAAATCGTCGGGCTCAGCAAGAGTGCTCTTAGCTTTCTGGCTGAACTTTACAAGCAAAATCTGTTTCCTTATGGAAGTGTTCAAAGAAAAAATCGCGATGGTATGACCGTTCCCTGAGTCTTTCTTGAGTAGTCAGGTGTCAAGTGAATTATTTTCACTGCTCTTTTCATATTATATATTTCAACTGTCGAACATTTTTAGGGACCGTGATTACTTGGAGTTATAAACAATGGGCGGATAAAATTACTGAAAACTTTGAGAAGTACTTTTACGTCAACGTGGAGCCAACCGAAGGGGAACTTAAACCTGACTTAATTCATCGACGTGGTATCATCAAAGACAGTCATGGAGCAACTCAAGCATGGGCTGATTATCAACTACGTCCGAATTTTCCAATCGCAATGGTTGCAGTGAGTGTGGTTTAGTTCTTCTTAGAAAATTTCTAAGCCGGCGCTTCATTCACTAACGACATCGGATTGATGTTCAACAGGCTCCAGAATTGTTTAATCCCAATCATGCATGGACTGCATTAAAGAAAGCAGAGGAAATATTATTAGGACCTCTCGGAATGAAGACATTAGATCCTGCCGATTGGGCGTATAATGGCTACTACGACAATTCCAATGATTCAAGTGATCCCAAAGTCGCACATGGGTGGAATTATCATCAGGGACCTGTGAGTCTGCACTGTCATGATAGTTTTTTTTTTCTTCGTTCATGTAAAGGAAGGGAATGAAAGTATCGATTCGATGTCCACGATACTACCCCGGTAATTTCGTGCCATGGATGTTTCCAATTAACCTGTTTAATTTATTATTTACTTTATATTGTAGGAGTGGGTTTGGCCATTGGGATACTTTCTCAGAGCACGTCTTCACTTTGCTCCGATAGTCGGTGGCAAGGCCGAATTGCGTCGAACGATCGAATCTACGGAGATCATTATTTCTCGACATTTAATCGAAGCATCGACAAGCCATTGGCGAGGTCTACCCGAGCTCACCAACAAAGACGGTGAATTCTGTCGTGATAGCTGCCGTACCCAAGCTTGGAGTGCTTCAGCAATTTTGGAGGTAACTATAAATTCCATTTGCAAAAATATAAACAAAATCACCAAGCTACCTTTAAATAATTATAGATGATAATTGAATGGTACGTCGTTAGTTATGTCATGCTCCATCGCAGGTCCTTCATGAGCTGAATATACTGAAACGGGAATTACAGTTTGAAGAGCAAGAAATATCAAACTGATACGACTTCGCGTGTGTTCACCACCGCTATCTACACTTAGAATATATGCGACTAGAGGAGAAACATAGTACTAAAAGTAGATCAAGTCGAGAGAATTTATGTATCGACATGGAGGCACCAGCTGTACAATGCACGGAGACACACGCATACATTATTCCGCACTTAGGTTTGAACAACATTGAATCACGCGAGGCTTTGGATACAAACGCAATTAAAGGCGGCAGTTTTGAGCCAAGGATATCGAACGAAAGTATTAAAGGCCGAGCGAGTGCACAATTAGTTACTCAGCAGAAAATCCATCCAAATTTGCTTACCGATCCAGAGTCAATTGAGATTTTACCCGAATCGATAGAAATTTGTGCTCAGCCTACTTCTGAAATTATTCACAAAGCAGCACAGTTTATTTATGGCTGCGATCTGGGCACAGATTCGGAGAGACCGTTAAGAAAATCTACAGTCGAGGGAGACGACGAACGTGAAACGATCACAGTGACCATCGATGAGCAGACCGATAAGGATGCTGCTTATACTAATTCTCGTCTGTCGAATCGACTGCAAAATGGAATTAGTAAACCACGCACAATGGATCATATCTACGAGGACATCGAGATGCTGAAGAAGTCTCGAGATCCGTATAAATACGATATTTTAGATTATTACGAGAGATATAGTCCAAGGACTGCGAAGACACTAATTCGTACTCTCTTCCTTCCGAGGCATAGAATTTGCAAGCAATGCGCCACGTTGAAAGATAGCCCAGTATATACCGATCGTCTGGTCTATTTGAAGAAGCTCCTTTTTGCAAAAGAAGTCACCCTGCTGCAACTTGAAGACTGCCTATATTTCAAGTTTAATCTGTCTGCAGTTAGCGATGATCTTTTAGAATTGGCAAGAAATGCCGATAGCGAAGATTATATGCCGGTTTGTAGTTTAGCGAAGACGAATTCGTCGGGAATACTATATTCACATGGTACACCGCAAGATATCTTCGACTTGAAATCTACTCTAGAGCCAAACATTGTCCTTAAGAATAATGTTTCTTGTGGGGTAGAAAATACTCAATTGTATCATCGCATGGCGAGTAATTATTACTGTCGCATTTCTGAAGCTGGATGCGCACCTATGATCTTTCAAGCCCAGGAAAATATTATTTCGTTATCTATGATTAAGGGGGTGGGATATGAAACGGATTTGCAGAATTGGATGAATTATCGTAACAACATGATTAAGCTCCGCGATTCTATTCAAGACGAATTGCCTCTGTCAATTGTAGACTCTCATCCGAATAGGGCAAGTCTTTTGTTACTGGAACCATTGTTGTTGATGCCTGAATTAACTGACACTAGAGGAAATCATGTCAAAAATCGTATAAGTCGGTCGGAGCACGTAAAGATAGTGAGAATGATGATTGCCTATACGTTAGCATTTTTCTCTATGGCTATTCTAACGTTTTACATTGTTTATTTCACTTAGCCCTTTCGGTTCTGGTCTGAATAATAATCAAACTTGAAATTAACTCAAGCCAAATAAATTACTTTTATGACTGTTATACATCGATATAAGACGGATTACGTGTTTTGAGAATTGTGATTGTGAAAGCGTCAAATGTGCGTATAATCGTTATTTATTGGAGTAGTTTTGTGGGAATTCAAAAATAAGTGCAATGTTTCAATTTTATATCCTTATGGTGGCACTTTCAATCATGTGTTTATTGTTTGCCACTTGCAACGGTTATCGGGGGATTCTTAGAACGCCACTATTTTACTTAATAATGTATGGTACAGGTAAAATACCTAGTAAATTTATGTATCTCAAAATGGACATGGAAATACGGATTTCTAAAAGACGTGTACAAAATTAACTTGAAAGTGCGCATTCAAAATGAATTGTTTAAGGACTTATCAAGTACTATATTATTGCTTTAAATATTATTTTAAATGCCACTTTGAAAAGTAACCACATTTATAGGAAACTGCACCCATAAGTAGTACTCATATATCATACTATACTTTTAAGAAAGTTCCTATTAGGCAGGTATTTTTGTCATGAAAATTAAACAGTAATAAAGACTGAAATGTATCAAACTCACTTTGACACAACATAACAGAAAGTTTACCGTTGGAAATTATCGCTTGCATCAGACATGAACTAAAGTAGTCCCAATCAGAAGCAGAATAATAAAATTACTTTATGATACATACTTTTTAGTATTTTTTTTCTAATAAATATGTCAATTGCGATAATTCTCTATATGGCTATGTGAAAGTAGTGTAAGAAAAACAAATACTTGTTAAATTGTTGCGATGCGATTTAAATTTATTTTTAATAACAAATCATTAACAGTTCACATGGATGGTCGGCAATTGTTCAGCGATGAAATACAGTGATAATGTACTATAAATATTTAAGCAAGGCTGTCTGGATTATGTATTGAAATCGTTACATCGAACTTCCTAAAGGAGATTATATTTCTACATATTTTTTGTACATGGTATTAGTTGATATCCACCATCGACGTTACGGTTACGGATTAAAAGTTACGAATGGAAAAATGATGTTATGAATCGTGTATCCCTATTTAATTTTACCGTTGTTATTGTTGCGTATGATTTGTTATTATTTATAAATTAGATTTATCTTAAACATATATTTGACGATCTTTCTTTTTTACCAAAGTTTACCTAAATAATACTTCTCCGTTATATAAATATGCTCGCTTTAAATTCTAAAGCAACTAGCATTAGAAGGGAATTTTAAATCTCATTTGGAGTAAGTTTTTATAAGACATACCTGTTTAGCCTGTATGCACTACTTTATTTCTATCAAAAGGCATTGTGCAATATTTAATAATATAACTACTCAATTAAATATTGCTGAATTAAAGTTAGTGTTAATTCCATGTGCACCGTTGACAATATTTCCTTCAAGATAAACTTTATAAAACTTAAAGAAAAATATATACACGCATATGGAACTATTAGCAGCATATCCGATACTTCATAAATTGTTTTAACAACGCGATTGAGTTCACTGACTAACATCGTACATTAGCACCGATCCAAATTTGGATACGGCACAGAGCAGATTTTAGTGTAACTAATATTTTAGTTCGACAATGTCATTTAACTATCTACACACAGCTTGTCACCGTTTCTGTCTCTTAGAAGAAGTGGTGTAACGAATAAAGGTTATGTGCAACATGAAATTTCCAATACAGTCAAGTTGCCTGCTTCGAGAGATGGTATAACAGTGCCTCTTTTATGTATATCGTTATACAAATGTAGAAATGTTTGACTCGTTAATTTATAACGAGCGATAATTGTTGTTCTTTTCACTTTATTCTCCGCAAGATACTAGGCCATAATGAACGTGAGTTTGGTAAGTCACAATTATCAATCAAGTAGTCGAGCCACGATGATTAAAATAATTTGTTTAGTTCCTTTAGCACGATGTATCTTCCAGATTTACGTTATTATAATAATTTATGGCATTCAGATTTGATTTTTCTATATGTCGTCGAACAAGCCTCTTAAAGGTGGCCCAACACGATTAGTATTTGTTGAAAATGACCTTGAATTTTCAGCACTCAAGTCATACATATCGTCAGCTTGATATCCACGTTCAAAACGAGTGTTCTCACGATAACTTTCGGTTCCAACTGATGGACCAACGTAATAATCCGTTGGTTCGAAATCACGCAAAAGGCCAGCTCTCGCAGATTCTGTTGAATCGTCTCTCTTCAATGGTCGCACTAATAAACAAACCTTATTAATAACATTTCCTCGAATAGCTTAGAAATTTTAAACTCAATTAAAATGTTTATTAAAAAGAGAAGATTTTACGAAATCAAGAAGATAAAATAATGTAGTTTTACCAGTGTCTGTGCTTTGTCTGGTTGTTCTGTAACGTGACGCAGTTCCGGTGTTATTAGTAAATCTCTCTTGAAATTCACGACGTCTGCTCATAGAGTCTTCTGCTCTTTGACGTTTCCGTCTCTCTAAAGATATTGCATACAAGTGTTCTAAATATATCTACCGTTGTTACAAAATATAAAATAAATATGACGCACAAGAAAAAACCTAACCTCGTTTAATAAGTTCTCTTCCTTCTTCGACAAAGTCAGTTGTTAAGTCGTCATCTCCAAGGAATTGTTGGAACCCTAACATTGAGAGCAATCTACTTCCCAAACTAAAGTATGTTGCTAAACAAAATGCTAAGATTGCCATGGGGAAATATATGTTAAAACCATCTGATATTATTGATATTACATCCATATGACCCATTACCTGCACAAAGAATGCAATTATGTACAATCGATAGGACACAATAAATTGCATTGTGGTACGGGTTTAATACTTACTTGTGTATAATGCGTTTCCAGAATATGTGTCTTTATAATGTGAGAATCCATGTGAATAAGTCCTAAGAAGTTAAGACACAAGGGTGGTGTCAAGCGACACATCATCATTCCACTAAATATCAAACTGTATTCGTTTGTTTGATGATGCGGTGCTAAGTAATATAGATTCAACACTCGGATTTTCAGAATGGTTGAATAAGCACAGTAACATAAGTAAGCAATTATCACTGTTGACAGCAGCTAGAATAATAAGATGTGAATGATTAATAGACAAACTACACCGATACGTAATTTCATATTTTCTACATTCTTACCTCAATTGTAAAATAATCATACTTTGTCTTAGCTGCATTCACAAATTGAGCAAACAGCGATAAGACTGGTGATTTGTTAAAGAATGTTATTTCTGACCAAACTACAGCTACCGACAGTACAGCAGCACTTAGTGCTGCTAACTTTTGAAAGTAACTTTTAAATACACATTTCCAATACCATTCTGAAAAACAACGGATAGTTTATAAATTATCTTTTTCTTTGGGAAAAAGTGAGGAAAGAATCTGTAACATCGAAATTGAATTGCAATGGAGGATCTTACCAACGGTAGGATTGTGAATTAAATTTATTGGGAATGATCTTATTGTGGGAAATGTAGGCTTAAATCGTCTATCGTGACTAGCTTGATTCTTTGCAATGTCCTCCAAAGAAAAGATTTTGTCTACCATGAGGCCCCACTGGGTTTCTGTTCGTTGCAAGGTTTGTAATGCTTTTATAGTCTGCACAAAATCATTATGAAATAATATTATTCCAACATTTAGTTATTTCTTAAATTAACTAGTAACATCTGTTTACAAACCTGCCGATGTAAACGAATTAACGATTTTTCAGATGGCGCATCACTTTGTGCTTCTTCCGACACTTGTCTTCTATTCATTCTCTCTCGAAGTTCAGCGGGTACCTTTTGAAAAATCGTTTCCAAATTTCTATGAAATGGATGCCCTGGACTGATAGCGAGAGAAGCAGCTTGTAAAGACTGTAATGTATCAACATGTACATATTTAGTTTACTGATTAGTATTCAAATTATTTTTAGTGATTCTATTGATTACATAAAATGATTACCTCTAAAATATCGTCTACCGTCTCCTCGGCATCACTTTTTTCTAAACTCAATTTAGCAGCCTTAAAATAACTGTAGTGCAAAGTGTAACCAGGTTTACTGGCATTCCACAATCCTCGAGGTACTTCTACAAGAGCATAACCAAACAACAACACCAAGAGAAATAAACCCCATGTGTTTGACGCAGATGATGCTATAGCTTTCAGCTTTTGACTGTAAAAATAGGCTCCTTATAGTATTTTGAGTACAACTCGGATTACTTCCTCTAATATAAATTATCAATTTAAATCTTACCCATCCAGATCCATACCAGGTTTCAGCGCAATATATATTAATAAAATTCCACAAATAAATAAATAACTCCCGTAATAAATAGCATTATCTATTAAAGCAGATTTCAATTTTCCTCTCACAGTGAAATCACCAGCTTTTATATATGATTGCATAAGTGGGAGAATAAGCCAAGTTAGACATTGCGATGTCCAATAAACTACCCTCCACAAATTTGGAAAAACGTTTTCAGGAACGTATGACCATGGTTCTCGACATGTGGGAAATGGTCCAACTGTTACATTCTCAGCTATACCTTCTACACTTTCATTGTGGTAGTTTTGTTCGATACACTGCCTAAATACAGTCTGAAAAACACTTTGATCAGTAAAGGATTTAATTACGAGAAAGACTTTCTTAAGTTATTAATAAATCAATTATTACCGAGGATACATCTAATGGCAGCACAAATATGGTTAATAATGAGAAATACCAGGCAATCAATACTGCAATTGTAACTATGATATGGTGTCGAAAAACATTTCCATATTTATACAACAAAAATGCTGCCAGACAAAATTCAAATATAACTTCTACTAGCAGTGGTCGTACAGACATTTTGTTACTTTTTCATCCTTGGTTGAACAAATGAATGTAAACGTTTAAGTGATTAGGACTGTTTACTAGAATTAGTATTATCATCCAATTCTCTAGCTTCTTTCAGTTTGAGTTCGGCATCTTTTTGCATTTTTTCAAGTTTCTGTAACGTCATAGATTTCAGTGGCATCAGTTTTGGTTTGCAAAGTACGTAATCTACAACTTCCTGGTTATAGACTAAAGTATTTAAGTCATCTGGAAGAACAAAGCCAACTTCTTCTTCTGTTTTCTCTGTAGTTTCAGACATATTCTTCTGACTCTATTAACCCAATTGGCTCAATAATCTGAAAACATACATTGTGTATATAGAAAAAAATGCAGTTCAATTACTTATTTTGTAAAAGACATTACTATTTGCACACACCTACGTTCGTTCCATAAGCTCATAATTTCTTAAGCACTTTACACAGCTCTATCCTCTGCTCTACACTTTAATATTCTAAACACCGGTAACACTTTGTCGATTAATGTTCACTGACAAGATTTTTCTTTTGCATTTTTGACGTGACCTAAATTACATGGCTGTACAAAATCGAACATTGCCCAGTATCAAAACAATCCTACAGTAGATGACACATAAGTGTATCCATTAAACTGTATGCTGATCAAACCTTGACCACCCTTAAAACATGTCTTGATCACCTTATAAATTTAGATAATTAGCTCCAAGAATACAACCACACAGTAACACTTAGCTTCACTTACAGCATTAATCTACGCAACATGAATTTCTTACGAACATGTCGAGCGATAAGAGAAATCGCCATCACAATGAGAAACAGCAGAAATCAACAGAATTGTCATTACTGACGTATGCAAGAAGGTAAGGGGTTTGTTCGTGTTGCACGGAACGGTTACTCCAGTCTAAAAATGCACATTCCTTAGGGTATCAGTTCCATGAGCGACAGTATGGACAGAGATGAGTTGGGAGATTGCTCTCGGGCAGGGTCGCGCGATCGCATCGGGTGATAGGAGCTCGCGCACTCGCGATGGCGGTACCATCTACCAGTCGCCATTGACGGCTCACGTGATGCTAATACCATGCGGCAGTTAACGATGGTGGCTTACCTACGCTTACCGACACTACTCGCTTTTGATGGTAAGGGAAGAACACTCGTGACGCTCCATATGACTTTATCTACTTATCTACTACTATTAAATACATTGTTGCCTCGAAGTCGGCGTGATGCGGCGAGACGTCATTATTTGAACAGTTTAAATTTTCATTCTCGGAGCACCGTCTACCGTTGATACTTTAAACCATATTGAAGCAGTAGTATCGTGCGCTTGGCGAGTCCTCTCTCGGAGTGCCCCGATATTAGTTCCATTTATCACCACTGACGCACGCATTTCGCGTTTTGCGAATCGCTGTTCTGTGAGAGAAAGGTTTCCTTTTTATCACATTTTAATTTGATCTTGCGTGGGGCTTCATGTCTTCTACCGTCCAGGACAGTGCCTGCACCTGCCAACCTGTCAAAAGGCACCAAAATGGCCGTGCCGACGGAAAGAAGTATAATTTTGTAACAATTCCTTATTTAATATAAACGGTCAGTCGGTCGAAACGCGAGATCGCACCCAAAGGGAAATTGACACTTTAATCCAGAAACGGACGGTTACTAAGTTCTTCAAACTCAAGATTCTACGATGGCCCTTCGTAAGGTGAAGGGCAACTTCGAAAGAATGTTTGACAAGAACCTCACTGACCTCGTACGAGGAATTAGGAATAATAAAGAAAATGAGGTAAATAGTCCGCAAGTTTCCTGTGCCCTCCTTTGTCCAGGCACTACTTTTCTGACGAACCTACTTCTTGTCATATACGCGGCAGTTAATATTAAACTGGCAGATAACTGTTTTATCCATATCTCACTTTTGCATTGAACTGTTTTGCTCTCTTTGTAAGCTGAGTATGCTCATTGACGATGGGAATGAATATCGACTAACTGGGTACCGATTACGATGTATAAATATAACGATAATGGGATTTGTGTTTTCGACCGTGTAAGATATTTTGTGACATGTATTTACCGTTGATTCTATTCACATAGTTGTAACTATTATTAGGATTGTGTAATTTCATGTAGTAATCGCTTATTTCTTTTAGGCGAAATACATTGCTCAGTGTATGGAGGAGATCAAGCAGGAGTTACGCCAAGACAATATCGCGGTCAAGGCAAATGCCGTTGCTAAACTTACCTATGTAAGTACACGTGTATGCAAGTAATTCGGATACTTTTTAAATGTGTACTTTTCTATATTTTAGCTCCAAATGTTGGGATATGACATCAGTTGGGCAGGGTTCAATATCATTGAAGTTATGTCATCTGCAAAATTCACTTATAAGCGAATTGGATATCTTGCAGCTAGCCAGAGCTTTCATTCCAACACCGAAGTATGTTTTAACATTTTCAATGAAATGATAAAGGACTTAATATAATGTATATCAATGGAGGTATGTTCCTTTTCTGTGCGTTTCATTTAACGATTCATGTTTTTCAGCTGCTGATGTTAACAACCAATATGATTCGCAAAGACTTGAACAGTCAAAATCAGTACGATGCAGGATTGGCATTAAGTGGCCTCTCCTGTTTCATAAGTTCCGATTTAGCACGAGATCTAGTCAACGATATAATGACTCTCTTAACATCGACAAAACCATATCTACGTAAAAAGGCAGTATTGATGATGTACAAAGTGTTCCTGCGTTTTCCGGAGGCACTGAGACCTGCTTTCCCAAGATTGAAAGAGAAGCTCGAAGATCCAGATAGTGGTGTACAATCGGCTGCAGTCAATGTAGTGTGCGAGCTGGCCAGAAAAAATCCAAAGAACTATCTGAGCTTAGCTCCCGTCTTCTTCAAACTCATGACAACTTCGACGAATAATTGGATGCTCATTAAGATCATCAAACTGGTGAGTAAATCTTAGCTATTACTTTTTGCACCTTTTTTTCTTCGTTTAGATAAAAACCGTTTACCAACTGATATGATTCAGAATATATAAATTGGTGTTATCCAGTAGTACAAGTGATTCTATTCTTTCACACTCTCTCAGTTCTCGACCATAACGCTGATCGAACCAAAAATGGGTCGACGACTTACTCAACCACTCATTGATTTGATATCAAGGTTTTAAATTGTTTATTAATGCTAGCTTTTGGAGTAGTATTCCTTGATAAAGCACACATCGCTAGTCTTCCTAGTGTGGTTAATTAAATGTAATGCAATATCCAACGAACAAGATGCAAAAATGATGATAAAACATTAATAATTTACAAGTATTTGTAGATTTTAAATTCCCTGAAAAAAAATAGATTGATTTACTTTTTTTAACGCCTCATCCGTTAAGCATACAATGTTTTACCGTAAAAGGTTACTGTAAAACATACCACCTTATGTAAAGATCCATTATGTATTAGATGTTTTGTATCGGTGTTAGAAAACGGTATTTACAGTGTGTCGTTACTTTCTTAGACTGCAGCAATACATTATATTTCCAGTTTGGTGCGTTAACACCCCTAGAACCTAGGCTTGGCAAAAAGCTAATAGAACCCCTTACCAATTTGATACACAGGTATTTAATATTACTTCTTATGTAAACCATAAATGCTTGGAATTATTTTAAATATTAGTACCACTCTTATTGTATAAAATATGTACATTTATTATCTCATTCGCTTACGCTTGCATTCGTGAGCAAGGAAACGCTGAAAGTAAGAAACGTAAAATATTTTCCAGCACATCGGCGATGTCTCTGCTTTACGAGTGCATCAATACTGTGATAGCTGTACTAATTTCGATATCTTCGGGAATGCCAAATCATTCAGATTCGATCCATCTATGTGTTCAAAAACTGAGGATATTGATAGAAGACTCCGATCAAAATCTGAAATACTTGGGGCTGTTGGCCATGTCCAAGATCCTAAAAACTCATCCGAAGAGTGTGCAAGCTCACAAGGATCTCATTATGCAGTGTTTGGATGACAAAGACGAGAGTATAAGACTGCGTGCTTTAGATCTACTGTACGGTATGGTGTCGAAGAAAAATTTGATGGAAATTGTGAGGAAATTAATGGTACACATGGACAAAGCCGAGGGCACTACGTACCGAGATGAATTACTCTCCAAGATCATTCAAATCTGCTCACAGAACAATTATCAGTTTATAACATATTTTGAGTGGTAAATTAATCACATAGTTAATCCTTTAATATTCCGTACATTCGTTGACATGCAAGAATGACATTTTTTTTATAGGTATATATCTGTACTGGTTGAACTTACAAAAATGGAAGGAACAAAGCATGGACAACTGGTAGCTACTCAGTTATTGGATGTCACGATTCGTGTACAAGCTATCAGAAAATTTGCAGTTGAACAATGTGCTTTACTATTAGAGAATGTTCATCTCTTAACGGGTCAACCAAGAGCTACGATGTCTGAAGTGCTGTACGCTGCTGCCTGGATTTGTGGAGAGTTTTCAAGGTAAATGTTACCGTCTTGCAGGAGAAAATGGAATAAGGCGTTTTAAACATGTAGAAACAAGAGTGTTGAATTACTTAAAAAAAATACTGAACTTTTAGCGAACTCGAAAATCCATTAACTGTGCTGCGGTCGATGGTTCAGTCACAGGCTGCCAGTTTGCCAGGACATATTCAAGCGATCTACGTTCATAATATACTGAAATTAGCTGCTATGACTTACAGTAAAGCAGAAGAAAATGGTGATACGGAAACTATAGAACAAGTATGTATATTTATATGCAAAATGTGATTAAAGTACTCGTAGCGAACTATATTATACATCATTTTATTTTACAGATTTATTCCTTCAAAGATAACATAGCAGCTTTTGTATGCAGCGGTGATTTAGAAGTTCAAGAGAGATCTAGTTCTGCGCTAGTTCTGTTGGAGTGCATAAAGGAAAACCCTGGTCTTGCAAAGGACTTGGCTGAAACATTCGTAGGTGAACTGAATCCCGTGGCACCGAAAGCTCAACGAAAGGTTAGCACGCACTATTATCTATCTACTGTCACATATTGTTGACTATTTATAAAGTGTAGCGATGTAAAAAGTGTATAAAATTGGTAAATATTCCATCGGCATCCTTTGGGACAATTTACAGGTACAAATGCCAGAAGGTTTGGATCTGGACGCCTGGATCAACGATCCACCATTAGAAAGTTCAGACTCGGAAGACTTAGATATGAATGATATTTTTGTAAAGACAGAAAGGTCGAGTGAATACAGTAAACGCAACTCAGTGGAGCCTACAACGGAAGAGCTTCAAAAGATGCGAGAGGCAAGAAAGCTGGAACAAGAAAGTAATCCGCATTACTTGAAAGGGTGCAGTGTTACACATAAGAGTTCTACCCCTTACCTTAATGCAACCAATAACAATGAAGAAGACTTTGAGAACATTCCCGTTTCTAAACTAAATATACCAGTTTCCTTGAAAGTAACAGGTTTCACAAATTCCAGCAAGTATATTAATCTGAACGAGAATTCAGAATTCAGCCATAAAAAGCAGAAGAAGCACGGGAAGAAGAAGAAATCAAAGAAAAGTGAGTATTTTTGTTGGCTCACACTGACATTGAGAGTATTTTGAGGTTATATTTACCTTTAGCGATTATTCAGGCATATAAATGATTCGAAACATTGTTATACTTCCAGATAAAAAGTCAAGCAGCTCCGAAGACGAACAAAACGATGACCATCCCGTACAAATAGTAAATACAGGCATAGGAGAGCTACCGCCAGGAGCAAAGTTAAGCGATGGCGATGACCATGACCTTACGGATGCCAATGATCCACATCGAGCTTTAGACATCGATCTGGACATGCCATTAAGAGAAGATGAACGGCTGCCCGTTCTGGAACATAGAGTCGTCGACAATCGTCTGTCTGATAAAGTGCCTGAACAACACGTTAAGAAAGAAAAGGTATAAAATGTGTCAAAGACAATTATATTATCGCTAGACTTTAATCACCAGTGACTTGTATATGCTACTTACTGTACTTTCATTTTAAACAGATATATAGAAAAATAAAGAAGAAAAGTAAAACAAAGGACAGTCAGGAGAACGGTGAGAATCAGAAGGCAGAAGACGCGAACAGCGTCGATCTGTGGTTAGGGAGTGACACCTCACCTGAAAAGACTCGACCACTAGGTGCAGGTGATTACAGTGAGGTAATTAGCGAAGTGGACGTTAAGAAGCCGAAAAAGGATGAAAACAAACGATCAAAAACAAGGGAAAAACAGAAAAAGGAGGTCGACGATACCACAAAGCATCGAAAGAGGGCCAAGAAGTCGAAGGAAAAGAAAGACAAGAAATCTACAGGCTACGAGGAGACAGCTGGGATTTCTACTCCATCCAAGGAAATCATACCGAGTTTAAACAATGAAGCTAATGAAAACGAAAATACTCCTGCCGTTTCTTGCCCTATCCAATCCATGTCTACATTCGAGGAGCTGGCAAAAGATAAAACCATAAAAGTCCTTTACGAATTAAAACAACTGCCACATGAGACGGACAGAGTAGTTTTATCTATTTTAGTGACCAATGTCGGACAAACCTTGGTAAAGGAAATGGACTTTAACGTGTCTGACAGTACCACTTTAAGACTAATTAGAAACGTAAGATGAATTTATTTTCATGGAATTATCTAGGTGACTAAAACAGCTCTAATGCTTGTATTTCTTTTGTACTTTTCTAGCCGGGAGATGAGTTCGGCGTGAAATTGCGCTTCCAATTAGCTCCGCAAACAAATGGCGAGGCCCAATTCGCAATTTTCGTGTCGGACGTCACTTTTGCCCAGAAGCTGAAGGGAACTTTAACCTATATGGTGGAGAGTCCAGCAGGAATGGTGCAAGAAAAATTAGACTTTACAATGCAGCTGCCATGCAGTAGCTTTATGATTGGTTCTCTCTCTCATAGAGATATTCTAACCGAATTGCTTCGAAGTGGACAGCTTGTGTCGAAAATTAAGCGAGAGGCACTCCCGTCACAAGATTTCAGTAAAGTACTGAGCACTATTTGTTTAAAGTGTCATTTAACACTTGTCGAACAAATCGATGATACTGCATCCCTATACGGACACTCATTGAAGGGCCATCATGTGTGCCTTCTGTTGAAACTGAATGTAAGTTAATTACTAATTGAATATGCCATGAAAATTTTAGATCACAGTCATGGGTGATCTCCGTTTTTCGTATAACTTTCATATATTGTGGAGGACGTCGTCTTGAATATTTTCATATATATATATTTAAGGATCGGAGTTACAATGAAGAAAAAAAACAAAAGATGCTTCATATTTGGATACTTTCGGTTTCTTTTCTAATTCCATCGCTTTGTTTACATTCAGACCTCACGTTCTTACTTATATTTTGGCATATTTATTCGCCCCTCAGACTCCCTATAAAATATAACCTAACCTAAACTATTACTGAAATTGAATGGGGTAGGTTATAGTTTAAGGGGGAAACACGCTCCGCCATGCTGTATTACTGCTATTCTTCAATTATTTAATAACTCCAAAAATATTCAAATCCGAACCTTAAATATATCTATGAAAATACTTGGGACAATGTCTTCTACAATATATCAAAGTCATACGATAATTGGAGAGGATCACCCTTTTATGCATATAATTATCTTTATTTTGTTTTACCGGTTTTTAATGAATGTTTCCCAACTGTTGCAGAAGGTAACGGGAACTTTAACAGTCGAGGGGAAAGGAGACAATAATTCGCTGCTGATGGAGATCGTGGATGAGATTTTAAGGATCCTCGCGTAATATTTCTTTAAGGAGAGGAGAGAAACTGTATTTTTCAACTGAAGAATTTCTAATATCGGTTTCCTAACAATTAACGCACTTTAATAAGGTGGAAAAACTTGGGTTTACGTTTAATACTCCCGGCTGTAAATGAAGTGGCAAAGAGACGAACAACTTGGCTGTTCGATAATCTAAAGACTATTTTCAGAAGAACGTTTGAAGGTTCGAGAGTCGTGGGATTAAATAGAGTGAGTGATTTTCTCGGAAAATAGACTTTAGGTCTTTTTGCTGGCGTCTTTTGCATATACATATATACATAAGAATGAGTTAGAGGTTAGATATATACAAGCATATATATATAGCGTTGTCCAGAAGTATTAGATCCAGTACGATAACAAGTATTGTTCAGTAATTATATTAACGTCCATCGCGATTAAACCGAATAGATATTTAATACTTCTGACCAAGGCCATATATAAAGGTACGAAAAAATTATATAGACCATCCGATAAGCTGCGATGTTCATATAATTTTAGCGTTGGAAGATTCCTTAAATCTATTTGTTGGTTGCCCTTCCTTACAGTCTGCCACATGTGTAAATATCAAAGAATTATTCTAGGTATGTCAATATGAAAATATAGATTTGAAAAGAAATGATCGCACCGCCATATCTCAAAGCTGTTCCGTACTTCTTTCGAGAACGTATGTATATCTTTTAGGCATGTGTGCGGAATATGTGGATATACATACCTATAACAAAAGAATTACTATCTATTAGTTACTGTATCAACAATGGGATACACGTAAGGCACCAAGGATATATAAGTTTGAAGCTATAATTATGATTATAATATATAGTAAATAAAATGAGAGATATATATGTATATACATATATGTGAAAATTAACCGAGTATTAACCGTGTAATTAAATCTTATTATATATTAAGATTCTAATAATACCAGAGGCAAAAGATATGAAATTGAACTGCCTGATATAAAATATAGGTTTTATCACAACACAGCAGTGTTGTGCGGTTATGCGACTAATACTAAAGTTACTAATGGATGCTAAATAATTATTCGATTGGTTTTTTTAAATTTACATTAAAGCATTCGAGCCATAAACCATTAAGCTCGACGTTCACATCTCAAATGGCACGTCAGTTTGCATTTGCTTGCATCCATGTTGCAATAAAATAAATATTTCAACGAATAAACCATGTTTTTTTTCCGAATTTAGCCCGTTAGTAATTTGCACGTAAACACGCCCTGACAAAAGCACAAACACATGTCTTTTATATCCGACAGTACGTTAGTTTAAGGTGATGGGAAAGTGGCGTCAAAGAGTTTCTAGTTCACGAAACTTTTCTCCAAACTGGGTGTACCGAATCGGTTCAAACCTTATAATATAAGTATGTAGGTTACCCGAAAGGTCCTGAAACTCATAAAATTTCATTATAGATATCGAGGAAAAATTTCTTTCATGGTATGAAATTTCACGAGTGTCAAGACCTTCCTTATAGCCAGCATATTAATGTTGTAAAGTTTGAAATGATTAGGTACACCCAGTTTGGAAGTGACTATCAGGATTGACTCCTCGGATGCCACTCTCACGTCCCCTTAATGTTAAGAGACGCTCCACGTTGCCTTGAGATAGAAATGAATCGGAAAATCAGTCCCAATGTTCGTCTGGCCCATGTCGCAAAGAGAACGTCAATGATTTCAGGCGTTTATTTCAAAAGTTCTTCCAATATAACAACTGTAGTCTCGGCATTGTCAAACTATATATCTTTATCCGTTACGACGTGGCACCGGATTAATCTTCCGGACTCTCGGCAGCCCGTCAGACATTGTTCAGCGATTTGTAAGTGTACATTCGACAGTTCCGCGCAAGTGTGCTTATGATATATATATATATATATCCTTTATACAGGGGCGTAGTGGCTCGCTTATCACAATATACATTTTTTTTTCTCCTTATAATTAATTTAGCGTAAAATATCCGACGGTCACGAATCGGTCCTTCGTCGGCGCCTCCGACCTTTCGAATCGTGCGAAGCACTCACTCTCTGTAACCTGCCAAGTCAAAATGTGACGTTACAAATTGTGAGAAGAAGACACTCTCTGTAATCTGCCAAGACAATGGCGACATCACAAATTGATATTGTAACGCAAGGTGTCGTTAAAATCCCGGATACATAACCAGAGGCATGCAGGCTTGCCTCGAACTCACGTGTACGTTCTTCACCCACAGTGTCACCCTTTAAGGATGTACTTCAACGAACGCCTGTATTTATGCATTTGCCGCGAAACCCTGCCGAGTTTCTCAAGGCGTTACGAAAGTATCATATGGGTACATCTAAAAGTGAAAATATTTATTAAGTCTCTCTTCGGAGTGCACCGAATAATTTGAAACTTTGACGCGTGATCGCGGAGGCCCTAATGAAGGTCTTGAAAGTCAGGAAATTTCACGTTTCGAAGAAAAATAAAAAATACACGTCTTTTTTTAATTCTGGTCCGGGATAAACTATATTCGTTTTTCCATTTCGAAAAATATCTCGCGAGTTTCGAGATCTTCATCCGGATCTCCATGATCAGGCGTTAAGGTTTCAAATGATGTATTGCATCCAGTTTTTGAGAAAAATGTTGTAAATCTTTTGATATTTCGATGTACATACACGACACTTTCGTAACGCCTTAACGCGTTATCAAGGCGTTCCCTAGACGTTGTATCCTCGAATTTTATTGTGCACGTCCTGAACGTGAGAATAAATCTGACGAGTCTTTTGCTCAAATGTATTTGGCTCGAAACTCTACCAACTTTCTTCATCTCTGCTTATCGCGTTTCCCTCGAGAAGAGAAACGAGTTTGTTAATTATCTTTCTTCAGCAGGACAGCAGGAGTGCCTCGCATGAATCAAGGATCGAGGCCCGAAATTCTGGTCGATCTGGAGAAGAAAAAAAAAAAATAATGAAATAAAATAAAAAATGAAAAGAAAATGGAAATAGAAGAGTGCCCGAAGGCCGTACACGCGAAATCGGCCTGACGGAAACCCAACGTGACTCAAAGATTTGTCCTCTCGTGCGCATGCTCCGCCTACGTCTTGGTACGGTAGCCAAGGTTTATGCTACAATATTTACAGATGAGAAAAGTACAGGGTATTACTTTCGTATTCTAGGTTCGACCGTAAACGTACGCGAGACGTCCTGGCCCCGAGAGAATCCCCCTGTGGTCGCGTATTACAAGAAATCGCGCAAGACCGACACCGGTCTCTGGTTCTGGAACATAACCTTAAAGCGCCGACGCGCGGGGCTCGTCCTCCCGGCCTCGCGCGTCGGTGTTTTATTTTATAACGAGTTATCCACGCGATAACCTAAGAATTATACTGGAATGAATATAATAAATAACATTCAAAAGTTGGGTAGAACAGTTCGCAAGGCCTCTCAATAAAACAGGTGGAATGCGGTGCACGTTGCCGCTTAACGAGAGCAGAATTCTATTCCTAACCTCAGGAGACGAGCGCGGGCCAACGTTGAGCGTTCTCGATTGATACCCGGAAAACGTCAAGTTCCACTCTCTCCTTCCGAAGATACATCATCGATTAAGGCCCGATGCCAGTTCCACGCATCGCTTACGACGCAAGAGTAGAAAGACTTCATTATAATTTGGCGTCGATCGTTAATTCCGTTCATGTACATTACGCTTAATTTATTCCGCAGGACTCGAGTGGAACTCCGGTGATGGAGGCACCAAGTGGAACGCGACTCGTTGGCTTTCTCCGTCACTTTCCCACACACACCTTTACTCGTGGAAGAATCTAGCAGGCTACCTGTCTAAATTATTCGGAGCTTATGCGAGCGTCAGCCGATAATAATAAGTTACGACGGAGTACAATAAAGAATAAATACAGTGATTCGCAGTCGATTAACGGGGATCGAACGGTCGGATAATGAACGGGGCTCTTATTCTCGAGTTCGGAGGAATTTTCTTTTTTTTTTTCCCCCTCGCGTACGAGTATAGATTCGCATAAAAAGAGAATTTCGCATTATTGCGAAGTTGTATCCATTGGTCAACATTTCAAAGCCGGGTGCGAAAGTTGATCGTACGAACTTGAGAATAGGGTCCTTGTTCACCGTGATCGATCCCAGGATATTTCATTGACTCGATTCGCGCATTAAAACAAAAAAATAAAAAAAAATCAACGGGGTCCCAATTTAATTAACTCGCGTCTCTGTGTACGTAGACAAATTAATTACGTAGTCTCGACATGTCGGCGCAATCCCGGGTCTCTGTACCGTTCACGATTTGCCGCTCTTTCTCGGTGGAAAAGATCTCTTCTTTGAGCTGCATCTCGTTCGAGAAACATTGTATTCACGATAAACTCTACGTTTAAGGGGACGTGAAAGTGGCATCCGAAAGCTCAATCGTTCATAAGAACTTTTCTACGAACTGGGTGTCTCAAATCGTTTTATACTTTAAAACGTGAATATGGAGACCCTAAGGTAGGTCCTGAAACTCGGGAAATTTCATTTTGTTATAAACTATTTTTAAAATACCTATAAACAAATTTGAAAAGAATTGAAATTTCATGAGTTTCAGGACCTTCCTTATAGTCTTCCCATTCACGTTGTAAAGTTTCAAACTGTTCGGTAAATCGAGTTGGGAGAAAAGTTTTATAAACAAAACCTCTTCGATGTCACTTTCACGTCACCTTAAGAGGAAAAAAGGCGGAGTCATTTCTTAAACGTCGTAAGGCAGTAGTTGTAATACTTTTTTTTTTCTTAATTATGGAGAGGAGAAAAGAAAAAAGTGAGAAGAAAGACGCGAAATCTAGACTATGCGGCCAACGGAAGGCAAAAACGACTTTTCGGAGTTTTCGAGTCCACGGAGGGAAAGAGTAATCCCACCAACTCATAGAAATTTCTCTACACCGTTGCCGGGATATTTCTCTGCCCTTGTACCTCGGAAAACGAGTCGATTTTAAGTTTCGGTATTAATTACGTTCCATTTTCGTCCCGTCCAACAGTCTTGTATAACCTCCCTGTAGAATTCATGATTTAATTAATTATTGGTCCTGGAGATTCCGGTAAATAATTTCCATAGAACTAGTGGTACGTTTGGCAATTACTTTGGATTATCAACACGACGATCGCTATGAAATACCACCGAGACCAAAATTCTGGTACAAAGAGCCTGGCCCACGTTTTTAAGTTATCATGACCGAATGTACTAAAGTTTAGCGCTGAAAAATAAGTAGACCGAGATCATTCCTTTCTTCTTCGTTTAATGACATAAGGTATAGGTAATAGGTCCACGATCAACCGGTAATATCGCCTCTTTAACGCGTGAATGATCAAGTGTGAAGAAAGAAAGAAAGAAAGAAAGGAAAAAAAAAACAAGAAAACAGGGCCCGACCGCCTCGTATCCTCTTCATTCCTCGAGAAAGATCATCAATTTGGTACAGGAAGAACTATTGACTCTGGGCCTAATCGCACGAATAAAATAATCGGGATCCCTCGCTTATCTAAATGGAAACGTCTTTCGCAAGGTCGACCGATAATGTGATCAATGCCGCATAAATGCTGAACCTGTAAAAAGTCGATCCTAAATCCGCACTAATGGTAACTGCGTAACAAAGGTAGTCTCACGCAACGTTAAATTAATCCGGCCGCCGGCGATAAATGGGGAAACAATTCTAACGGGCTAACGGAAGTCCCAAACAGACCCAGATATCCGTTTGAAAGTGCACTTTTGCGCGCAACGTATTTGCAAATCGTTAGTCAGCTTATAAACGCTCGAGTTTTAAGTACCCAGTTGTACGGATTGATTGGATAAAAACTACAAGAAATCGCATCTCCCCTCGAATAAATTATAAACACGAACTCGGTACACGATCTACGTCTTTGTGATTTTCTTAACAATTGATTATCGTGCCGCCTATCGTGCACAGGTAGCCATTGTTGATCGGTAGCCTTATCTCAAAAGATGAGCAAAAAATCGTTCTTGGTCTTGGTCGGTACGAAAAGTGTACCCCGAGGACTAGGACCGATTTTCCTCATCGACGCCGCTTTTTCTGTACTTCATTGGACGAGTAACATCCAAACAGGCATCCAGGTCTGATTCCGTGTCAAATTCGGTGATTTCGCGAGGACCTGCTAACGAGAATTAGCACGAGAAAGCGCGCAATCGCTTGGACGCATGGAACATTCGCAACGCACTCTTATCTATTCAAATTCCGTCGATTTCTAATCGTTCCGCCTCGACGCGCGATCCACCGACCTCGGCTCCGTCTCGAGGAGCTTCAGGGGAAAAAAAAAAGAAATCTACAAACGATTCGGCACGTATCCCCCCAAACGAAAGGAAGAGAAAAACGAACGCCCACCGCATCCCCTGCGGCGCGCCTCCCTTTGGAGAACCGCCGACCCGGGAGGCGGCCTCTCGTAAAAAATTTACACGGTTACTCCGGTCCGACCTTATCCTTACGACAAACTGTACAGTTACTTCTTTACTTTTTGTTTGTTTTTTTTTTTCATTCAAGGTACGTATGAAACTTCACGCGACGCAGTCATGGTCTCCCTCATAGTCCGACCGACCGTAATCGTTCACTTCCGCGGAGGCGAAGACCTCTCGAGCGACCTCAACGAGTCTCGGAAAAGTCGAGGTCGAGGGCCCTTACGTCCTTGACACTTCGTCTTTGGCACTCGCGCTCAAATCCCCATCGGTCCACTCCTCCATAGACTGAGCCTCGAGCTCGAGGCCCTGCTCGTTGCCAGGGCCCAGCTTGGACTCCTCGTCCTCGTCGTCCTCTTCGAGGTCTCCGTCCATCTGGGCGCCGGCGACCTCCTCGTCCCCGAAGACGTCCTCGTTCTCGTCGGTGATCTCGCGAATCTCCACGGAATGCATGGGCGCGCCCTGCGCATGCGTCGCCGCCATCCTGTAGCCGAGTCCATAGTTTTGGCCATCCTGGTAGACGAACTGGGTGACCATCTGGTCGGCCTCCCCGGCGAGGTCGCCGACGTTCTGCTGTATCAAGATCTGGTTGCCGTCCGAGTCGTTAGCCACCATGAGGACGGTGCCGTTGAGGTCGTGGATCTGCATGCCGGCCTCGGCTTCGACCTCGACCTCGACGGCATCGATCTCCTCGGCGTCGGAGCGCTCGCCGAAGGTCTCGTCGCCGGAGTCCTCCATGCGAGAGACTTGGCCCTCGGCGGAGTCGCCCTCGTTCCCGAACCTCCCGGTGTAGTCGACCTTGCCCCCGGCGTCCTCGACCTCTTCCTCGGGCTCCTCCTGCCCCTCCTCGGCGTCCTCGTCCTCGCCTAGCCTGCTGTCGACCTCGTCCTCTCCTTCCTCGGAGCCGGATTCCAGGATCCCCGCCAGCACGCTGGCGCTCGCCTTCGACCCCTTCTCGCTCATCGAGTCCTGGTAGAACTGGGGAGAACTCGTCGACGAGGCCGAGCGACCCCTAGCGATCTCGTGCCTGATTTCGTCCAGCTCGCCGACCTCGACCTCGCGCTCCATCTTCACCGCCATCGAAACCATCGGACTGAGCCCCTGGCGCGCGTCGCCGTCCCGGTCTGCCGCCTCTCTCGAATTCAACGGCATCATGGGACTCAGTATGGGAGGTCCATCATCGTCCTCGTCCTCGTCCGAGTAGTCCATGGCTTGCGGCTTGACGTGCGATCTCGACGACGCCTCGAACTGCCCTCTGTGATCCCCTGAGTACTTTCCTCCTCTGACGTTCAGCGAGGTCTCATCATACTTCACCCTGTTGACCTCCATCTTCACCTCCTCCGCCTCGAAGTCGTCCTCGACCTCGAGCTCGGTCTTATACTCTTCCCTGTCCAAGGTCCTCTCCTGGCTGACCTCCTGCTCCTCGGGGTCCTTAGTGACGCTGTCGTCGTCCTCTTCCTCATCCTCATCGTCGTCGTCGTCGCTGCCCTCGCCTTCTTCGAGGTCGCTCGAGTCCTCATCCTCGCTGTTACTGCTGTTGCTGCTGTTGCTGTTGTCGCTGTTGTTACTGTTGTTACTGTTGTTACTGTTGTTGCTGTTTTCGCTCGCCCTGCTATTCGACCTCGACTCAGCTTCCTCGTCGTTCTCTGCCCCGTTCTCGTTTCTGTTCTCGTCCTCGTCGTCGTCATCGTCGTCGTCGTCGCTGGAACTCGCGTCGCTCATGCTGTCCGAGTCGTCGCTGTTCTCCGAGTTACTGCCGTCCTGGTCGGACCCGTCGCCCTCGGCTTCGGACTCGAACTCGACCTCTTCGACCTCGCCCGTTAATGAGTTCTCGTCACCCGCGACGCTGCTCTTCCCGTCATTCTCGTTCTCCCTCTTCGAGCTGCCCTCCATGTCGTTGCTCTGTTCCTCGAATTCAGCTTGCTGCATGGTGCAGCTGGTGGCATGTTCGGCGAGCTTCTCCTCGCTCTCGAAGCTCTGTTGGCACCCTCGGCACCAGGCGTTTCCGTTGAGGTTGATATGGATGCTCATGTGGAGCAACAGTTTGCTGCGAGCATTGTGGTACCTGCCGCAGGTCTTGCAGGTGAAGTTGTTGCCCTCGCACTTCAGGATGGCCTCGTGCGCCTTGAGATGGTCGGCGAGGTCCTCGTAGGTCTTGCAGAGCTTCAGGCAAACCCCGCAGGTGACGGCAGCCTCGGCTCGATGGAAGCGGATCAGGTGCTGCCACAGGTGTTTCTTCGCCGGCCATTGTTTCCCGCAGACCTCGCAGGCGCACTCGGTGTTAGTCGACTCGTCGTAGACCTTCCGCGAGTCCTTCCTCGAGCACTTCGACCCTGAAGACGACTTCCCGCCCATCTGGGCGAGAGGCATGAGATTTGGCACCGGCTTCTGACCAGACAATTGCAGGTTGATGTCCTCGAAGAGGTTGAAGTCCGGTATGTTCAGGTTAGCCTCGTTCTCCATGGGCTCCAATTCCTCCTTCTTGATTTGGTTGTTGTTCTTCAGGTGAGATTCCAAGATCGAGCCCGGGAACGCGCCGCACGCCTCGTCCTTTCCGGTCCGCCTGGTGCAGACGTTGATGTGGTTCCAGAAGAGCGTCTTCGTGCAGAACTGCCGCTTGCAGTTCTTGCACTCGAAGTTCTCCCGGTCGCGCATCTTCCTATGGGCGTTGCTGCCGTCCAGCTTCATCTTCTTGAACATCCTGGAGGGGTCGGTGCTGTGGACATTCCGATAATGCTCGGCCAGGGTCTCGTGGTTCAAGAAGATCCCGGGACACATCTCGCAGTCGAAGGTGTCGCTGATGGACCGCCTGCGTTTAGAGTCGTTCGAGTCCTCGTCGTAGGGCATCTCGTCGAACTCGAGGTCCTCCGGCTCTTTCTTGACCATGAGTTCCGCCGGGTCGAACTCCTCGGGCTTGGGTCCCACGTCCAGACGGAACTCGAAGCCTGCCAGCTGGTCCTTCGGGACATTATGGACGAGCTCGTAGTGATGGCGTATGTCCGCGTCGCTGGTGAACACCGCTAGACACTGCTTGCACGTCCTGAACACTTTCCCGTGGCACTTCTTGGTGTGATCGAATGCCTTCCACTTGGAGGCGTATTGTTTACCGCAAACTTTACAGGTATTCGGCTTGGACAGGATCCCGCGATGTACCTCCTCCACGTGCTTCTTCAGGTCCTTCGGGTCCTTCATTGGGATCAGACACACTCCACACGACACGCCGATCTCGTTCCTGTGCAGCGACAGGATGTGCATTTTCAGCTTCAGTTTGTTCTCCACCGTGTCGCCGCAAAAGTCGCAGACGTTCGGCGTGGTGTGGTACTTGTGGTCCTTCTTGTGCGACTCCAGGTCCTCCTTCGTGCGGAAGAGCTTCTTACAGTTGGCATGGTCGCAGGTCAGATCAGGATGGTCCATGTGCTTGACGCGGTTGTGCGTCATGATACCTAGTTTGGACGTGATGGTCTCGTTGCAGAGGTGGCAGGTGTAGCTACTGTGGTGGTTCTCGATATGCTTCTGGAGACTGGCACGGTCCTTGAAGATCCTCTCGCAGGCTCGGCACCTGGTCAGCAAAGCTCCAGGGTCTTTTCGATAGTTCTGGCAGCCTTTCATGTGGCGGCGCAACAGATACCGCTTGTGGAAGCCCTTGTTGCACTTCTCGCAATGATGAAGAGCCTCGTCCTCTCCGGCGAAGGACTTGAAGCTGGCCGAGTCGCGGATCTCTTTCTTTGTGTCCGGCTCGTACCTGTGAATCTTAGCGATGTGGGTCGCCAGGTGGTCCTTGGACGCGCTGGTCTTCATGCAGTACCGACAGGTTACGTCCTTGTGACCCTTGTGGACGCGGTTCACGTGCTTCCACAGGTGGGACGTCCTACCGTAGCACTTGTTGCACAGGTCGCAGGGGAACAAGCCGTGGGTACTGCGCCTGTGGTTGCACAGTTCCTCCAGATTCCCGAATTTCAGGTCGGCGCAGATCTCGCAAGTTAACTCGCCCTCGGCCGAGTCGCCTCTGCCGGTCTTCAGGGTCTCGTTCGGAGACTCGCCGAGGCCGTAGCTGAACCTATCCGCGTCCAGCCCGTGGATCTTCCGATGCCTCGACATCTTCGACTTGTTCGAGTACGGCCTACCGCAGATGTCGCAGCTGAAATCGCCGTTGGTCAGCGGCCAATGGTTCGTTTTAACATGGGCACTCAGTTGTAGGACATCGGGGAACACCTTGAGGCACACCCCACAGATCAGGGGTACCGTATCCGAGTGGACGCCCATTACATGCTTCCAATAATCCACTCGACTGCCCCACAGCTTCCCACAGATCTCGCAAGTGTTCGGAGACGCTCCTTGGATAAGATGATGCTGGGCGTGCTCATTGCGCAGCGACTTCGTCGCGAATATCTTCCCGCAGTCTTCTCGCTCGCACTGGAGATATCAGAGAATTCGATGAGATGACGATTAAATCCTAGAAATTCCTATAACTACAAAGTAGTATAAGGAGATTCCACACATTGAAATCGTCCTCACTTTAGGGGTCTGATATCTTCAGATTTTTTCTGATCCAGTGCGTCGATGAAAATTTTGCAATTAAAAATTATCGTCATCTAGCTAGTCTTAATCACGTTATAAACATTACGTTCTGTATATCATACGCGGATGATCGTTACCTTAATTGTAAAATTAAAAGCATTTTAGGTCATTTACATCGGTAGAAAACGTTTCGATCACGTAGGATCGGAGTTCCCTCATCTTCCGCAAGTAGCGCTCGCATCGTTAGATCAGCGAAAATCTGAGATCCTGTGTCCCGATTTTGGGACCACTTTCTATGAAACCGATCATAGGCGTTGTCTCCTTATACTACTTCGTGCCTATGCATCCAAACTTACCCTGATAGCTGGCTCGTTGCTGTGAGTGCTGCTGACATGGAGCCATCGTTCCCATTTACTCGGGTGTGAACTTCCACACAGCTCGCAGACGAAAAACAGATGATATTGTGCACGGTTTCCATTTCCCGAATTCGCCCCCGAGCCACTTCCGTTGCCGGCAGGGTCTCCTATCGGAACTATCGATTCCGACTGCAAGGTGAAAGCACAAATGAGGTACCTCCTACCTTTGTGATATATTAAAAACAACATCGAATATCTACGACATCTTGGAACAGAGAAGACGAGGTCAATCCTGAAATCCCGAGATTGCAATATTTACTTCAGGATTGATAAGGGATAATGTCTTAAGAAGGAGAGCCCGAGGGTAGAAAAAAGAAAAGAAAGAAAGAGGGACGAACCTTGTGAGCGTTTCGTTGGTGCCGTATAAGGTGATCCTCGTTTGGAAAGGACTTATAACAAATATAACAGCCAACCTTCTCCCCGTCCTCCCCGTCGAAATCCAACGTCTGCTCGTTCGCGTCGTTGCTGTTCATGCTCTCGTTATAATAATTGTTGTTCAGCTGTACGAAACTCGCCGGATCGTAGCTAGGATCCACATTGTGTATCGAGACATGAGTTATCAGCTTCTTTCTGGAGTCGTGCTGCCTCCCGCATATCGTACAACTGTACCTGTTGCACACAGGATCGTTATTTCGCTATACCGAAAAATCGCACGAGGCCGCAAAACCTGCATCTCATGTAAACTTTACCTTCTTTGTTCAGAGACGAGGAGATTCGACGTTCCATGGTACATGTTCACGTGGTTTAGTAGCTGCGCGTTGTCGGAGCAGATTTTCAGACAAACACCGCATGCAAAGGCCGCAAACTCCTTATGGGTCGCCCTGATGTGCAGCCACAAAGACGCTCTGTCGTTGAAGTCTCTCGTGCAGATCTCGCAAACGAATACCGTCTCGATCTCGATCATGTTCTCGTGGCTGCTTTCCCGATCCTCTTCTTCGTTGTCCGCATTGGTCTAGAACCAACAATGGTCAATGAATTTCTTTCTCGCACTTATTTTATAAAATCATATTTCTTTATAGAGAATCCTCGCTTTCAAGCAAATTTTTTTGATTATCTCAACCCTGGGAGCAATTACGAAATTAGCGTTAACATTAGCGAAACATTGTATGTTTTTAGTCATCAGTTCGTAACGATGAACTCACCTCTGGGGAACATGTCGAGTCCGACTCTTTGATGGCAACAGGAGCTTCTTTTACAGCAGCTTGGGCTTGCGCCATGACCACCTTCTTCAAGCACTTGTCGCTATCTACTATCGGCGAAGGATCCACCCCGTGAGACGCCAAAATGTGCCTGCTGAGGGAGGACTTCAGGACGAAATCCTTTTCGCATAATATACAAACGTAAGGCTTGTCTGCGTCGTGGGTCTGCTCGTGTTCCTTCAGGCTCTCCACTGAGGTGAACGAGTGTGGGCAGGTCTCGCAGTACCACCTCTTCTGTCCGTCGATTTCGGTGCTCTCTGTTCATCGGATGAACATAAATTAATTACCACCGATATCAAACATAGATTATGCACTTAAAAAAAATTATATCTACATTGAGAGGTCTAGCATAAGGTTCAAAGGACTAAGTCAAACTCGATCTTCCAGAAATGGATTACCTGTCCTGGCAACCTTCTTCGGCTTCCCGCTCGTTCTGCCTTTGTCCTCGAAGTCCCGCTTCAAGCTGTCCCCTTTGGTCAACGCCTGCTTCAGGATGGTCAACTGAGGATTCTTCGCGAGTTTCGCCTCGGCGCTCTTGTAGTCTTTGCTCTCGTCGTTCGAGTCCAGGCTCGACAAGTCGGACGTGTCCACGAGGTTCTTGCTCTTCTGGACGATGGTCTTGCTGGTCGGCGGGTCCTTTCGCCGCTCACTCGAGCACACCCTGCTGTGCTTGTTGAGGTCGGTCACGTTGGTGTACATCTTCGGGCAGTTCTTGCACTGGTACCGGTTCTCCGGCTGTACGTAAGGCATCTGCAATTCCGGAGGTGGCGGCAGACCCGCGTGTCGCGACTTTATGTGCTCCTCGAGATTCGTCCTCGTCGAGTAGATCCTCGAGCAATAACCACAAGTCACAGCCGGATGACCCCTGGAATCATTTAATTCACCGGCATGACATACCATAAAATTCTCTGTAATTTTATAAAAAGGACGTCGGCATCGAGATATCACTAGTACGAGATAGTATAACAACATACTCAAAGAGATATAAAATTATAAAAGCATCGACGAACAACGGCATTTATAAAATCCCGCGAGTCTCGCTCATCTTCCGTTGAACCAGTTTGAAACCCTCCGAGAATAAGGGCGCACCCAACGTTACCCGGGGTCTAGAACCCCCTAAAATCTAAGTGGATTCCTCGGAAGCCCCTCGAGCCCCTTTGGGCCTCGATCGGCACCCTTGGAAACCCGTTTGGGACCCTGTCGGGAGAGTCCGGAAAGTCCTAAAGGGTTCGCTGAAACCTCAGGAGCCCTAGCGAACCTCCTAGAGTCCCCCTACACTCGCCAATAGGGACTTCCAGGGCATTAAAATGTTCGCCATTACCGCAATTTTATAGTATCCGGTCAGGATCGACCGGGTCGGTATTTAAAAGAAAATCCCCGTCCCAAGCTCGCCTCGAGGAAAGGCGTGTCGCGTGTTTGCTCGCAATATCTCGGGCCTTTTATCTCCCTCCTTATCCTCAGAACCCACCGATGCGTCGTCGAGACGTGTCCCCACCGATGCTTCGCCGTGGAGTACGACTTGTTGCAGAGGTCGCACTGGTAAGGTCTCTTGTAGGACGTGTGGTCGTCGGTGATGACTTTCTCGCCGATCACGTCTCCGGCACCCACGTGGATCCTGGCGTGCAAGGAAAGGTGCCCCTTCGAGCTGAAAGCCTTGTTGCAGAGGGAACAGACATACACCTCGTGCTGCTCCATCGTGTGCTGGAACACCCCGGACTCTTGTGGTCCGGTCTGCGGAGTCGCGGGTTCGCTCTCCTCCACGTCTTCGGTGACCATCGACGTCATCTCCAGGAAGTCGCTAGGATTCGTCTCCATGTCCATCTCGTACTCGTCGGACTTCGGGTCTTCGGGGTCGTCCACACCTGGGGAAAGTATTCATCAGGTACGATTCGAGAAAATGGCGTGGACGGATAGATGAAGAACAAAATAGTACATGAAGAGAAAAAGAAGAATAAAATAGAGAATAATGAATAATGAAACTTAATCCAGCATCAGTGAAGGGCTAAGTTGGCTTTGATTGTACAGCTTTGGTCTTGGGCTTGTAAATATGAACATTTGGACCGTAAGACCAAGACCGATCATGCTCATCATCGCACATCGTGTACCTTCATCCGTGCCACTCTGTTCGAGGACCTCCTCGACCTCGCGGTCCGACTCGCCATCGGAATTCAATCTCGGTGGGGTCCCTAGTGCCGCATTGGGGTTCACTATGGGAGCCTCGGGAATGAGTATCGGCATGTTTTCCTTCTCCTTGAGCAGCTCGGTGCGCAGCTCCGAGCTCTGTTCCGGTTGCTTCTGCGCATCTTCCGAAACCTGCGAAAAATAATTCAATTATGGAAAAAGCATTAAAAAAAAAGAAAAAGAAAAAAACATAGAACAATTGATAAAATAAGTGAATCGTTCAACGAAGCAGTAACCATTTCTCAGTTAACGGGTCGTAGGGTCGCAGTGGAGGATTTCAGGGGATCGCTTCTCCTTTGTCCCTGAAATCCTGCATCGAAATTCAAGGACTCACCGTGTCGTCGGGCGGCAGGCACCTTTCCAACAGGGCGACCGCATTGACGCAGGCCGTCCTGAAGTCGTAAAAGTTCTCCAGGTTGTACATGCACCGGTAGCACAGACACTTCGGCAGGCGGTCATCCTCGGCGATCTGCAACGAAAGTACGAGAGCTTGAGTTGGCCATCTTGGGTGCGAGAAAAGAAAAAAAGGAAAAAGAAGATAGCGTCGCCGTCGAAGGACACTTTCTCGAACCCCGAGGACATCCTGCCGGCTTTTGGCAGTCCTCTCGTGACCCGATTCGGTCGATTTCTCGAATTTCCACGCCCGCCAGGGAGAAGAAATTCAAATTCAAATTCTAACGGCCGCGACCGTTGGCGCGCGATTTGAACGCGGGGTGCGCGTCCTACGAGACGAGTGCGTCTCAACTTTGCGCGAAGGGTTCGATTCGTCGTCGATTTTTGCACGGAATACGATTTAAAGGCAACGCCGCGAGTCATTATCTCATCTAGTCGACAGATGTTCGCTCTTTTTAATCCCCTCCGGTAACATATTCCACGGTGCACGTAATATAGCAAAGGCTTCTCCCGTAAGCTGCACTCGGCCGCAGCGAGCACGAAGCGGCCTCACGGCGGTCAGTCTCGAACCTAACCTCACTTTTTCACTTTTTCGCGTTTTTACCCGGCGAGGTCGAGTGAGGAAATTCGCAAACGGCTCGATCGGGTGAAAAGTGAGACCCTTCGCCAAACGAGTGACACCTTAAGTAAATTTAATGGGAAGATCAACCACCTCGGCAAACCGACGCATCGCCAAGCGTCTTCTCTTCCTCTCCTTCTAAAAGAAAACAGATATCGTTCATGCGTCGCCGATTGATGTTAGAACTTGGCTCCTCGAGGCGAGAGTTACCACATCTCCTGGTTCGATCTCTGGTGGGACGATCGAGACGCGTAGGTCGCGTTTTTCCGCCCCCCTCGTGCTTTCCTCTTTCTCTGACCCACGGAACAAATAAAACATTTTTTTTTTAATTAAAAAATAAAAAATTAAAAAAATTAAAAAATCCTAGAATTACGAGACAAAAGAAGTGGGAGGTAATTACGCGATAATTGTGTAAACGTGATAGGTCGTTATCGGCGTAATAATAACACGACGTCAGGTGATAATCGAGAAGGTCGCGTGGAGGTAAGGTCTCACAATCAGGTGTCGCACTCAGAGCGGCGCGTCATCGCGTCGAGATGAAAGACCGATAGGAAGTGCCTTTAAGTCCACCGATTTACTTCCGCTCGATTTTTTCAGTCTCGACGCGCCGCGCCCCGTGTGACGTCCGACGCGTCTCCGGCGTCGCTTGGTTCATTCAAGGAGCGCGAACCTCTCGCCGAGGCGAAAAGATGGACTGTCGAAAAGTCGGAGCGCCGAGGCGGCGAAAGGGAAAGCACTATTTACTATGCCTAGAGCTCCCCGTGCTCCATTGATAAGGAGACGCGTGCGGCGGGAGAGAAAGTCATACTCCTCTATTTACTATATAGGTCAAGGTGCGTGTACTCGAATGGAGTGACTCATCGATATACCGGGTGAGCCGTTCGGCTGGGTCGCGCCTCTTTCTCGCGCGCACTTCCGAGGCATGCGCGCGTCTCTCTCTCTCTCGCTCTTTATCTCTTCCGAGGAGCGCTCGACGCGGCCGAGTCGATCCGACGGTACCCGAAGTACTTTCATCTCCCAAACCGATATTAATAAGAAAAATATAGACGCATCCCATTACCTCCTCAATTCGCCCAAAAATATCCCCGACCGAGGAAATAATACGCAATCTCAAGGCGAACCCAGAAATGCGAACATAAATAATAATCCACCGTTAAATAAAATAAGTCGCATCCCTACGAAAATCTCCCATACGCGGGCGAAGATTCGCTCGACCTCGTTAAACAAACGAGACGGTAACAATACCGGATAATAAATCTAAGGCGCTCGGTCGCGAATTTTCGTGGAGAATTCTGGGTAGTCTTGGGTGCCCCTTCGAGCGGAGTCTCTGGAAAAACCCGGAGGGGAAGCCAGGCGTGTCTCCTCGGCGCCGGGGCGGAGGGCCAGAGGCAGGGCGACGGTCGCGCGCCCCGACGCAGGTAAGGCGGCCGCCCCTGCCCGCTGTTCACCGAGTCGAGCGGGGAGCGCGTCTCTCGGGGGAGGAACCGCCGCGGCGCTCGAGGTCGAGGGGACGAGCGGCGCCGGCGGGACGAGGGGGGGGAGGCGGGGCCGAGCCGGATGCGCCGACGACGGCGGCGCCGGGACGCAAGCGGCCTCCGCCGTGGCCCGGTGCGCCGCTTGCGGGCCAACCGCACCCTACCGGGACCGGCCGACACCGGTTACCGAGCCAGCTGCCGCCTGCGGCCGGCTTCGAGCCGCTGCAGCCGCCTCGGCGGGTACAAGGCGTTCCGCACGCGGAGAAATTCAATCTTGCTCGTAAACCCATCGTAACGGTCGCGATTCCGGCTTGGAAAACGAATGCTTTGATAATTATTAACGAGCCATGATCGCTAGAGTTAGGGATCTCGATTGATAGAAATACGTCGAGTCCCGCGGAGCGCGGCGCGTCGACGGGAACACATGAGAAGTCGAGGAAAAACGCGCGGAAGCTACGCAGAGGGTTGAGGGATTTCGACTCGTTCACGAGAGCTTTTGGGATCCCGATGGGTATAAAGACCCCGCCGGGTCGCACAGAACGCGGCGCGTCGACGCGTCGCGGATGAGAAATCGAGGAAAAACGCGCGGAACCTACGCAGTGGGGTTGAGGCGCGGGTTAGAATGGCTTGAAGGATCTCGACTCGTTGACAAGAGTTATCGCGAAACGCCCGACGAGAGCTGATCGCCGAAACCGCGGGCGATCCGCCGCGGAGGGACCGCTCCGCCGTCTGCCGGTGACGCGATACCCCTTGCGCCGTATATATCGGCGAAATGGCCGCGTGGAATTTCTGCTTCTCCCGCACCGACCAGGAAACCCGGCGCGGCCGGTGGAGAATGCCTATACCTGGATGCGGGCCCGCCTACGTGGACACAGACGAACGCCTCCTGCGCCGTCGACGCATCCGCCCGGGAGAGAAGAAGAATGCGCGCTCTAGAAACGGCGCTCCTCCAACGCGCTCTTGTTGGAATTCCCGCGAGAGAATCTAACTATCGCCAGATGCGTTTCCGGTGATGCGCGAGATATCCGAACGGAAGCCTTCGACTTTCCCAGGAAGTCAAGGTCCACGGAGCGATCGCGTGGAATTCCCTCCGTAGGCTGAAGCCCATATCGATGGGGTAATCCGTGCGGTCTCTCCCGTAGGTCGAAACCGGGATGAATGGAACAATCGGTCGGAATTCCTCCCGTAGGTCGAGACCGAAGAATCGCCGAAGAAGGCTGCGAGCACCCGGCGATGCCAGATGGGCGCCTCCTCGTCCGCCGTGAACCGAGAATCGGGATACCTCTAAAATTCCACCCTGCGCGTACCTTTTCCAAAAGGACCCAGCCACCGGCAGAAATCTTAGCAAATAAAAATAAAAACCCCCTTGAAGTGGCTAATCACCCGGGACGTATTCTCGGGGCGAGTCGTTCCACGCGCGCGAGAGTCCTATCAACGCGAGACAGCCTGGAGGATGGAGTCTCGATATCTCGGCGAGTTTCGTATCACGCCCCCGGAGGCCGCGATCCGTTAAAAGAGCGTCCCGGAATTCCGCGGCGTGGTCGTAGCCGAGGGATCGACCAGGGGAGCCGGCGTTGCCGGGCGGGCAACGTGTCGTCCACCGCCGGGCAATATGCCGGGCAGCTGCGCCGCCTCTCCTCGGCTACCCGAGACCTCTCGAGCCCAGGGAGCGAGAGAGACCGCGCGAGCGGCGCGGGACCGGGAGCGAGAGAGAGGGAGAGAGAGCGCCGGAGCCCAGGCGGCCGCCGAGGGTCGAGAGCGCGCCGGATAAACGCCGCGCCTCCCGCCGTCCCCGGGCCGGCCGGCAGGTCGGGTCTTCGATTACACTCCCGGGGCTGGCAGCGGCGACCTAGCGCGAGCGCTGCCGCGCCGGAACCCTCCAGCGAGCATCTGGAAGGCGCGGCGCGGCGAGGAGGGGACGGGCCCGCAGCCGAGGATCGAAGGATCCCCTCGAGGTGCACGAGGCCGCGTCGCGTCGCGCGGCTCCGCGCCATCGATCGCGCGCTCTCGATGACGCCGCTGCTCCGGGGAGTCGGAGAGAGGCGCTCGTCGCGCCCGGAGGGAGCCCCGAAGCGCTCCCTTCCTCCGAGACCGACGAGTCCCGGATAAAGGGAGCGAGGTCGAACCAAGCTGCTTCGATCCGGCCCGGGTTTTTCGACCGGACCTCCGACCGAATCCGACCGAGGGTCCGGGGAGCCGATTCTCGAATTCACCCGATCAACTTTCGCAGGCGAAATTGACAGTTTCGCCTACGACTTCCAAATGTTGACCAATTACGCGACTTCGCGACAATGCGAAATTCTTCATGCAAATTTATCCCTACTCGAAAAAAAATCCGTACCAACTCGAGAATCGGATCCCTAGGACTGTCTACGATCAACTTTCGAAGGCGAAATTGACAGTTTCGCCCACGACTTCCAAACGTTGACCAATTACGCGACTTCGCGACAATGCGAAATTTTTCATGCAAATTTATCTCTACTCGAAAAAAAATCCGTACCAACTCGAGAATCGGAATCTTGGGACTGTATACGATCAACTTTCGCAGGCGAAATTGACAGTTTCGTCCACGACTTCCAAACGTTGACCAATTACGTGACTTCGCAACAATGCAACATTTATCATGCGAATATATTCGTACGTGAAAAAATCTTTACGAACTCGAGTCCTTGACAGTGAAGAAAATTCAAGCCTCCCGGCAACCTCAAAATCGTTACCAATCACCATGTCCAAGATTTAATAGATTTTTTTTTTTCTATGGCTTAGGATTCCAGTAGCAGCTTGAATTAATTCGCGGGCGTACCCTGTGGATTGTACTTAAGTCCGGAATTTTGTTAAACCGATAGGAGTGGTCCTTAACAGTCGAAGAAATTCAAAGCCCCCCATAAAAAGTATTCACAAGTCTCGTGAGTTCATCGTGGATCTTTTTTGATGGCGTGATTACAGAGAGACGTTAGATCAGGGATCAGTTTTTTTTATCTT